TAAGGATGCTTTCAAGTGAAACAAAGCAACCTGTCATCCACAGCTTCTGCAACGCAGGCCCACGCCACCCGATCGCCGTTTTTCTGCACTAGCGATCCTCACTCACACTTGCACTAGCGAGGTCCGAAGCGAAGGAAAGGAAAATCATGGCATGTGAGGCACTGCTACATACAGAACACAGTACTAATTACTACTATGCTACTCATAGCTAGCGTAGTTCTCTTGTCCTTCCCCAGTAGTCCAATCCCTCGAGATCTCGGGCGATCTCGACAATGACAGCGCCCGAGGCTGATTTGCCGGGCTTCCAGGAGCCAGACCCCTTTTGATGCCGAGGCGAATCGAGTACCAATCACAAGCCGGCCTTGTGTGTAGTAGCACTCGGAGTGGGATAAAGGATGGAGGAAGATGGAGTATACGATTCACATTCATTTCCCTTGTAACATCCGTGGTGGAAAGAGAGATAACAAAGGCAATTGTCAGTAGAGAAAGATTAATAGATTATTGAGGAAAACATTAAAAAAAATTAATTTAGACGGGCGCGAGGTGGAATGGGAATTGTACGGGTGTCTTGTATATACTTTTTTGTGCTGTACGGAGGAGACATGAGATGCAGTAGACGTGCAGAAGGGTGCGAACTTGGATGGATGAGAATCAATGTTCGAAAAGCATGATCCATCAGAGCCTTGGTTATGTGTTTTCTAGCTGCATAGGGCCGGTGTGTCGGGTTGGGGGGTTGGTCTGTAGTAGTTGGCCCCTGGGGCTAAGGTTGAGATCCTGGGGATCCAGAAATGGGAGATAATGGTTGAAGATGGATATGATTATTGTTGTTAGTCAACTTCACAGGTACATGCGAATTGACTAGTCAGTAAATATCCGTGGAACTGGCTCATACGATGTAGTAGTCTCTCTTTCGTATTACTATCCATATGTGGTATGTCTAGCAGGTTCACCATCTCTAAAACCAACGGAAATCCTCACCCAAGCGAGTTTGATCTGCGGGGGAGAGCAGCTCGGAGATTATAAATGGCTCGCGGTATATTTCCTGACTGGGTGTGAGTGGTGGAGTGCAATAACAATAAAGGGGAGTTCAAAAGGGAGAGCGGGGGGAGGCAGTTGGCCTGGAACCAACAACGAGGATGTTCCCTGCAACTTAGTCCGTGTTAGCCGAATTGAACCATAGAGCCAAGCAAATCGACCATGACGACACTTGGGTGCGCAAGTTGTATCCGTCGTGTTCTAGGCGCTGAGCTCCTTTTCGTCGCTTGTTGTTGGCGCGCTGCGGGGCAGTGGGGAACAAGGCTGTCGTTTCTCGTTGACCATCGTCGATGTCTCATGTCTCAGCCTATTTCTCGTTCGCATGGCTGTAAATCTCACGATTTGCCAAATGGAGCATCGGACTCACTAGTATTTCCGTTAATTAGCAGACGGGTGTGGCTCCTTTCCCGCTGTCCTTCCCCCTGAATGACGGTGAGTCGAAGTGGGTTTTCATTTTCTATAGGTTTAGCGGGCATGGTTGCGTTTGCTTGTCTCGTCCAGTGTCCAAGGAAGTCAACGTCACACGACAGCTTCGTCCTCAATCATTTGCATGGTACCGATATCCAGCACGCATGGCGCTAATCCGAGAAACACTCCGAGATCCCGGACTCTTTGCTGTGGCAGAGGGAGAAGAATTCCATGCAGTACGTAAGGGGCAGAAGCGAGAGAATTCATTGGACTTTGGAAATAGAAGGCTGGGAACAGATAAAAAGATGAGAAAAGCATTGTAGTGATTGCACAGGAAAAGGCAACCACACAACCTGGGGCAGACAGGTGATCTGTCAAATGATCGACTGGCGGAAAAGACACGCTAAAGCTAGGAGAGCTTTGTCGACCCAACCTCATCTCTCCCCTCCAATCCCAAGCTCACGATTTCCAAGTGAATAAGGAGCTTGGGCCCCAGGGACGTTGAAATGGGAGGGGATGGAGATGGAAGCTCAGCGCAGAGTGTGGTGGGTGCGCTCTGAGTATTTTCTTTTTGTGTTCTCCAACTCTCTTTTGGCTTTTGGTCCGGTATAGACTTTTCGTATGGAAGAAACCAAAACGAAACATGTTTCCGGGACCGAAAGACAGCGTAATTGTATTCCGCGAGTTTGTATTACATACATACCATTGCTGTTGCGGAGTACAATACTCGTCCGTTCTCGGGGAGGGTCCGCTAGTTCGACGGCTCAGTATGAGACCCCGGTACCTGGAACGATGGGCCCTGGTTGGCCATGTATGGGCCTATCTTTCAGTCAGCCCGCGAGAGTGGGAATGTCATTGTCCCTGAACCATAGAACCAGACCCCCATGGCCGGATTGACGCGCGCAGGGGTCTGGCAAGTGTATGTCACTAGTGTCCTGTGATTGGATGATTCTGTGGAGAAGAACAAATAAGCCTGGAGAATCCAACTAATGATCAGTCTGGGATTTGCGGAGATGAGAGCATGCTGGAGCTGCTTCAAGAAGGAAGTAAATAACTGGTCATCTAAATGAATACGGAAAGTTCTCTTTGGAGCTCTGGAACTTTGGAAAGTGGAAAGGGTGGTGTTGGTAGATCGGGTGTCGTACGATAGCCGGGGCACACATGCTCTTGTTCGATCATTGAACAGCTTCCCAGGATGAGGATTTGGCTCATGCGTGTTCTGAAACTCTGGACATGAAAGCTGCATCGATGCATCAATATTCCCTGGGATGCCAAAGTGAATGTGAGATCAAATCCCGAGGTGGATCAGTATTCTCTGGGAGAATAAAAGATTCCTTCCTGTGAGAAGGCAAGATTGAAGTCGAGGATCCACCACCTCTCTTGGCCAGCATAATGGGTAAAGACTTGTCAAGGATGGATGTCGGAGTAGTGGGGGTAGCTTCTATGGCACTAGATCACATCTTTTAACTGCCCAGAGGAGTTTCTGTTTTGGGAAAGGCTAGATGAATCGCAGAGACAGGCTGCGCAGAGTGTGCGCACACACCAGGGCCACCCGCGAAACAAGCTTTTGGTGGGATGGGGCCAGTTAGTGGCCCGGTAATGGAAAAGAGAGACCATCGAGTTTCATAGCAAATGAAATCAGAAACATGGGCTTGTATGGCATTCTAAGATTAAACAAGTCGTCACATCGTTGCCAAATAAGGCAGGCCAGATTGGTCGGCGGCGCAAGTCGACTTCCTGGACAGTGTTACCGGTCGTAAGTACAGAGGACTCCATACTGAGGTATATTATTGGTACAGTACGGAGTACTGATATCGAATACGAGCGATCAACGCACCGATTGGGTGCCGAGCCGACGGGGGGGACGAGAAGATGGTTGTGTGGTGACTCGCGGCTCAGGCCGAACCCAAACTCTGTCGGCAACTCTATTTGTGAGTGATTAATCAAGCCAGTGGACACAAGAGTGGGGTGATGGAAGGAAAAACTCCGTGCCAAGAGACAGACTTGTGAAGGAGAAACTTGTGATAAAAGAAAATGGATGGAGGGAAGGATGGACAAGTAGGTTTAGTAGTGAGGCTGTTCATTTCCACGGCACTCGATCACGGGGGACTCAATCCATTTGGCGCCAATCACGAAATGACGCCAACGCATCCTTCGTATGATGGTTAAAGTACGAATTAGTAGTACTACTAAAAAAAGTGTACTTTATTATCCTCTCGAGAAGTGGCTGTACCCTTGTCAAGGTAAGGTTGGTGGTATATACGGTTGTGCTTCATTGCAGAGAATCTCGAGATAACCTTGAATGCTGTACTGTAGCAAATTGAAACCAAATCAATAGGTCCACCTAATCGATAAAAACAACCTCCAAACTACCCACCAACCAGCGCCGTGCTCCCTCGTCCCCTCGTCGAGAAGCCGGGGTGGGGCAGGATATACTTGCCGTGATAGCAATGCACGATATTAGATCGATCATCGATCATCGGCAGATGAGGTTGAGTATCCGTACAGCAACCTGGACCCTAGCACTAGCAGCGATGATAGAATCAAAGGCTATTAGAAATACATCTAGCCCATGAAATGACTGACAATGGGCATTGTAGCCGACGTTCCATCATCATTTTCTCCCCGTATAGAAACCTAGAAGTGCCTCTCTTGCCTAGACTAGCAAGTTAGTCTGTCAAGAAAGGAAGCTAGAAAATAGAAAGATATTGAGGTCGCAGTGTGAAGTCTTGGCTTCCTCTTCAGTCAAAAGATATACCTCGTATCTCGTAGTCACTTACTACGGGCCATACTCACCCAAAACAGGTACCCGAAATGGGGTTCCGTCGGGTATTGTCGCCAAACTTACCCACTAAGCACCACCCAAAGCTGTAAAAGTGTAAGCCACAACCCTGGGGAAGCCTAAACCCCTTTTGGTAAATCTAGACGAACTTTTGGCTTGGAGGCTTGTGATTAGTTCTAGTTAGATTCGTTGCTAGACCTGTTATGTATTAGCTGCCAATCTCCCGTGGATTTTGGTACGATTTTGATAATTTACTGGTGGGTCTTTCTAGTATACAGTGTACAGTAATGGTTGATACCTGTTCCGATTCGGTAATTGGCTAATATGCACAACGCCGGTATTTTAGAGATTTGCACAATAAGTTGACAATATTGGACGTGATAGATTAGTTTATCTGTGATCAAGAGAGCAAACTAAAGATATGTCTAAACTGCTAGAGAAACGGAAATAATTGATTCCAAGACTTAGTTCGACTGGGCATTATCGGAGAGAGTAGGAGGACGAGCAATACCCTCGGGTAGGAACCTTAAGGTTAGAAAAGAACCATTCGAACTTTTCCAAAAATGGTGAAGGAAAGGAAATGAAAGCGTATATTTCGATTATCATAACATAATCACATCTCATTCTGCAATAGGTAGAGTCTACATATCTCTTATGGGAGTGGACAGGCCTGAAAACCCACATCTATCATCTAGAACGACAAGCAAAATGTCTGCAGTTTATTTTCTATAAGCGCAATATCTCCACAAATACAAACAGAGTTAGTTGTGGACGACCTCGACTAAGTATCTCTGGGCTTAGGTTCCATTTTGACTGGCCAAGTCCACAGCTATTACCCAAAACCACGAGCAAGAATTCATGATGTGCCGCTCACGAACGCGAGTTCTCTACGAACTAACTTACAAGGGCAGATGAGCTCAAGCAGACATTGCCTGTGTTTCGTATCTTTCGGAAGGGAACTCTGCTGGAGCACACCTCGCTGGAGCCCGAAAGTGGTCTGGCAATGAGCGGAGACCGTTGGTCGACTACTCTAGGCTTCTAGGCCATGCAACTATTCACTCGATCTACTAACCAGACCGTCAAATTGTATCAAAAGACCCCATCCGGCACAGCCAGACGATTCAGATCGAAATCAATAACTCTGCTTCAAGCCAGAGCAACCACTGTAAAACTACCTGCATATCGATGCAGACCAAAAGATACCTCGTCAAACCCAGCGAATCACCCATCTAATCATCCTGAATAGCAATCTCATCCTCCCACTTAGGATGAACCGTCTCCCGCGCACGCTTAATCACCCGCTCAATACCATCAAGACCCATCTTAAGCACATCCATCTTAGGACCATAACTCAACCGCACAAAGTGATGGCAAGGACTATCGAACAAATCACGACGCTTAGCCGGGTTCAAATCAAAGAAGATACCCGGCACGACAATGACCTTCTCGGTCAAAAGGGCGTTGAAGAAGTTCAGTCCGTCGGAGATGTTGGCCTCGGCCGGCAAGGGCGGGTCCAGAGAAGTCAGGTCCAGCCAGATGTAGAAGGTAGCCTGCGGGACGTCCTGGATGCGGAAGCCAATGTCGTACAGACGCTTGAGGACGTAGTCGCGCTTCTCGCGGAAGTGGGCTTGCAGGGCTTTCATCTCGGTGCGGACGAGGGAGGGCTCGAGCATGGGGATGGCGGCTTCTTGGAAGGGGACGTTGGCGCCGCCGTCTAGGTAGGAGCCTGCTGAGCCGAGGGCGTCGACGAATTCCTTTGGTCCGACGATCCAGGCGATGCGCCAGCCTGGAAGGCGGAAGCGCTTGGTTAGACCGTCGATTAGGAGGACGTCTGGTGAGTGGAAGGGTTAGCAGATGAGACATGGATGGGTGGACAGTATGCATGTCAGGTAAGAAATACGCACCATCTTGGTTAACATCAATCACATTCTCGGCTCCACTGATCGTGCTGCCGTCGCAATCGGTGGTATAGTTGTATCCACCGTAGAACTCGTCCAGGATCAGAGTCGCGCGGTCACGGCAGATGTCTTGGATCTCGGCCAGCTCGTCATGCGACACGAAGTGACCTGTCGGGTTACGGGGGTTCGAGGTCAGCAGCACCTGGGTACCACGGGCGATTTCCTCGGCGATCTTGTTAGGGTGGATGTGATAATGGTCCTCCTGAGACAACGGGATGGGGATGGGGGCAATCTATGAACAAACACATTGTCAGCACATACATACGCCTAACCCTCCTCCGACCAATTCAACTGCACGAGCGGAGTACTTACGTTCTTGAACAGCGACAGCATCTCCGAGTACGCAGAGTAATCAGGGATGGGGAATGAAAGATACGAATTGCCCAAAATAGCCGCAATTCGGATCAATCCCGCACGTCCACCGGGAACGATACAGACATTCTCCCACGTATACTGACTCTCCTTCCCTTGGCGATAGTGCTCATTGTACAGACGTGCAACCGCAGCACGCAACGGCTTGATACCGGCGGTCGGACCGTACTCCCGAGCCGCAGAGGTAATAGGAATGCTTGTCGGACGCGGGAAGCTACCCTCGATCTCATCGTCCGCCTCGGGGGCACCTTGACCCAAGTTTGCCCAGCCGGAGGGATCCTCGGCGTAGCCGTGCTCGGTGGCTCGCTCTGTGCACCAGACTACACCGGTGGAGGCACGGGAAGCATCGAGACCGGCGTGGGGACGGTGTCCCTCGTGGGCGTGTCGGAATTGGCGATGAGTTTCGGACCGTTGCTCTAGGGAAATCGGGCCGTTAGTCCGATTGATGTCTTGCAGGGATGGGATTTATATATAGATTGGGAGAGGTTTCATTCAATGACACACCGTTCTCGGAGAGTCCCTTGCTTTGCGAAAAGCGCCGGTTGGAGGGGCGCAGAATACTGACGCGGCGGCCGGAGAAGGACATTTCTTGGCTGCGCTGTTTAGCTTGGGAAGCTGATTACTTTGGGACCAGGGTTCGGGTATTTCGATAAGCTTCCAAGATGTTGATTAATGCTCGGATTGGTGGAAGATTCAAGATCAAGGTAATATAGCTGAAATGAAGAAGAAAAGAGGAGGAGAGAGAAGAAGAAGAGGGGCAATCTTAGCAAGGAAGTGGTTTTCCCCCTCTGCCCTGGATTTCCTGATTTTTATTGGTTTTCGACAATGGGAATTGCGGTTCAGATTTACCCGCTATAAAAAGAACCGCTGAGGTGGCTCTTTGGCTCTTCTGCCTCAATGGCGGCCCACGATTCGACCAAACCACCGATGACTTTGGCTCTGCATCCCAATGTCCCGCTTTTTCTTAACTGGTCGCGCCGAACGGGGCAACAATCCAGACACGACTTCAATCCCATCGGGCGCCTGCTTATTGTCTAGTGAAAAATAATGCCGCACTTGCCGTCGCAGGGGCCTAATGAAGGCTTGTGTTCTATTTGCGCGATATTTCTTGCTGAGGACACCCGATGGACCGACACCGCCATTTTGAGGGCTGAATAGGATGGGCGCTCTAGAGTCTAGTAGTGCCCCATCGGTTCAATAGTGTGGAAGGGGCTGATCTGCAGCGACAGATCCACGAGATCAGTGAGCTATTGCTAATATATCCGTAATGTCCAGTCAACTACATACTTCAGCCCTGCCAAGCAGAGAGGGACAAAATGGATGGGGATCCGAAATTCCCGAGAACAACGGCATCCCGATCGGCTTATGACGCCACACGGTCGAATCTAGGAGAAAGAAGAGAGTAGAACCAAGGGACAATAGGAACAAAAGATAAAATATCCAATTCGCCGGAACCCTGTACGCATGCAGGCTTCCACACAAAATACACAAAATAATGACTATGCATACATCAGAGTAAAATGCTTCATACGTTCGTGGACAGAAGACCGTGGTCAATAGATAGCAGTCATCATTCGCTCTACCGCGGAGGATCAGTCCGAGGGAGAGCAGGTCATGAAAAGGAGGAGACGAGACCTCGAAAATATCTCCAGAGACACCACACCGTAGCTCGACACCGTTCATCCCCTGACCAAACTCATGGCGCAAGTATTCTCGCATAGACGCCACCACCCAACCACAAGACAACCATAGAATGGTTGCAGTAGGTGGGCGATTGAGAAGAGGGAATGAAGAAAGGGGCAAGGGGGAATCACATCTCTCTGAGAGGAGTAGGTGGTCAGGGAGGAACACGGAGGTGAGAAGAGGAAGAGGCAGGGGAAAAGCGCCGAGGCAATGCAGATAGAACTGGAATGGCAGTAAATGATCTGATCATATATAGACGCCTCCACAGAATAAATAGACAATGGAATCATCATTCATAAAGGGGGCGATTGAGACGCCATGAAAAATCAAAAGAGTAACTGCATTCTAATCCACCACCTGGCAGTACAGCTCAATCTCACCCACCATGCCCTTGGCAAGCATGTCCCGGTGCTGCTCACGCCATTCAATAAAGGCCAGCTGAACAGCCTCATCGTTGTCAATGGTGATAAAGTCTCCATCCTCGTCACGATAGCGCAGGCGAACGGTCTTGTTGCCGATGGATCGGTTGGTGAATCGGGCCAGCTTGGCATCCACGCGGTCCGTAAGTGAACGGAACAAAATATTAGTGGCAATCACCAGTGTAACATAGTTGTCCTCAAAGTTAACCTTCGCTTTGAGTTGAGTTGGCATGTACGAATCTCCATCAGGCTCTTGACTCAAGGGGGATGTCGCCACGTCGGAGACCTGCCCCGACGTACGAGTATCGTTGTACTCTGGCTCAGTGAAATGCGTCGGGTGAACATGATGAGGATTCGTGCGAATAGGAAGCTGGCTATTCGTAGGGGAATTATTGTTGCTTCGATTGACCGGTGCCTTCATATTGGCCATATGCGTCGGGATTGGCGGCACGGGGACATTGTCTATAGTCTGCATAGTGTGCACTCCCATATACCGTCGTGAATCTGGGCCGTTATGATGGTGAATGTCAGGACTGCTAGCCGAACGCATCCGCTGAGCAGTTCCATTCGAAGTTGGTGCTTGCGGTCCCGAGAGCGGGGGCAGAGATGGGCGCTGAGCACCTCGTCCGTTGGGTTGCGGAGGGAAGTACCCGGTTGGAGTGGTACCGTCTCTTGACGTGCCGCGAGACAGGGCGGGGGCAGTGTAGCGATTAGACTCCTCATTCCATATACTTGATGCAGTCGTCGAATTGGTGTTTTGACGCCCGAACGAGAACCCAGATTGGGAGCTGGATCGAGTGGATGGGGTTTCCGTGGGTGAGAAATACGAGTTCATGTTCCGGTCGCCAGGAGACATGTTGCCAGAGCCAGCGAATTGAGTATGCACAGAAAGCGCTGGGTCCCCAGCGAAGCGTGGCCGGCCATTAGAGTGAGGTACAGAACCAGTACTGCCTCCGGTAGCAGATCGAGTTCGCAGGCTGGTACTGGAGGCATTTCGACTCATCGAAAATTCGGAGTGGTAAGTGCCATCCTTGGGAACATCATCATAGTCCTCTTGCTGGTATGGGTTAGGCATATTGGTCATGCCTTCCATGTAAATAAAGTCGCTGTCTGAAGTGCCAGTGTTGCGGAGTGTTCGACGCTCTGATTGGATTGCACGTTGGGTATCAATATCCTTATACCAGCACCGCATGGTGTCTTCGTTCACATAACGAATGATGAAGTTGTCGACAACACCGGGATCACCTTTCCAGAAGATTTGAATGCGGTAGAGACCTATTATAGATCCGTCAGAACTTAAAATCCAGCATGCCTTTTCTACACTCGATATATGATCACGTACCAGGCTTCTGCAGGCAGACAATGTCCGTGACATTTGCCATATAGATCCGACCTTTCAATTGAAGGCGAGCCTTGCCCTTGGCATTAAGGGAGGGTTTGTCTTTGTTCATCATGAGTTTGGTCTTCTGCTTGTTCGGGTTGATGTCTTTGCAGCACAGAAGGATGCGTTCGAACAAGTAGATATGATACTAAATCAATCAAGTCAGCTCTGCACAAAGTTTCGAATGATAGTCCCGCGTATAGTCACAAGGAATGGAAGCGCGAAAAACTAGCAGTGCATACCTCTCGCTCACTATCCTTGCCACTGTCTCCTTTGACCACTGCGAAAGTACCAAACCGAAGCAGGTCTCCGAACGCGTCCATCTTCAATGCCTTCCAATCATCAACACGCTCAGACAGATCCACCACCGCATTAGCTAGATGTTCCTTGTGAATGGCGTCGTTTGCCGAGTCCAGCGTGGTCTGAATGGAGTCGATGGCGCGGGTGATATCAGCCTGTATTTGAGGGTCTTCGGCTGTTTTGCGCAGTTCCTGTACAGAGAAAGGCATGTCAAAAAAGGAGTTCGGGGAAATATAAGGATTGTCTGGGTCTACATACCGACAGCATGAGCGGATATCTGGTTAACCGCTGGAAAGGCTTAACGAAGAATCCATTCAAAGTTGATTGCTGCGCGACCATCTGCAGAAGATCCGGCTGACGGGGCGAGCTCCGGATCTTTTCCCACTCCTGCATACAAACCTCGTCACAGCGCATCTGATTAGCGATGAACGGTTCGTACTGCTTGAAGGCTTCCTCGTGCGAAAAGAAGAGGTGGCCCCAGTTTTGCATCTCCTCTGACAAGGCATAATGTTGTTCCATCCGAATCAGGAATCGCTGGGCAAAGTCCAGGAGGTTGTTCAGGTTGAGGAAAATTTGATGGCTAACATCACCGGTCAAAGCACCTGTCTCCTCCAATTCCTTCTTCAGTGCCTGGAGGTTTTGCAAGTGGTGGACGTAGTCGCGCTCGGTCTCCAACAGTTCCTTGAGAATGTGCTCCCGCTTGGTGAGCTTCACAGCTCCCTGCGCACCCACGGGAGCGTCTGTCACTTGCGGCCGCTTCAGTTGGCCTTGCATCTCAAGGATATCCACTACACGGTTCACCATTTTGATCACCTTGATGAACCCAGTGGTGCTCTCACCATAAAGATCAGTGATCAGGAAACAGTCCTGCTGAGGGAAAGCCAGATCCTGCAAGCAAGCCTGGAGAAACTTGAAAGTCGCCGCCTTGGGGCGCTTCGCCTCGGGCACCTTGGCAGGATCGACTACCAGCTCTTCATCGGGGCCAGAGGCATTGTAGATACTCAACAACGGATAGCCATTTCGGAGGCACTGCCACAGCGATGATACTGGATCCGTGTTACCGCGCGATTCATCCTCCTCGGCCATCTCCTGGAGGTATGGCTCGAAATTAGGGACTTCCGAGAGCCGACGCTTCAGATTCACACAGCTCTGGTAGATGGATTCTCCACCGCGCCGGTTGATGATGTTGTCCTCGGCTACCGGGATTCCGCTCATGGCGGCGGTGTCGATCATTTGGATCGCCTTGATCGTTTGCTTGAGTCAGACCAGCCAGGCTCAGTTCAAATCCGCACAGCAGATCGGGGGTATATAGAATCGGGGAGAGCGACAAGTGTCGGACAACGGGAAGCCGACCATAGGTTTGCTGCGACACGATCGATGGGGATAAAATGCGGGCCGCGTGAGGCAGGGAGCAGGTCTAGTCGGATTTCGAAACTTTGAGGCGGTCCTCGATGACACGTATAATATGGTCGCAAAAGGATTTGCTGTTCCGTTTCAAGGGGAGAGCTTGTGTCGCAAAGTGCACGGCCAGTATGTTGATATATATTCAGAGCGCAGTATCTCAAAAACGCGCCGCTGCTGTTCTCCGAAGGAAATCAGGAGTGGTCGGAAATTATACTCCGACTTGGACAGTCAGCGAATCCCAATCGATGGGAAGTAAGTGATCGGTCAGGCGAAGACACTGCAGCCGGGCAGACGTGCCGAATCACAGAAAGAAAGAACAGGCCGAACCCCCTTAGTAGTCGGTGTTGGTATGCAATAGGCCCGTCACTAGGACTGGGGGAGGTGCGACAAGGCGAAGGGGGAACGCAGGAAGAGTCAACTTCCGAGAATAAGAGAGACGAGCTTACACCCGTGCAGGATGATGGAGGATAAGGGCGCAGAAGGACAGGCGGTGGGAGGGAGAGAGGGATGATGGGGGGGGGGAGGGAAGAAAGGAGAGGGTGAGCCGAAGGAGAGGGCTGTTCAGGTACTCCATTGGGTTTAGCGTGTGTTCCATCGGGCGGTGGGATGTGGGGAGGGGCACGAGTCTCCATCTACCTGAGACGCGGGTTCTAGAGTCGAGTCTACGATTGGGCTATGACAGGAGTTGGGTGAGTGAAATTGTTGTGGAATGATAGAGGAAATTAGATGGATCAATCTCAAAGGTGCTTAAATATGATGATGTTAGGGTTAAATATCTTTACAAAGACGGAGAGAGTACTACCTATGTTTACTACTATCAACAACTATACCTAAGAAAGCGTATGGACTATTAATTGGATGAATAGACTACATTTAGAATATATTACCCTAATGTTTGGTTTCCAAGTTCCCATATATAAATATCAAAGCATATATTTTCATCCTATAGTAGCTACAGCCCTAGCTGCAGGGCTTAGCATCTCGAGTATGAACCCGGCTAGTGGACGGTAGTTATATATTGCCTGCAGGAACGCACCAGGATTAGAAACATGAAGAATGAAGACAAAGACTGCAAGGTCATAGCTCCCTAAGAAATACAGAAAACATGAAAGCTATAAGATTAGATTTAAGAATCAATAATTTATTCTTCATTCAAATGGATGCAGCGAGTCTTTTCTTTGTTGATTCACACATACTTTTGACACCCCTCTACTGAGAATCACGTGATGGCCGAACCCAAGAGGCATTCCAGAACTGCATTATTGTTCATTGTCTCTTCCCTCTGTTTATTATGCTTCTCCATTCATTCAAATTACTCAACGTCAACCGTCAAGACTAAACTTTTATCTCCAAATTTTGATTATTTTCTCTTTGCCTCCCCTCTCCTTTTATTGTTCCCTTAAATAAGCTGACCCGTCTGCCCGATGGGTGAGCAGTTGACTAGTTGACTAAACTATTGACTGCACCCGCCCGACCTATCAACTTCCTGGTGGATCCTGCCGCCGCCAAACGTTACGTGACTCGCAGTACCGAGAGAACACCCCCCATCATCTGTCTGTCCTACCTACCTCTCCGCGGCGCAAGAGGGATCATCCCTCTTTGCAACATTGAATCAATAAAGAGGCTCACAGTGACCGCGACGGGTGTCTCTCATGAGGACCGGTACCCTCCAAAACCCACCACATTAACCTAGTCCCCCTCATCCTCGTATCAGCACGCGCATTGCTGCGGTACCTTCTCCATCTTCAGCACTGATGGAGGAAGATACTGGAGCTGACTCGATATCCCGCCCAGCTTTACAGCTGCAGGCGACTTCGTTTGCTGGCTATACAGCCCCGTCTCTGTCACCTGCTTTCAAGTTAGATGAGGGCTACTCGGATGACACACGGAGCCAGCCAGACAAGGATCTTATATCGGACAATGTCATGTCGCTTCCGGAATGGGTTCTAGCTCAAAGTGAGGCCGACCGAGCTGGTAAGTGGTTTAGCCTGCATAATTTGTTTTGGGGACTTCCCTGAACTTCCCAACCTCCCAACCTCCTCTTACCTTCGCCCTGTGCTCACTAATGCAACTCAAATCACAGAATTCGCATACAGTCTGCTACGTTCTCTCTCGACTGCAACACTTGCGGGCGTGGTCGACCGTCTGAACCCTCTTCTCCACATGGACCCCGTCGTGAAACTGCCACCTGAACTTACCTTCCAAATATTCTCATACCTCGACCCCCGCACACTCTTGACGGCGTCGCTCGCATCTCGCTCATGGCGCAGCCGGATCCTAGACTCGGGCCTATGGCGCGTGCTGTATATCCAGGAGGGCTGGCGTGTAGACACCCGCGCCATTTTCAACTTTGAGCAAGAGCATGCTGAAGCGATGTCACCTCAGACCCGCCGTTCACGACCACGATACTCGGAGCCGGACTTAGGTGAACCTAAACACAAGAAGCGTGTACCACCCTCATGGTACGACACACGTGGCGCGGAGGGTCAAGGGCCATCGAATGGTAAGGTCGAACCCGATCATGAGGGCGACCACCACATGGCGGATGCGAACGATCGAGGATCACATACCTCGATGGAGAAAGCAGGGATTGCGTCACCAAGCCTTGCTCACAACTCAATCGCATTTCTTCAGCCTCCTTTGAAATCGTCGCTCCTCACGCGAACGCCGAACGGATCCCTTCGGGTGAACTGGGTGCATCTGTACAAGCAACGCCGACGTCTGGAAGCTAATTGGCACCATGGCCGATTTACCAATTTCCAGCTGCCGCATCCATCCTACCCAGAGGATGCGCACCAAGAGTGCGTCTATGCTATACAGTTCCAAGGTAAATGGCTAGTCAGCGGGAGCCGGGACAAATCCATAAGGGTTTGGGATCTGGAGACCAAGCGACTCTGGCATCGCCCCCTGATCGGGCATCAAAAATCAGTATTGTGTCTGCAATTCGACCCAAGTCCTGAAGAAGATGTCATAATTTCTGGTAGCAGCGACAGGAGTGTGATTCTGTGGAAGTTCTCGACCGGGCGGAAGATCCATCAAATCACCAATGCCCATGCTGATTCAGTGTTGAATCTTAAATTCGATCATCGGTTCCTAGTGACTTGCTCGAAAGACCGAACCGTCAAAGTTTGGAATCGACATGACCTCATGCCCAATGATGAGGACTACCCCCGAATTTGCAAAGGTGGCGGTGCCAGCTACCCATCGTATATAATCGACCTCAATGACATTGCCCCTAACATGCTTGAGGCTAGCATCGTCAACGGACATATCAAATCCTTGAAGGCCTATTCTCTGCTCATGACTGTCGAAGGTCATGGAGCTGCCGTCAATGCTATGCAGCTTCACGGCGACGAGATTGTCACCGCATCTGGGGACCGCATGATCAAGGTCTGGAATATTCGCAACGGTACTTGCTTGAAGACTCTGATCGGCCACGAGAAGGGTATTGCATGTGTTCAATTCGATAGTCGTCGCATCATCAGCGGTAGCAACGATAACACCGTGCGCATCTATGATCATATCTCCGGGGCCGAGGTGGCCTGCTTGAAGGGACATAACAATCTGGTCCGCACAGTACAGGCAGGATTCGGCGATCCACCCGGCGCAGATGAAGCTCTGCGGATGGAGGCAATGGAAGTCGAGACTGCTTTCTGGAAAGCTCGCCAAGAGGGTGCACCAGTTCACCTTGGCCCGAGCGCGCTGCGTCGTGCTGGCCATTACTCAAATACCGCGGGATCTAGAGACCCCCGTGATATCCGAGCTCTCGGGGCCAAGATTCCTCCGGGTGGTGGAGGCAGTCCTTGGGGCCGCATTGTGTCGGGCTCGTACGATGAGTCGATTCTGATCTGGCACAAGGATCGTGATGGCGCATGGGCGATTGATCACAGGCTGCGACAAGCGGATGCCGCTGCCAATGCAGCTCGCGGAAATTTGAGCGATGCAGCACGAGCTGCTATTCAAGCACAGGTCCGACAGCTGCAAGCAACTCAAGCGGCTGCAGCGGCGCCTGCACCGCAGCAACCTGCGGCAGCTCAGAACACTGCCGATCAAGACACCGTCGAGGATACACCAAACCCACCTGCCACAAATAACAACCCTCCAGTTCCTCCAGCACCCCAAGATGGCGGCGCTACCGCTGGACCGTCCAATACAACCACCGCCACGACTGCTGGCACCACTTCCAACCCCCATCCTCAACCCGCACAGCCAGTACAAGCCCCAGCCCCAGCACCAGCCCCAGCGCATCCGCCAGCGGCGGTAGTAGCTGCGGCTGCCGCCGCCGCCGGACATCAGTTTCACCCACATCGGAATAGGGTTCCGATTCCCACATCAAGGGTGTTCAAAGTCCAATTCGACTCTCGCAAGATTGTCTGCGCGAGCGTAGACCCGCGTATCGTCGGTTGGGACTTTGCATGCGGCGATGAGGAGATCTTGGAAGCATGCCAATTTTTCCGGGGACTTTGATAGTCTCACCCCACTCCTATCTCTATCTCACTTTCCTTTCTCTACTTCAACCCCTCTGCCCCCATTCGTCCCAACTCAAAATACCTATATAGAATGGGACTGGTCAATCTCAGTCTTATCCCCACTGAGCGCAACACCTCTCACTACACTCTCACCCTCTCCCCACATACGTTCCCCATGACCGCGGTACAGCAGCCTGCACCGAAGATTCTCTGAGCCTACATATATACGCCGCTCCTCATTGCCTTGCTTTCTTATATCATGCCACCTCTACGTCTACCACCCCATCCATGTGCTCGTGCATTCCCATCTTAGCCTCAATGTAATTCCTTGGTTGCCGTCATTCCAGGTCCTAGTTTTCCTTTCCCTTTCGTTTCGTTTCTGCATACGAGGAAATGCATATGCTTCGTTCTTTTCTTTCCCCGCAAGTGGTTGGTTCTTTTCGTCGTGTGTTGCCTAAGGTTTCTCCGTGTTCTCTGGACATTGCATGGCGAATGAGGCTTTGTTTCGTTTCGTTTTGGTTTTTACTTAGCATAGGGCAGAGGGAGTAGATGAATATTATAGGCTTTTCAGGAACATTTTCATATTCGATGGTCACTGATCCAAGAACTGTAATTTCATGTAGTGTTACGTGGGGTCGACGGTTCATTTACAACTTACTGACAGACTAGTGACAATAGCTGGGTACATTGATCAACCGTAATGATAAGAATTTTTAATACAAAGAAAACAAACATGAAAGGATCGAAACAACCAACCTTCTTACACGCATGATAAACGAAAGACAAGCCACCAGAAAACACACACGTCAACTTGCCCCAACAGCACCCGAAAGCTGGGACAAAGACGATACATAAGGCGAAACCCGACCCCAGACCTCCCCAATCCAACGCGGAACCTCAATCTTCCCAAATCGACCCGTCCCATCTCGAGCCTCTGCAGAATGAGTCGTAGAAGCCGAAGGTCGGCTATGTGCTGTCACGTATGTATCACGGGAAGCAGTAGTTGCCAATCCTTCCACATTTTCACGACTTTCTTGGAAAGAGAAAGGACAGGATCTTAATAGGCAGCAGAAATATAGCTGTAGTGGGAGCCAGGCGATGATGTCAGAGGCTGAATGTGTGCCCTCAATGATTGAGTTCCCGTCCGAGTCATCGTCGTTGTCGATGGTCTGAACAGATTGGAGTTGGGAATGGTGCGGAGGGATGTGGGTTGCTGCTGTTTCTGTGGCTTGACGGCTGGTAGATTGGACGCCATTGACTCCATCTGGATGGGTGGATGGACATGTAATCCCGAAGAAGGAGCGCGATCTATCTGATCTCCCGGGCTGTGACGTCGTCGAAGAACTGGGCAAAGAAAGACCATCATGGAACGACCATAATCTCCTCCCCATAGAAGGGGGTACATAGCCTCGAACCCGTCGTCTCGGCGGCTGGACATTGACACCCCCATCCTTTGTACTACAGCCTTCACGTTCAACTCCATCGCCGACTTCCGAGATAGGAAGAGTATTCTGGTGGAACAGATGCTCATGTATATGCCGCGCCATATTGGCGTTATGCCCGCTCTGTCGATAGGGGAGTCGGCCATGAACTATCGTTCCATCATCGGCTCGTCCAATTCCCACAGCAGACTGTGTATTTGCCCGTGCATCAACCGAGGATGGCAGACCGAGGAGTCTCCGAAAGGTCGTCCCGTAAGAAGCTGAACCCGGATCACCACTGGCCGCATTTCGCTGAGCATAGAAACGTCCGCCATTCTGTCCAGTGAGAAATTGAGCAGAGACGTCGACTGCCTCCTGCGTGTTGAATGATGGGAGTCCCGGTGGTGTAGGCATTCTTTCTGGCGGAGGATATCGCGGCTGATTAGGCACGACTGCTGGTCCCGGCTTTGCTGGCCAATTGGCCAATCTTTCAATGGGTTCAACTGTATCAAGGGAAACGGCCTTGCGATGGCTCTGAATAGCTTCAGCAATGAACGGGATATCATTCGAATCCGACGCCCTCTGTGCTGGACAATTCGAGTACTGCTCGGAAAGCGCTTGATGGCGGAACCAGACTGGTTCGACCTTCTTGTGCTCCTTTTTCCTGCCATGTTGACGTGCTGTCAAAGGAGGGCTGCTGGCGGAGCTACTGGTCGGAATGAACATGGCGAGATTGGCTGCTAGCCCTTCTTCCCTGATAGGTTCCATCTCATAAATGGTGTCGTATCCCCGGGATTCCCTGCTGCAAGTGGGTACCACGATGGCATTGAATATATCCTTCTCGTCGCTGAGAATGGATTCCGAGTCTGTGGTGACATCGTCGCTGGGAGAGAGGTGCTTCAAATCGAACAATGAGCGGCGCTGAGATTGTGGGGATTGACGGATGACATCGCCTGCTGCCCGATCACGGTGTCTGGCCATAATGAGAGTAGACATGGCAAAAAATGAAGGAATGTATGTTGGTATAGAATGGACATACGTGAAGATTGAACTCGGTTGAGATGTAAGTAGGGTAACAAGTAACAACATCATCGCGCTTGCCGTGGGAAGAGAAGCGCTCATGCAATTATTATACAGCGAAAGAAAAGAAGTCTAATTTGTACAAGTCCTGATCGAAATGCAAGAAAGTCCGAAAACAGAAACTATAAGTCATCATCATAATGGGGTGCCAACGGGGCTGGGTATGGGTTTGCCAGTCACTTGAGCGTGCTCTTTCCTGAGGGCTCGGAGTAACCCTTCGATTCGACGCCGCTCTTCTTGTTCCCTCTGTAATCACAAAATTAGCAACCGCTAAGAAAAAGATCATAGATTTAAGAGAGCCTACCTTCAGGATCTTCATGTTTTCATTACGCGTGTCACGCATCATCTTCTTAAACTCGTTCTTCAGCACCATGGTCGACGTAGTCTCGGATGTTCCATCACGGCCCACAGAACCGGGACTGTTCAAGTTCATCCAGTTAATACGCTCCTCGCTGAGCTGCTGCTCCAGCTGCTCGCAGCGATCGCGCATCGAATCAATAAGACTCTCGAATTGCTCGCGCTCCTTCTCAAACTCGATGCTGGCCTTAGTCATGGCTTCGTAGTCATCGAGAGTCTCCCGGAGCTCCTTCTCAAGAGTATCCGCCCGTTGCTGGAGGTCGCCACCACCGCCTTGCTGGCCCTTGAGCATGGCAAGCTCCTCGGTCAACTCAATGTTGCGCGTGTGCAGGCTGTCAATCTCCTTCTGGATCTCAGGGTTGGCAGCCACCTCGGCGGCACGCTGGGCACGGGTACCGTAGGCACCGTCGAGCTCGGCCTTGACCATGGTGAGTTCAGTGGTGATACGCACGACCTCGCCTTCTAGCTCGGTCATCTCCTTCTGCAGGCGAGCAGCGTTCTCTTCAGCCTGATCACGCTGACCGAGCGCCTCCTTCAAGTGAGCGTCAGCCTGGTCCCGTTGGTTGACTGCTTGCTTCACCATGGCATCAGCTTCGGCCAGTTGAGCGTCAAGTTTGTGGCGCTCATCGAGCACCTCCTTCAAGCGTGAATCAGCTTCGCTGCGAATCTGTTGAATTTCAGCCTCGAGCTGGGCGACTTCTTGCCCAGCACGCTCGTTGGCTTCTCTAATTTCTTCCGTGCGGTCGTGTGCCTCTCTGACCTCTTCAGCACGCAGATCGGCCTCGGTGTGTAACGAGTCGATCACGCTTTGCAGGCGCGCGATCTCGCCCTCAGCGTGTACCAGGGAAGCCTTGACCTCGTCCTTGGGAGAGCCGTCATGACGCAGAACCTCCAGCTGCTGCATGACCGTCTCCAGCTCAGCTTGATGGGCCTGGCTCTCACGCTCGGAGGCCTCGTAGTCCCGACGCACCTGGGCGAGTTGTTCGGTCAAGTCGGCAATGTGGGCATCTCGTTCCGCATCCGACTTGCTGTTGAGCTCACGCTGCTGCTGGATTTGCGTGGTGAGGATACTCTTCTGCTCCAGCAATCCATCCACTCGGCTGGCGAGGCCATCCACGCCGGTTTGGAGATATGACAGCTGTTCCTGCAGGCCTTCACCATCTGATGCAGCAGGAGGCGGGGGCAGAGTTGGTGATCGGGTCAATCCGAACCGGTCAACAATGCTTTGAACCCGGTTATTGATATCCGTGAGCTGCATCTTCCATGCGCCTTCCGCCTCGGGCGCCGCAGCACCTGCTTCGACCGAGAGACCTCTAGCAGAGCCAAACGAGTGAAGAGAATGCAGGCCATGCTCGAGGTATGCGATGTGCGCTTCGATCGTGGATGAAGGTCCACCCGGGTGAGGTGGTGGTTCGACGAATTCGTCCGGATTTGCCTGAGCCATCATATTGCAGAGGCGCTCGCTGAGTTCCTCCAACCTCTTTTGGGATTCGGGATTCACTGCTGCACCCACAGGGGCAACATCAATCCTCCCTTTTACCCCGTAATTGTCCAGATGCTCTGTCGTACGGTACAGGCTGCGGTCGTCAAAGTCGTACCCGTCGTCAAGACCATCGGCACCGTCCACGTTCTTCGGAGTCTTCTTCAAACCCTTGTGGGTCATCTGCAAGACACCCGCGGTATGTTCGAGCAAGCGCTGGGAGATCTGGTTGGACTTGTGTTCCAGCTTCCACAGCTCTTGCGCCAACTCCTCGCATCTCCTCTGGCTCATTGCCAGTTCCGAATCACTCTTATCTAAAGCTTCCGCAGCGCCACTCCGTCCGAATATACTGCGGCTACGTCGATGCGACTTGTCGGTACCGTTGGCGCCGTACTCGCCGCTGCTCCGGGGACTTGGGGGGCTGTAGAGTCGGCCGAGGGACTGAGCTGCATCGCGAATCTTGGTCTCCATGGCGAGTTTGCGCCTAGTACTCTGGATGCGAGTTGAAAGGAGGGAACGTTCTTTCTTCAGTTGTTCGACCTCATCAAAGGAGAGAACCTCGTAGTTGGTGCTATCGCCGATCGCGGTCTCGGTCAAAAGGTACATCATGACTGGATCCCTAGGATTCAGCAGAGCCGAGCTCCGCGGGTGACTGGGGTTAAGCTGTTGACACCATCGGAATGGTTAGCAAGATCCGTGGTTCTGAGGGTGTTCGTTGCATCCTTGGGCGTGTCCCTGGGGGTTCCCCTTACCGGATTGTACCGCGGCCGGTCCTCCTCGGGGTGGAGGGCATCGCGGTAGCCATCGACCAAAGACTTGGCCGGCGGGCCGTGGAAATCGGAGACGGTAGCGGTAGATAGATAGCGAGGGTCTCCGTAGGAGGACTGACTGGATCGAAGGCTGATATTCATGTTGGGCTGGGCGTTCAGGGCGGAATGCCGGCGCGGGACTGATTGGACTGGGGCTCGGGGGAAAAGTTTTCAAGAATGGGCCATCATGCGAAGCCGACCGGGGAAACAATGCAAGTGGAGGATGTGGCAGGGATTCGGAGAATATTGAAGGAATGACGAGAATGAAGAGAAGGGCAAAATGCACGGGGCTGAGGAGAAATTGAAGGTGGGGAGAGAGGAAAAGAAGGAGAGGATCAGCGGAGGCTGAGGAACTCCGCCACAAGATTTTCGTGGTCTTTCATTGTGATGTATGAGATGGTGGACAACTCGACAGATAGAGAACTCTATAGAAACATAGATGTCGATATAGATATACGAGTATAGCAACAGTGGACCAGTCCAAAGGATTTAAAATGTGTGTCATCATATCAGATCCGCCAATGGATCCATAACCCAGTGTCTAGTGTTCCAGCATGTATCACTTGGAAGCAGCTATGACTACAAGCTAAAGAAGACTAAGTTACTAACTAACTAGCCACTACTGTACTGTACTACTACAACTGCGACCACATAATAATAATAATATTTATTTTTTATAGGGGCTATTCTTCTCAGGCTGTCAAAAGACTCTAGATTACGCCAACCAAATACTAAATGCCATCTCCACCACTTACAACTCCCCCCAAGACCGCCACCACGGAACACAATCGTCGTCCGAGTTGATTATAAGCGAGGGCACTAACAAGTCTGGCACATGGCTAGTTAAAACCATGTCTTTAGTCAATAAAGGAGTCGTACTGGAATTCTCCGTCAATCTACGACCATCCGTACTACCAACTACTCTATGCTTAGTGCAACTAATTGCTGACGTCCGTCGGCCCCTGCCGTTGTGATTTGCGGGGTCGTGACCCAAATCCAGTGGTTGTCGCATGCAGAACCTCGGGATCAACTTGGGTTTAATGGTTACATTCACATTTAATTCCTGAACAACCATGATCAAAAGAGGGAGAGAAAAAGCAGTGAGTTTGAGAGTTCCCCGTGGATTTTGGGATTGGGTCCGACCATAAAAGCTAGTTTCGTACGAAGTAGTTCTCTAAATTAAAGGTCGAGAGCTCGCTCTTTGCCCTCGCTCCTGGTCTTCTTTGTCTACTTATCTCTACCCCCCCCCCCCCGGTCTTTCATACGTACTACTTCTTTAGTCTGCTACTACTCTACTCCTCAGTCGGGAGGAGCCTCTGGGACAGACTACTCCTCTTCCTCTTCTTGTATTCCTCTCTTCCTAGCTTCCCCCGCCCACAAGAGGGATGTGTTCTGGTCTGTCCATCTTCTTCGAACATGTCGACGGCCAAGGAGATGGAGGTGCCCACCACGCGACCAGTCGTGTACAAGGTCTACAAGCGTCGATTCTGGGGACTGGCCCAGCTGGTCTTGCTGAATATCGTCGTGAGCTGGGATGTATGCTTAAATTCTCAGAATATATCACAAACTGCTGCACATGCTACATTCCGAAACTATATCTGACCTATCTCTCGTTCTAGTGGTTGACCTTTTCCTCGATCTCGACCACCGCTGCCGAGTACTTTGATGTTTCCGAAAGTGCCATTAATTGGCTGAGCACCGGGTATCAGTTTGCCTTTTGTATCGCCAGTCCGTAAGTATACACTTGACAGACAATCGCATGAATTGACAAATGCGCCGAGTCTATGCTATACTGCATGCTTGATCTCGACGTTCGCTAACCCCGCGCTTTCTCTTTCAGCTTCGTCATTTGGGTTCTCAACAAAGGCGGCCCTAAGCCAGCCATCGTCACCACTGCGGCGCTCCTACTCGTCGGCAATTGGCTGCGTTATGCAGGTACCAAAGCCAACGGAGGCATCTTCGGACTCGCCATGTTCGGCCAGATCATTATCGGTCTGGCGCAACCCTTCTGTCTGTGTGCGCCCACACGCTACAGTGATCTCTGGTTCTCCGATAAAGGACGTACCAGCGCCACGGCACTCGCCAGTTTGGCAAATCCATTGGGCGCGGCAATCGGACAATTGGTGGATTCGGAATGGGCAACCAAGCCATCTGATATCCCCAATATGGTTCTATACATCTCCGTGATTGTAAGACGTTCCCTTCCTCACCTACCATTAGCCCTCGTGAAGGAGAACTATATCAACCCCACAGAAAGAGATAGTATACTAACAAATCCTTCAACAGTCAACCGTCGCCTCAATCCCAGCCTTCTTCCTCCCCGCCTCACCACCCACACCACCCAGTGCCTCATCCACCGTCCCCCGCACCCCCCTCATCCCCGCAACCCGGCAACTCCTAGGAACCCTCGAATTCTGGCTCATCCTCGCCCCCTTCGCCGTCTACGTCGGCTTCTTCAACAGCATCTCCTCCCTGCTCAACCAAATCCTCAGTCCATACGGCTTCTCCGAAAACGACGCCGGCATCGCCGGCGCAATCCTCATCGTCGCCGGCCTCCTCTCCGCCGCAATAACGTCCCCCATCACAGACCGCTGGAAACATTACCTCGGTTCCATTCGCATCCTCGTCCCAATCATCGTGGCCTCGTACATCGGGCTTATTTTCGCACCGGCGAGTAGCGCGGGCATTGGACCAATTTATGTTGTTATGGCATTGATGGGGGCGTCGTCGTTTGCGATGTTGCCGATTGTGTTGGAGTATTTGGTGGAGATTACGTATCCGTTTTCGCCTGAGATTGGGAGTACGATTTGTTGGACTGGTGGGCAGTTGCTGGGTGCTTGTTTTATTCTTATTCAGGATGCGTTGAAGGATGGTGATGGTGATGCGGGTCCGCCGGGTAATATGCACCGGGCATTGATTTTCTCGTGTGTGATTTGCGCGGTGGTGGCGCCGTTGCCCATGTCTATTGGGTTGTTTGGCAGGATCGTTAAGCGGAGGAGGTGGGATGTTGATCGTGGGGTTGAGTTGGATGTGTCTGAGGTGAGTCCCCAAGGTACGGAAGTTGTACCGGATGGGGGGATTTCCCATACACACTCGGGCAGTGTGCTGGAAGACTCGGCTTGCAAGAAGGTCTGAGTTGAGGTTTTGCCGGCGAGTATGAATGATCATTACTGCAAGCCTATGCGTTCCTGCGATATTGTTATAATTTGCACCTCAGCTGTTGATATATCTTACCCTTTCTCTTTGTCTTACACTGAACATGTTTTCCCGGATATTTTGATGTATACCCCTTCTGGTCATGCGAGGCGTCCCCTTTTCTCATCTTCGAGATACGTGGCTTGTCCCATTTAGCGGACTCTTTGAACATAGTGGGAGAATGAATGTCTATATATCAGTTAGACGTATGGACGAAGTATGTTCCTTACCTAGTGAAAGGCTGTTGCTTGGCCCTGTTCTCACTAGTCCAAGTGTGAATTTCCAGCCGATAGTATCCAGGGGCCACGATATCGAACAGAGAGTAATGGCTGCTTACGGACCACATCTCGAATATTTGGACTGAGTCACTTTAATATGTCTAAATGTATGTTCCTCCCAGACTTTGTCGGGGCGAGAGGATAACTCTGGACTTATCACCAATCCAGTCTCAATCAAGTCTCATCAATTCAACCTGTGCTCAGGTATAGTGTCTACTCTCAGGTTACCAAATAATAAGCAATCGTAGGGAACAACGTCAAATCCTTCCGTTTTCAACAGATGAGATTCGTCTTAAGACACAGTAAATAAAAACACAAGCACAGTTCGAACAGGCGGAAGACCAGCTATCTGTACATGCAAGGCAGAGAGAAGGCGGTCTATTATTCTTTCCTTTCCTTTCCTTCCTCCCTCCCTGCCTTGAAAACACCATATGCACACAGAAATGGACCGAGAAAGTATTCAAGACACTCCTCGCCCAACCCCATGTTTTCAAATCAAGGACATAGACGGCAGACTGTCAAATATTGTGGGTGACAGTCATCAGGGAAACGGATTCGTAGTTCTTTCAGGTATTGAGTCTTCGTATGCCCGTATCGAGTCAGTCGGGATGTGCGGGGTCGAATCGATGCGAGAGTAGAGAGACGCCGTGCTGAAAGAGGGTCCTGGGTGATCCGTTTACTTGAGCTCACGCCAGAGCTTGGGGGCGGCGCAGGCAGTGGCGCAGTGGGTGAGGTGGAAGACTGAATACCGTGTAAGCAAAGGGTTCAGAGGTGGGTTCATAAATAACGGGACACGACGATCGGTTGCATTTAGCTCCCCGATCCGATGGAAAACTTACACTCCTCGACGCAGTCCTCCTTGGGACCCTTGTAGTCCTCATCCTCCTGCTGGCGGGTGACACGCTCGACGCACTCGTCGAAGTGGTGCTTGTAGGGAGCGCACTGGGCGGAGTTGGCGCACTCTGAACGGGAATGAGTCAGTAATGCACGATTCCTCTAATTTTTAGATGACCTGAAGCGATTGCAATGCCATTGAAGCGGTCCGCGATGCGGGTGATGATCCCGAGAGCCACCTGCGATCAGACTCGAAACATCCGCACGCCCGGTGAGGCTTGGGGACAATGCGAAACTTCTCACTGGCGATGGCAATGGCACAATCACAGCAGGATTGAAATCACTCACCCTCCTCGAGCTTGGGCTTGATGTCTTCAGGCTCCTCCTCCTCTTCCTCCTCTTCTTCCTCTTCCTCCTCCTCAGCCTCGGCCTCCTCTTCCTCAGGAGCCTCCTCGGAGGACTCCTCGGGGGTCTCCTCAGCAGACTCGGACTCAGTTGTCTCTTCGGTAGACTCGTCGGTCTTCTCGGCGGGCTCGGCGTCCTGGGGGGTGGAAGTCTCGACGTCGGCAGCGGGAGCCTCAGCCTGAGCCTCGGTGAAGCCCAGGGAGGAGACGACGTCAGTGAAAAAGTCGGCGAAACCCATTGCGACTGTCAATTGAAGACAATGACCAGAGGGTCGTGGGAGATTGTGGTGGGGATGGGGTGTATGGATTGAAGGTAGGGGTGGTGAAGTCGAGGATGTGGTTTTCCAAGCTCGGACTGGAAAATCGGGACGCCCCGGCCGCTGAGAGCACAATTGTACCGCACGTGATTGGTCAGTTTCTCCTCGCGATCTCGTCCTTAACAGCGTCGATCGGGGGGATTATGTTTCTACAATTATTATAGTCACTACATTTGAAGCTTTATGGCAGTCATGATGCTCGATTTTACGACCAGAGAATTTGGTGATGGGGTCGCGCCAGCGCACGTCATGTCAGTTCCGATCGCTTTCTATGGGGGAACTGCCGTGGTAACCGCTTTGGGTAACTATCAAAGGGAAGAATCATAATAATGTACATGGAAAAAAGTATCCTCTCTTGGCTCCTATTTCAGAGCTGAGTTCATATGAGACGAAATCAAGGAATGAAAGATGATATCTCGTGCCGATTTCCCGTCCATTTCCATCTTGCAGAACCAACAGGTTAACTGGCCCGACGTAACCGCTCCTCCAACTCCTGGGCCACACTTTGCGACTGCACCTCCTCATAACAAGGAGGTGGTTCTGCCGGTTCAGGGCCGCCCTCTGACACTTGCCGGGCGTGCTGTGGTGCTACCGGAGCACCGCTGGCAACTGGAGGGGGTCCTGTATTCCCCGGACCATCGTATGCCGGCAACTCCTCAAGGTGCACCGCAGAGAGGTCCACACCTCGCACGCCCCGAGCCCCATCGCTCACATTCTCCACGGCCTGTTCCAAGCGCTCTCTTATCCGCTCAAAGTTGGTGTGGAAGTCAAAGGCTCCGCCTTCCTTGAAGGTCACCTTGATCTGGACGGCGGGGAGGGATGAGGAGATACCGCCTCCGGCGACGGGTTGGATGAGAGCAGTCCAGACATTAGGACCAAAGAATGGGGCGGAAACATGAGAGTCGCGGACGTTGAGTAGGGGGGAGGAGAAGGATTGGAAGGTGTCAGATTTCTGGGCGGGGAGGTAGACAACCTACGACGGTGGAAGCTTTTAGCTGATGCCTTAGAGCCAAGGAACAGGAAGGGGGCAAGATCAGGTATATACCCTTTGGTTGGTGAGATGAATACAGCCTGCGCTGCTCTGTACTGACAAGGTCTCTTGGCCCTTGTAGCCGGAGGGTGGTGTCAGCACCAGGCTGGTGCGGGGAGGTGAGGAATAAATCAGGCGTTCGTTAGGAAGGCGAACGAAGCCCTCCTGGTCGTCGAGCATCACCCAGCTGCGGAGTCATGTCAGTACTTGGCAGCTCTGATGAAAAGGTTTGAAGTAAGAGGGGACGTACTTGATAGACATGATGATGATGTGGAGCTGACAGTCATGCAACTGTGTTGAGGATGGGGAGGTGAGATCCGGAAGATGGTAGAAGAGAGGCGGAATCAATGGTGTGAGAGAGTTCAAGGATCGGCGTGGTTGTCAGGGCCAGGCCAGGAGTAAGTTCAGGAACATATTCAGGAATCACGGCCAGGGTCTGGACCTTCAAGAGTCCGCGACAGAGTCCGGAAGGGAGTAAAATCAAGAGTTGCGGGGCAGAGGCGGGGAAACTGCCGCACCTGACAAACATCACGTTCCAGGTGATGGGGCATGCACCTGACTTAGAACATCTAGAATAAATCACACTCTACTTCAACAGTCAAAAAGTTTATGGTTCCCCCGATTTTCTGTTATTCTCTGTTCGCTCTCCTTGACTTGCAATCTTCGAAGCGCAAGCTATGTAGAGTCGAGGTCCCATGTCTTGGTATACTGGGTAGTACAGAAGACTCACTCACAATGTGACCAATTCATCAAGCAAAAACTTGCAGAACTAAGTTATAGGTCATCAACAAGACATCCCCCATTTTCACCATTTTATTATCAACTACTTTCAACAACTCGAACCTCTTTATCATACACAAGGATTTCAGTATCCCTCCCTTGACCCCCATCGTCCACACGAGGCATCACAGCACGCAAGATCAGGGCTATATACATGCCTATGAAGCCCAACTCCAATAAGTGAACTAGTCCAGAAATAAGATGCCACGGCCTCCCTTCTGAGACTGGTCTACTACAGAGATCTCTAGATCCGGAGCAGGAACTTTTAAATCAGACATCCTATCCGATCAAGCATCTAGGCGTCTCACACCAGCCACATTCTGCTCGACCGTCACCTCCTGCGTCATACTGATTCCATGCTCGCTGATGACGCTCTGAGCACTACTACCTTCCTTGTGGGCTTGCAGGGTAATCTCTTCCCCGTCATAGGTAGCGGAAGGATCGTCAGACTGGTTGTAGCTGGATTGAATGCGAACGAGGAGAACACGGAGGGCAGGGATGGAGGCGGCGAAAATAGTGAGACCTGTTTCGACAGAGGCCCAGATTGTGATCGAAGTGCAGAACCCTATTAACGTTTTTGTCAGTCATATCGAGTCCAAGATTGGGAGGTAGGATCACTCTTACAGGTAAAGTCTTGAACCTGGGCAACGTTGACCAATTTCGAGGTCTTGATGAATGCGGCAATGGCGGCGCTGAGCGGTTGTCAGTAAAAAGAACCCTCCATCGTCAATATTGCCACTTACATGATACCCATACTCATAGCGAGAGCAATACCAACCTTCTCACGCTTCTTCATTTCGAGATTCCAAAGGACCGCCCACGGGAGAAGTGCAAGAATCACATCCATGCACCCGGAGTATGCTACAATACCTAGGCATTAATCTCTGTAATACTTCAAGAGAATCAATCATCTTACCCCCAGCAACAAGAGCAATGGTCTCGAATACTTCTATTGGCCAGCATTTGGCGGTAGCTAGGAGCTTAGCGTCCCAAAGGGCCGCTGCCGGCTTGCATTGAGCCAGATAGCAGATAGCACAAAGCCACATGATGGCATTCATCGTGACGATAATAAACCACAGAAGAACCTTCATCCAAGTTTTGGTGACGATGCGCATCAGAGTAAATGCGAAAGAAGTCTTGCTGAAGACACAGCCAATGATGACAATCACGAAGCTGATGTATAAGAGCTTGAGTGCTGGTGGTATGATTTCCGGGTCTTCGATGGCGAATATGTGTCTACCGATTACTCCCATATTCACGGACCGGGTAATGAGGGCCGTGTAAATCAGGAGCAGGGACTTAGTCCGAAGTCAGCCACTGCGAATAGTATAGTTCCATTGTATAGACATACCCAAGCGACACAGATAATGAAGTCATCTATACCGAAGCCTCTCTTACTGAGTGCGAGCTTACACCACAGTCGTAGACCAACCATCAAGCCGGGAATGATGACTAGAAGCCAACAAACCGCTAGAATGGTCGGGCCCTGGTTCTGGGCGTCGACAGCAGTAGATTCCATGGCCATGAGCTCAAACCCTCGTCAGGACGTAAAAGAATGTAGAGAGGAAGCGAGAAATGAGTTCAAGGATCGCCCATAAAACCTAGTGACGAACGTGGAGAACCAAGGATAATAAACATCACGCCAGATAGCCCCTTAGAGGTCAACAAGCTTGTTATCGAGTCCACTTCATGAGTAGAAAGAAGCAAAAGAGGCAGGACCGAAGATCATTTCGAGTAGGATATGTCCTCAAGATGTGATATTCCAATCAGGGAGATATTATGCTATGCGGAAATACAACCTTGCATCCCGGAGATGACAGATGCCATACCGGCTTCAAATCCGACGACTGGGAGTGATTCACAGCCATTGAACGATGTTGATCACAGGCAGTGATTTGAGCTATTGATGCCCCTGGGGCTACTATTTGATCAGATCAAAGTCGCCATTCCAAGTTGCCACCGCGCCAACAGTACAACACGAAGAAGTAGACTCGACAGATCGCGTGCGAGGGTTGCATATACCAAGACAGGCGATGGCACTCTGCAAAGGCGATCAAGTGATTGATCAGTAGACCTAAACAGGCAATTACACGGGTTCGCAGTACCCCATACCCCGTGAATATGTTTGTAAAACTGTACATGAGCAAGGAGCAGTTCAATATGGACCGCAAAGATGTGGTCTTTAGCATCGAGTACACTAGTGCAGATGACCATCTCGCACATTTCACATACTATTGGCTGCGGTATTTCCAAGCACGCGGACTTGTCCACAATGGCCTCGCCACTGCATGAGCTGCATATTCCTGAAAACTCGGATCGAAAAATTATGTAAAGTTGGCATCAAATTTCAAATTATTGCGTTGGCTTGGCTGAAGCCGCCATCACTGGTGGAGAACGTTGCAGCCCTAGCGCTGGAGGGCTCGAGGCGCCAGCTCCACGGGCCTGGCAGACTTGACATCTGATTGAACAATGCGAATTGCCCGGGAAGAAGGAACGAGCTGAAGAAGTCAACCCTCTGAAACAAAACTTTGTTCTTCCAAGCCAGGTTTTGCAGCTTTTCTTTTTCGAACGTATCCATTATCACTCACACAGTGGGTGGAGTCAAGCGGCCCCTTCCCCGCGCCTCCACTTATAGCCGAACTCAAAAATCCACTTGCAAAGAGATGTGATCTATCGATGTGTCCAGAACGGTGATAACGGTGCGAGTGATACGCCGTACGAGAATTCGTCAGTGGACATGATTCTCCAAGAAAGGGAGCCAATGATATTTGTGGATGTCTGAAATACAAACTCAGCTCATTGGGTATTAATATACGACAAGCCTTGCAGCTCGCTACTGTACCGTGATATGTACATGCGGTTCGGAGTTCTAGATACCTGCATAAGTACATAAGCTGACATTCGCCCGTTGGAATAGTTCTCCAACCACTCAAATTGCCTCGATCGATTACGAGCCCTAATACCTGGCCTCCTTCTTCTGGAGATCTTCTCATTATCTACAAAAGTACATAGCCAGTGGCTTCACAACCCCCCCCTTCCCCTCTCTTCGCGTCAACTATCCTGTCCGTGCGAATGGCCACTGTTGGTATCTTCTCAGAACCCCCTCTTTTGTGGGGCACCAGAGGAGGGACTAGATCTCTTGAAGAAACTCTCTTCAAAGCTGGTGTTATTTATGTAGCTGGTGGGGGAAGCTTAGGAAATATCCACTGTTCCTAGGTCTCCCTTTCATAGAATTTATCAGACTTGAATTCAATTGAGCAGACACTATGAGTTATCTGGCAGATCTCGTCACGAATCTTGCCCTCTCGGTGGTGATTCTTTTAATCTCTCGTTTTCTCTGGAATTACATCCGGTCACCACTCAAGTCCTTCCCGGGTCCTGCTCCTACCGGTTTCACCAACATCTGGCGCCTGCAAGATGTCTTTCGAGGGCGATGCGATATCACACAGACTGCTTTGCATCGCAAATATGGATCCGCTGTTCGAATGGGTCCGAATCTTCTCAGTCTCTCTGATCCAAACTTGATAAGCCAAGTGTATAACACGAAGAGTCCGTGGCTGAAGGCATGTCATTACTCCGCGAGACTTATCAGTGTTTCTCCTACTAATAGTGATCTATCTTTAGAGTAATATGTACAATGTGAATGATGTCGTCGTCTCCGGAATGCGTCTCAGCAACCTCTTCTCCAGCCAGGATGAGAAGTGGCATTCAACGTTTACTCGTCCCGTCAAGGGTCTTTACTCTATGAGTAGGGTCCAGGAAGTCGAAGATAATATGGATATTACAGTGAACCTGTTTCTTGATAAGCTCCGGGAACGATTTGTTCGGACCGGAAAGACCTGTGAGATGACTGACTGGATCAGCTTCTGTGAGTACACACATTCCTACCCTTTTCAACAGATATTAGCTGACGGGTATAGTTGCTTGGGATGCTATGAGTCAGGCTACCTTCTCTCAAGATCTTGGTATCCTGGAGGCTGGTAAAGATTACAAGGGTTTCCTCGGAAGGTCTAACCAGACACTAGACTACTTTGCCTCAGTATGATTTCAGATTATCTTAAAACGAGACATACTAATGTTTTCACTAGATCTGCCAAATCCCACTACTGGACATGATCTTTGACAAGAATCCGGTTATGCGCATTGGACCTCCAACTTTCGTCTGGGCTAATATCTTCAGCCTCGAGCAACTCCAGAAACGTTACCAAGAAGGCAACCCCGGGAACAAGCAAGACTTCCTTGCCAAGTTCCTTGAGATCAAAGAGAAGAACCCAGAGTTTGTCAACGATAATACAATCATCCTCTGGCTCCTCTCCAATGTCCTCGCGGGTAGCGACTCCACCGCCTATACTATGTGCGCAGCAATCTACTACGTCCTCAAGAACCCGGACGTCCACAAGAAACTCTGCGCCGAGCTCCGCGCCGCCAACCTCTCTCTCCCCGCAAGATGGAAAGATATCCAAGGGCTTAAATACCTTGAGGCTGTGATGCGCGAGACTATGCGCGTGCACCCGGGTGTTGGGCTTATCCTCGAGCGGGTCGTTCCTAAGGGTGGACTGTCTCTCCCTGATGGCCGCTTTGTACCCGAGGGAGTCACTGTAGGAATGAACCCTTGGGTGATCAACAAAGACGAGGGTGTTTTCGGGGCGAACACGGATGACTTCATCCCCGAAAGATGGCTTCAAAGCCCAGGCGAGTCTGACGAGGTCTATCAAGCGCGTTTTTCCAAGATGAAGGGTACGGACTTTACTTTTGGGGCTGGATCGCGCGCTTGTTTGGGACGGTATCTGTCACAGTTGGAAAGCTTTAAGCTTATTGCCACGCTGTTTAGTACCTTTGATGTGAGTTGACATTGCGTGATGAGACTATACTTTATGTGTGCGAAGGATCTGGTTGGCTAATGAGACGTATAGATGGAACTTCCGAGTCAAGATCATCAGTGGAAGGTCATCAACTCGTGGTTTGTGAGACAGAAGGATCTACCTGTTCGTCTGTCAGAACGAAAAGACGGAGCTGTCGTTATCTGATCCTTGTCTAATATGTTTTGATTATGTTGGGTGTTATGATTTGAATTTGGTATCTGAACATGGATACTAATGGATGAAGCCGAGGGATACCTATAGGATTGTACGTCACTCGACCACTTGCAAATTGAGGAATATACTTCTTTTGTCTTCTTCCAATCAGACTTCATCCACACCTAGAAGACTGTCATCAATGACGACAGGTTGACGAGCTTATCTCCGCCCCTCAGCAGATCCCCGCAGATGCACACCCGCTTCGCGTCGGCTTAATATGGCGATCTCCCCCAACAGAGTATTTGAGCTTGGGAAGACACGCAGAAAGAAAAGATGTTGGGCTCATAGCGGAGCCAATAAGAATATATCTTAATGGTCAATACGGCAGTAGTCGCGAGAAGTGGAAATCCGGTCGCTCCAGATAGTAAAAAAAGTATAATAGGTTGCGAGAGTCTAAACCCACGCGAAGAATGTTTGTTGGGATAGCTCCCCCGCGGGGCCATAGAGCTTGACCTACCAATATTTTTCTTCCCCGCTAGTACATGAGTAATTGTAGCGACACAAACAGTGTCAGCAAATCAAATCCGCATTCTCCATGACGAAAGTGTTTAGGTCTCACAAAGCAGGGCGTTTGGGTTCTACAATCGTCTAGAGTTCTAGAAGGGTCTGCCATCAGGCGACTGAAATCACGCTAAACCAGTCCCCCAAACTTTCCAGATTCAACCTCCCCCTCCTTCTACCCAGTGTTTTGACTCAACTGGACTTTGCAAGCCCTTCATAGTCCTGGAGTCATCTTGTTGGAGCTGCATGAACACTGAACAGCCATCGTCTTGTGGTTGCTGAACGAGGGACTTTGTACAAAACGACCCTGAAATTCGCAAGCGGGTCCAAGCTCTTGCGGCTAAGAATATTTGACGGGGCCGCAACGCTTCATGTGAACTCTGCGTTCCGACCCTTTTACTCCACTGATCACGCTCACTGAGCCTCTCTGATCTCCATTCAGGGTAACGCCGCCACCATGGCGAAGAAACAGGCGTATATCCCACCCCTGATCGGGTGGCTATACGATCTGGTCCTGTGGACGTTCTCCGTTCTCATCGACCTCTTCTTCCGCGAGGTACACCCGCGTGGATCCTGGAAGATTCCTCGTCGAGGACCGATTATCATTGTCGCTGCCCCTCATGCGAACCAGGTATGTAACTCCTATGCTACCATTGCCATATCCGCGCTAACCCGGCCTTCCCCGGTAGTTCGTCGATTCGCTCGTCCTTATGCGCGTTATCCGCAGCGAAGCCCATCGTCGCATCTCATGGCTGATTGCGGAAAAGTCCTTCCGGCGCAAGTTTATCGGGCTGTTGGCCAGGGGTATTGGAACATTGCCCGTGGCGCGTGCTATGGATAACTTGAAGCCGGGGACTGGTACCGTGTATCTTCCCGACCCTGTCAATGAACCCACCCTCCTGCGCGGCGTGGGTACCAATTTTGAAGGTGCTGGATTTGAGCCGGAGGGTACAATTGCACTGCCGACGATCAATGGGACCTCGCACAGTACAGCTATTGCGGAAATTCGGGGCCCTGAAGAGCTGGTTCTCAAGAAGCCTTTCAAGCACAGAGATGCTTTGTTCCAGCTGACCGGCCGGAAAGATATTGATGATGATGGCAATTTTACCGGAGATGCGGCGGACCAGAACTCGGAGTTCAAGGGCACCAAGTTCAAGGTCGCGCCGCATGTGGACCAAACGGCAGTCTACGAGGCTGTATTTGCGAGATTGAATGCTGGTGGTTGTGTGGGTATCTTCCCCGAGGGTGGTAGTCATGACCGCCCCTCTCTTCTTCCCCTTAAAGGTATGTTGCGTGGAATGTCTTTTGATTTAGCTGTACATCAAAAGCTGACCGTACGATAGCTGGTGTGGCTCTGATGGCCCTGGGTACCCTAGCGGACAACCCGGACTGCGGCTTGAAGATTGTACCCTGTGGCATGAATTATTTCCATGCTCACAAGTTCCGCTCTCGGGCTGTTATCGAGTTTGGTAACCCCATTGAAGTTCCGAAGGAGTTGGTTGAGCAATTCAAGCAAGGCGAACGCCGGGAGTCTGTTGGTGCTCTGCTGGATATCATTTACCAAAGTCTTGTTGCTGTCACTGTGACCAGCCCTGATTATGAGACTCTCATGGTAAGGTTGCCCGTTCATTCTGATTTACATTGATATGGAAGACGGTACTAACTGATTGTAGGTCATCCAAGCTGCTCGCCGCCTGTACAACACCAGGGGGAAGAAGCTTCCCCTCCCGATGGTTGTGGAGCTTAACCGCCGTCTCGTGAAGGGATATGCACACTTCAAGGATGATCCGCGAATTGTGCATCTCCGGAACTCGATCGCAAGCTATAACAAGCAGCTTCGCATTCTCGGCATCCGGGACCACCAGGTGGCCTATGCCAAGTTCTCGATTCTGCAGGTCATTGCTACACTGATATATCGCTTGGGCAAGCTCGCTCTTCTTACTATTGGTACTCTTCCTGGTCTGCTCCTCTTCACTCCGGTCTTCATTGCAACCAAGTATCTGTCAATGAAGAAATCAAAGGAAGCATTGGCTGCTTCCACCGTCAAGCTGCAGGGTCGTGATGTGATGGCTACTTGGAAGCTGCTCATTGCCCTTGCATTTGCTCCGGCTGTCTATGCATCTTACACGGCTACGTTTACCTACTGGACGTATCAGAACCGAATTCGGGGACTCGTGCCAGAATGGGTGCCACTCTGGCTGATCGTGATAATTGGCATGGTGGGCTTCCCGACCATCACTTTCGCCGCCCTTCGCATCGGCGAAGTTGGCATGGACATTATCAAATCCCTTCGGCCTCTGGTCCTATCCCTGAATCCGTCTTCGGCCAACAGTCTGGTGAAGCTGCGCGAAAAACGCGCCATGCTTGCCCAGCAGGTCACCGATGCGATCAACACCATGGGACCCGAGCTCTTCCCCGACTTCGACGCCGCCCGGATTGTCACCGATCCCTTCCGCGAGGTCAGCGGAGAATCTGCCGCTGCGCGCGAAGCGCACGAGCTCAAACAGCACCGTGAACACGAAACGGGTGAGACTTGGACTTCAGCCGAGCCTCTACCACGTAACGAGTCGTTCCACAACTTGGCCAATATTGGCTTCTTCTCTACTCGGCCTCCCAGCAGGAACCGTAGCCGTAGCAGCTCTGCTGGGCCACGACCTGGCTCACGGCATGGGATGAAACCGCTCAGCGCCCTGACCACCCAGAAAGATCCACTGGAGGACGTCAGTTCGCGGATTCGGGATGCTATGAGAGAGCGGGGTGAGCGACGTCGACGTCGAAGTGAGGATGGTAGCTGGGATATGGCCAGCTCAGGGACAGGGACGCCGTCCAGTGGTGATGAGATGCGGAAGGACCTTTGATCTTTGATGACCTGCTATGATGATGGCCATGTTCGGCATTTTAAGATGATCTTGTAACTCATTTGATGTATTTATATATCCCACAATGCGAGATATCCCCTGTTTCTGTTGAAGATGTGTATCCAAAACTGCTAGCCCACCTGAACTTGACAGTTTTAGTCTTACTTGCCTGTTGGAGTTGTAGTACCGTATCATGATCTATAGCACGGGACAATCTCCGGTATACACAACGTACGCCGAGGCAAAGCGGCAGAAGCCCTGAATGTGATCCCGGGAATAGATGTCCGCCTCGGACCGCACATCTTCTGTATTCCATCTTGTCTGTGCAAGCGGGGTCACTCAGAGATGAACCAATTGTTGAGGCTGTTTCTGTTGGCTGCGCTTGGCGGATACGAAGCCCGCAGTCTCGCCACTGCCGAGCGGACGAACTAAAAAGAAACAGGAGTTTGTTGCATAAGCGGAAAAGTGTAGCCTAGCATTGCCTCGTTCATTTCTTTTTTTTTACTTTTTAACATCCCCATGACATATACTCTTCATTGCATAATTGGTTATTCTGTCATCTTTTTAGTTCATACATATCTATTTTCAGCGCTGCTGTTTTAAGTGGGTTTACAGTCCTCCAAATATCTGAACACGTCGCCCGTTGCAAAGGGCCTCGAACACCGAAAGAATAACCCCCGTTCCACCTCGACCTCTCCCTACCCGTTCGCGCGCATTCTTTTTGTTCACCTCCCCACGACCTTCGTTTCTTCTCCTATCTTCGCTTGAGATCCGTCTTCTACCCTCTCACTATGGCCGGCTCAATGCACCTGTCGCGCCTCCGCAGGTGGTTCCTTGCTTCGCCGCCGATCGAGTTTGCCATCTCCAACCTTAAGGAGCTACTGGTGGGCGCACTCCGCCAGGGCCCGATTCCGCAACACGTCGCCTTTGTGATGGATGGGAATCGCCGGTTTGCGAGATCACATGGAATTGAGACTGTGGAGGGACATAATCTGGGATTTGAGGCGCTGGCTAGGGTATGTCGCTCTCCTCTTGGTCAAGACCTTGGCAAGCTCAATGCCCCGGGTAGCTGAGCTTGTTGAGCTGGTGTTTTTGACTTGATACTGATTTGGCTGTCCTTCAACTAGATCCTGGAAGTCTGTTATAAGAGTGGTGTCAAGGTGGTCACCATCTACGCGTTCAGTATCGAGAACTTCAAGCGCTCCAAATTCGAAGTCGATGCTCTCATGGACATGGCCAAGGTAAAGTTGTCCCAGATGGCGCAACACGGAGATTTGCTGGATAGATACGGTGCGAAAGTGCGCGTCCTCGGCCGCCTCGACCTGCTCAAGCCGGACGTTCTCGCTGCAGTCAACAAGGCTGTCGACCTGACCAGTCGCAACGGTGACCGCGTGTTGAACATCTGCTTCCCCTACACCTCCCGCGACGAAATGACGACTGCTATCCGCGATACCGTTGAAGATTACAGCACACCTCTCCGCCCTGCTCTCTTCGCGAACGGCCCGGCTCGCACGCCCTTCTCCGAATCCCATATCGCGCATAACATTCGAGCACAGACGCTTGGATCGTCAAGACCCCAAGATACACACAGTGACTCCGAGTCAACGTCAGCAGAGTCTTCTGCTCAGGAAGATGATGCTGTCTTGCGCAACGATCATGCCAGCCGGGTCTACGAGTCTGGGTCGTCCTTCTCGTCATCCACTACTCTCCATCTCGGTGGGCAAGACGGACACCACAGCAAGGCCGCGGCTTCGGGGAATACATCGGATGGTGACAGTCCCATGTACATGTCTCCCGAAACTATTTCGCGCCAAATCCTCACCGACCATATGTTGACCAAGGGCACACCACCATTGGATATGCTGGTGCGAACCTCTGGCGTCGAGCGGCTGAGTGACTTCATGCTCTGGCAATGCCACGAGAACACAGAAATTGTCTTCCTGGATGTTCTGTGGCCAGAATTCGACCTTTGGCACTTCTTGCCCGTCCTGCTGGGATGGCAACGACGGATCTCCAAATCTCGCCAGAACCCCAACGCCGAAGGCAACTTTGCCGGTGATACTCCGGAGACCAGTGAAGAGGATGCGGACAACATGGTGTTGCGGCAAACCAAAGTCAAGGCGATATAGACCTTCTTATTCTTCTGTGTATTCTGTCTTAATACCTTTGTTTTCATTTCTCTCAGCATTCAGCGGAGTTCGGGGAGTTTTGGACAACCCCGACGGATCATTCTGTTTTTTCTACATATACCAGCAGCATTAGCAGCATTCCCTACTGATGTGCATACATACCTACATTCTGCATCTTCAATACATCATTCTCCATCCTCCTATGCTTGTATACACCCCATACTATTGGCTCAAGATCCCTTGATATCGGGATTCTTCCCGACTGCTTAGATAAACCCCGCGCCGATACCGGCCACGTGACGGCAGTGACTCAACGCACGGAAATGGACGAGTTGCTCTCCTCCACTCCATCCCCATTGTCCATACAAACAATTGAGTTCAAAATGGTCAAGTCAATTGCTGGTTCCAAGGTCCTCCTGTTGGGATCGGGCTTCGGTATGTGTCTCTTGTCAAGCTGTCGGAATAACCCCAGGGTCTAGCTGCCCCGCAGTCCCAGCTTCATTCTAAAAAAAAGCATGCAGACAGACACTAACCCTCTGCTTCCTTAAAGTCACAAAGCCCACCGTTGAGGTTCTGAGCAAGGCCGATGTTGAGGTCACCGTCGGTATGTGCCATTGGCTCTGAATATCTTCCCCCAGCACCCGTCCAGCTTCCCTCCGGATTACCCCGCCATATCCCACCAAGAGTTTCTGGAGGCTGGGATAAGGACCAGGGTTATACGCCACTTCCGCGAGTGTGTTTCACAATTCGGAATAGAACAAAGTTGCTGATGGTCCAATGTCTGATCAATAGCTTGCCGTACCCTCGAGAGTGCCAAGGCTCTCGCTGGAGACTTCAAGAACACCAAGGCCATCTCCCTTGATGTCAGCGATGATGCTGCTCTCGACAAGGCCATGGAGCAGGTCGACTTGGTCGTCTCTCTGATCCCCTACACTTTCCACGCCACTGTTATCAAGTCGGCTATCCGCACTAAGAAGGATGTTGTCACTACCTCGTATGTCTCGCCGGCTATGGAGGAGCTCGACGCGGAGTGCAAGAAGGCTGGTATCACTGTCATGAACGAGATTGGCCTGGGTAAGGCTTTCCACTATGACTTTGCGTTTGTCATGCAAGACTAACAAATGGTTATAGACCCCGGTATTGACCACCTTTGTAAGTACCCGGCATCTATTTGATCGGGAAATACAATACTTATCTCTCTTTAGACGCCGTTAAGACTATCTCCGAGGTCCACGCCGCCGGCGGCAAGATCACTGGCTTCATCTCCTTCTGCGGTGGTCTCCCCGCCCCCGAGGCCTCTAACAACCCTCTGGGCTACAAGTTCTCTTGGTCCAGCCGCGGTGTGCTGCTCGCCCTCCGCAACGCCGCCAAGATCTACCAGGATGGCAAGATCGTCAGCATCGACGGCCCCGACTTGATGGCCACCGCCAAGCCCTACTTCATCTACCCCGGCTTCGCCTTCGTCGGCTACCCCAACCGTGACTCGACTCCCTTCCGCGAGCGCTACGAGATCCCCGAGGCCCAGACCGTCATCCGCGGTACCCTGCGTTACCAGGGCTTCCCCGAGATGATCAAGGTCCTCGTCGACACCGGCTTCCTGAAGGACGAGCCCAACTCCGTCTTCGACAGCGCCATCTCCTGGAAGGAGGCCACCGCCAAGGTTCTCGGCGCCGCCTCTTCCTCCGAGAATGACCTCACCGCCGCCGTCCAGAGCAAGACCACTTTCCCCAGCAACGAGGAGCGCGACCGCCTCCTCGCCGGTCTGCGCTGGATCGGCCTCTTCTCCGACGAGACCATCACCCCCGCGGCAACGCCCTCGACACCCTCTGCGCCACCCTCGAGAAGAAGATGCAGTACGAGGCCGGCGAGCGCGACATGGTCATGCTCCAGCACAGATTCGATATCGAGAACAAGGACGGCTCCAAGGAGACCCGCACCTCTACCTTGTGCGAGTACGGTAACCCTGCCGGTTACTCCGCCATGGCTAAGCTGGTCGGTGTTCCCTGTGGTGTTGCTGTCAAGCAGGTCCTTGACGGTACCATCTCCCAGAAGGGTGTTTTGGCCCCCATGAACATGGAGATCTGTGCTCCTCTCCTGAAGACTCTTAAGGAGGAGTATGGTATTGAGATGGAGGAGCGCACTCTGTAAGTGTGTTGTTGCGGGTTGCAAGCAAAAGCTAGACATAGCAAAAAGTACAAAGAATGATATAGATCATGTTTGGACGTATAACCCCTTTCTATACACGTAGCCTAAATCGAAGCTTGGACCGGATGGTATCGTCACGCCTACCAAGGGGGAATTGGCTTCCCTGACCTTCTAAGATTCGACACCCATTCCTTATGCAAACGTCTCGCCGCAGTTGCAATACTCTCCAAAACACTAGCTAAAGTACCTGTCTGCTTTGCGTATAGTGTCCCATCGTTCCGAATAATAAAAAAACCACATTTTATCCGTCCCAGACGTCTCATCCTAGTAGCCCAAGATTTCGATCGAGCCGGTGACCGAACAAAACCCATAGCCGCAAGTAACTCCCTTTTTGGATCACTGAGTATATAATACTCGCTCTGTTCGGGCAAATATTCCTGGCCCTCCTTCACAATAGATGCATTCATTGAGACTGGATAATTGGAAAGGCCCAGGCTCGTGAGATGGATAATTGGAAAGGCCCAGGCTCGTGAGATGGATATTTGGATAGACCAGGCCTGGAGCAAGTTCCTGGAATTCTGTCTGGAATACTTTCTTGGATAATTTTGAGAAGACACCGATGATTATTCCGTCAGTGCTTTGATCGAGGATTTGTTGTAGGGTTATTGGTTTGCCATCTTGGGCTCGTAACTCGATGGTCATGATCGAGTCGGGGAGCGGTTGACCGACGGTTACGGTGCAAGAGGTATTCTGTGTTGGATTCTCAGGACTTTGTGTTTTGGATCGGTGGGTATTGGGTAGATTTTGATATTCACTCTCATTATGAGTCGGGATTATGTCGTGGTGGTTTGAAAGGCCATGCTGGAATGTTGAAGTCATCGTGGGTGTTGCCATGTGAAGGTTGAATGTTTAGATCAGACGGCAGAATCAGAGGTGTCGAACTAAATCTGGGCCTAAGGTGTGCAAGATAGATGGAGAGAGAAAGAGGCAACATGGATATGGCATAAGTGCCTTGTAAGATGGACGAAAGCTCACGTGCTCGTGTTGACAGGTATCGGGGCTAGTGGATTATACGAGGTTGGAAGTCTCGCTAGGACGAGTACGGGAGTACATAGTGTTATGAGGTCAAGGGATTGGTATCCTTTACGTCAACTTGCAGGCGATGATATCAATATATTCTTTCTTAACTTCATTATCATAGACATATCACTTTCCTCTATCGTAGCATCATTGCAGTCCCCGTCCGAGGCCAGACAAGGGTGAAACATAAAAAAAGGCCGAGCAGACACAAGCTCAAAAACTCCCAGAAAACATGAACAGGAGAAATTGACCCGCAAAAAAAAGGTACTCGCGACGGAAAGAAACCGGTGGCAGGCCCCCAACTACTCGTCTATGACTGGAAATTCCTCCCACGCAAGGGCCCTATCTCTAATTCTTATTCCATCAAGAATGTCGAGGAAAGGGCGTTGCTTCTCTATGTTCTGTGGTTTTTGGCGCTGTTTTTGCAAGGTGGAAGAAAAAGGACTGGGCGAATACAAAGTGTGTGTTTCTTTGTAAATCGTATCAGGTGGCTAATGAGAAGGCATGAAGTCGATCAGAGAATAGTGCCAAACCTATACCGAGCAGAAGAACAAGCAAAAACGTCAGTAATGATGTCCGAAGCAGCGACTGTGAAGAATTGGATCTGGAACGAAAGAGACCCGCGTTGGTCGAAGTGCCTGCACGGGGATAGGGATTTGCTACATACCCGAAAGTCTGCTTGATGCTGCGCACGTAGTACAGCTCCCAATTCTGCTTGGTGACGTCCTCCTGGCCGATGGGCACGCCGGACCACTCGACACGCAGCTGAGTGACGCCGTCGACGTCGTTCTGGTCCAGGTTGATCTCGAGAGAACTAAAGTGGCCCTCGGGCCACTGGGCGAGGCGCCACTTCTGAACGATCTGCTTGGGAGCGTCGAGCTTGACGTACTCGCCGGTCACGTTGCCGTCGAAGATGGCGAACTTGCCGCCGGGTTGGGCGCCCTCGAACTGGCGGGGTGCGCCACGGGTGAAGGCGGCAATGCGCTGGGGGTCGGTGAAGGTGTTGTAGAGCTCCTCTGCGGTGGTGCGGAACTCGTCCGATGCGGTCAGGGTAGTGGTGTTAACGGCGACCTTGCCGGTAGTAGAGGTGGTGGAAGTGGTGGCGAGAGCAGCCTCCTTCTTGTTGGTCTGAGGGTGAACAGGGGCAGGAGTGAAGCCAGCGGAGGGGTTCACGCCGGGAGCGTGCTGAAGGTCTTTGGCGTGCTCGGTGATGAGGGCGCGGGTAAGGGTGGCCAGGGTCTGGCGGAGCTGAGGGAGAATCTTGGAGCGGACAAGGTCCTTTACGGGCTGCTTGGAGGAGGCATCGGAGTAGATCTCAATCTCGAACTGGAAACGGTCTCCGGGTTAGTCGGACGGGACACCTTTTTCAGGCATCATGCTCGAGGGCACTGCCAGATTGGGGATATGGTCTTTTTAGGGAACGTACGACGTACTCATCTTCCTCGGTGTCGTGGGCTACCTCGGGGATGGTGATGGAGCCGGTGACCTCCTCGCCGTCCTTGGTCTTACCTATTGAACAGTCTCAGCTGCCATCACGGAAAAAGACATTTTCGTGGAACTACAAACCTGAATACTCTAGCGACAGCTTGACATCGTACAAGGTGATGACCTTGCCCTTGCGCTGGCTGACGTCTACGTCGCCATTCATGGACTGGACCTTGTCTACTTGGGCGGACACGCCATCTTGCTCGGCCTTGATGGCGCTGACCTTCTCCTGCAAGTACTCCTTGGCCCAGCCAGAGGCATCCTTGTTCACCCAGTGCCAGTTGTTGGGGTTGTGGAGGACCATGATGATGGACTATGAAAAATTGGGGGAAAAAAACTTCTGATTTGTGTGGGAAGATTGCGAGAGGGTCGAATGGGAAATCTTCCTTCTTCAATTTTCCGTGGGGGGAGTTTTTTTTTTCTTTCTGTTGTGGAAATCGCAGCACGGCCGAGAAGTTTCCTTGTGAATTGTGTGTGTTTCCCTTTCCAACCGAGACTAGATCTTTTCAATTGAGACAGGTTAGCAAGGTCTCCAAGTAAAAATTTCGTGGCGGGAGGCAATGAGGTGAAAAAAAGAATTGCACGAAGAATTCGTGCAATAGCCACAAATATCAGGACCGGCTGCGTATTATTGCCGGCCGTAAAGCTATTCAGCAAGCGAATGACAGACGTATCCATCATCCCTCTGACTGGTGCCAGCTGCATCTCATCATTTTGGGCGGATTGTGTCCTCGGGTGGAGGGATTGGGTGGTAGAGGACCAGGAAGGGGAGTTCTCCCAATTGGAGATGTGGATAGGAAAGATCGTATGGAGTAGACTTACAAATTGGCAGGGGTATCGAGGTGAATGACGAACAAGAGAAGGTGAAGTGGTTTGGGAGGGGGGGAAAGGAGTGGATGAGGGAGGAAACTCGATATTTGAGGGCTTCCGGACGGAAGACTCTAGAAGGGCAAATCACGTGCTGTGGTGGGTATATGAAGTGGATCCCTGGACACCACTGTAGGTCAACTGGTCAAGAGTCAACTGGGCAGTTGATGATATACAGCGAGTGATGATGTAGAAACCAAGGGTCTATACTCTTTACTCAAAGTAGAAACTGCCCACAAGTCAATACCGTGCACGAGGTGATAGAACGGCCATATTATACCATGAGCGTATGGGGATTAGTTTTACCATGCTTCTTTGCCTGGTTTCAAAGCCCGTAGGAACTCTCCTTCTTTGTATCTTCTCTTACAAAACGAGGACCTAGTATAAACTACAACCACAAAGTCTCTTAGCCTCAATCTTTATAAAGGTGCAGACTTGCTACAACCCAAATACATTCTAGTAAAACTCAAGGTCAACAACCAACCTTAGGCCACTTCGCTTATGCCTTCTATTTCTATCAGATTTCCTTCTACGACAACTTGCTATAAGTATATTCATAAATATGGCATATCCACATGGAATTCTTCGAGGAGAATCTTTGCTTATCTCTGAATGATGACTTGGACCTATTGAATCATGATGCTTTATATAAGCATGGAGACTGCACTATACTTGCCAAAACTAGAAGCTCTTGGAATACTCAGGGTACTTACAGAACTTTTCATAACTTCTCCCTTACAATTTCTTACTCCTTGTCCACCATCTCACCTCTTACCTCTCACTCATCCCCTCACATCCTTCATCACTATTTCTTACTTCTTATCTCCTGTCTGTTGCTCTTCCTGCTTTCCTTGCCCTTTACGCTTTCGGCTCGTTGACTCATTTATCCTCTATCCTAGTCAAAATTGCCGGAGACTCGGAGAATAAGAGACAACACAACCCCACGGCGAGACCCAATGAGGCCATCACAAATCCTCGGCTTAAGCCAAGCACTGAAGCCTCCCAGCGGCAGTCAGCCCTTCGGGAATTAATCAACAGGTCCCGACACCAAAAGGACTTGCATAAAAAGCACCACCTCCTCCTCGCTACGGAGCCCGCTACACTCATCTACGACGTGAAGAAGTGGTTTCTCAGTCAAGTGGGCCTAGTTCCCGATGCACAAGGCCATATGTGTTGCCAAGTCGAGGCAGACACCAAGGGTATAGTATTCGAGATCGTTCGCAGCGCTGCCCAGGCTGTGGCATTCTGGGAATATATCAGCCGTCTACTTGATCTTCTGAAGGACTCGAACAACCGAGGCCATACAGTCATCCACACGGTCTTCCAAGCTCTCGTACTTCAGGAATTGCCTAACGCCTTCCACTTCGAGTTTGACCGCGTGAAAGAATCTCTTAGACAACATATTTCAAAGGGAACCAGACTTGTATACTTCCTGAGAGTTTCCATTGATGTCCCTGGCGAGGAAAATGTTTCTGGAATGGAAAATGCAAGTATAACCAAGATCTGCAAGCCCGAGGACCACACCAGGAAAGACCCTCTACTTCATTACCTGATGCGCCTTTGTCAACCTGACCTCTGGGGAAGGTTAAAACAGAGAAAAGCTGATTCTCTGGTTGAACTGGCAAACACGGCTGAGTTCGACCTCTCTTCTGCTTTCCCACTCCTGCCTTACTCTGACACCAAGGGACGCAACTTCCTTTCCAGAGTTCAGGCGCCAGAGCTCGAGCTAGATGAGGCCAAAGTGGATATGGGATTTTCGGAGGCTGATGTCCCTCTAGAGGACATGGTGGAACCAATGATTGCCGATGATGCTTTAAGAGCAGCGGGGTACTGGATCAGGGCTCAAGCAAACACAGATATCGAGTTCCTGTACGAAGACCTGGTCCAGGACTGTCTGTGTGATCTTCAGACCAACTACGAGAAGGCCAAGGCCAGGATAAGAAAGGAATCAGCCTACAATACGCTGTATAGATCTTTCATTTTTGCTCGGCGGTTGAGGAAGTTGTACGGCTGGTGTGAGGCCACATTTCATGTGGAAGGCTCTTAAAGCCTGAACAGGAATGCAACATGCTTTCATTTCAACACACGATATCTCAAACCACGGTAGTAATATTTTTGCAATCATTTGCGAGAAGATATTCGACTCTCGTATTCAGGGCTACCATAAGTAGAACTAGGCAAAACCTAGGGCCGATACTGAAGAGAATATATACTGTGCAAGCCCGATCTAAAGCGAACGAATGGGGATATCACAAGTCATCAAAAAAAATCCATCATAAACAGAAAAACCCCCCTTCCCAAAGGAAAACCATTCACCAATATTCACTACTCCTGCTCCAATTGCTCCAAATCCTCCCACCCATCTTCAGCCAACAACTGATCCTTAACCCGTTCCCGCAGTCCCTGGATCTGACTCCCCAAAGCCTCAGTCCACTGACCCTCAACAGTTGCAACCTTCTCCTTAAGATCCGTGGTAAGCGTAAGCTCCTCATCAGCCCTGGTAGCCTGCATCTCCCGACGAACAGTCTCCTCAGACTCGCCCTGCCAAATCATCTCTGCCTCGGCGAGGTTACGGCTCGCGCGCATCACGGCAGAGCGTACTTCGTGGAGTAGGCAGAGGAGATTAATCTGCGATTCTATATATTGATAGCTGGACTTCTCCGCGTGCGAGAGAAGTGAGTAGAGGTACTGCAGTGGATGGGCGTGATAACTTGGGTTCTCTTCGTACTCGTTTGCGGGGATTTGGACTTGGAAGCCGCAGAGGTTTTCGGGGGCTTGTTGGACCAAAGCGAGGAGGGAGGGGGCTATGTCCCAGAATGCGGATAGTTGGACTTCGACTCCGCGGACCACATTTTGCTCGATGACGTCCAGGAAGGACTCGAGACGGGTCAGCGCCGAAGTTTCGTACTGGACGCGTCTGTCGAGGGCGTCTTTCGAAAAGAAGGCTTGTGTTTCTCGGAGTTTCTCTTCGTTTTTGCCTTGTTGATACGGCAATAGAGCGACGTGTTTGTACTTCTCGTCGCGGTCGCTGACTAGGTCGAAAGTTTCCCGGTGGAGTTGTTCGCGTGCTTCGAAGAGCCATTTGAGTTGCGTCAGTTTCTCTAGGAGCTCGGGTTTCTCGTCGCCCTCTTCTTGGGTTTGGTCTGGCGTCTCGTGCTGAGCATCGTCGAACAGCCTGCTGCTCAATTCGTCGATGCAGGTGGTTGCTCTGCTGATTCTATCGGCGAGAATGGCATTCATAGGCTTCAGCACGGTTTCTTGGTAACTATCAAGTTGTCGCTTTGCCAGGTCGCGTTCACGTTTGTTTTGATCCACCAACATCGCAGCCTCAGCCTCGGCAGCTTCAGCGAAACTGAGACTTCCTTCCTGGATCTGACTCTGAATATTGGCCTTGAATTGGCGGTGGCCTTCTTTAACCTGGTCCTGGTACTCTTGAGTCATCCTTTCCACGTCGGCCTTGTACCGCTCTCGAGTGGCCTTGATCTCCGACAAGTCTGTGATTGATCGGACAGTGGTTCGGTAAGACACAAGGTCCGGATGACTGTTGTTAACAGCAGGATAATGACGTGGGTATGGCGGAGGCAGAGTAACCAGTCGCGAAATGTCCAGCCTTTGACTAGCCATCATCTGGGTGATTCCATTTCTCCCAGCAACGGGGTAATCCGCAGTTTCCTGATGCCAGCCAACCTTCTCCGGTGGATACTCGTCTGGGCCATACGCAACCTGCTGTCCCGAATAATTCGCACCCGCGTCGTCAAGTCTAGAGGGCGTCCGCTCCTGGTCCCACTGCATCGCATCCCGAGGCAAACCCATGTACTTAGACTCTCGCTTAGATCGCTGAATTCTTCTCTCACCACCCTCACTGCTAGAGCCAGTCTTGGATTCCCACCAACGACTAGGCGCCCTGCCTCGAGAGCTCATCTCATCATTACTCATACCGAGACTGGCAATCGGTGACAGACAAGGCTGATAATTATTCCACCAGGCGGATTCAGGTCGAGTTGGTCTATTGTTCGAAGGGATTTCCAGCGTTGGTGTCGGCTTCGCGGGCTTGTTCGATGGCCCGCTAAGTTGACTCTTGGGTGGTTCAAAAAGCTTGCGACGGACATCTTCAATCTGAGTTGAAGCGGCGTCAAACACGTTGGCGTATCGCTGACGCCGTACTTGAGACTCGGCAATTATAAAGTCATTGAAGATTCTCAGGGCGTCAGCCTCGTTCAAGGCAGCGGCTTCTTCTTCGATAAATTTCTTATGCCTTTGAATCGAGCTTTGGACGAATTCGGTGTCCTGCTTGATGAGTGACTCCAGAGAGGTTTGCTGGACAGCCTGCTGTGTGGGTAATCGGCGTGGTGACAGCGGCTTGATCCCAGGGATGCCATCATTAGGAAGATGCAGTATATGAGAAATTGGACGGTCCTCTGCTCCCCTAGACGTAGCACGAGAGCGTGGCTGCGGTTCCTTGCCTGAATTGAGGGGTGGTGTGGGTAGAGCTTTTGGTGGTACGGCATGAGATTCCTCTTTATAATTTCGAGACGACGATTCTCCATTCGGCGAGAACGGCGGTGTGTTTGCAAACGCAGCTGAAGGTCCTGCAGGGCTTTGTTCTGGCTTGGGTGTTGAGTAAGAAGATGATCTATCGGAGAATAGACCACCGGAGGACGCTCTTGACCGGGAGGTTGGATGTTGGCTGTCTGAGCCAATACTTCTCGTGCTTCGAGGAGTAAACCTTGAAGAGGATGGCTGACGAGTATGCTCGGGGCTGTTCTTAGGTTCAGGAAGAACGAGGTTCGATGGCACGATATGCTCCAACGCATCAGCCCATGGATTCCCGCTGGTAGAAGATACCGCGCTCATGTCCTCAAAATGCTGGCTTTGCCGATTCCGACGCTCAATTCTTCTTTCACGGATACCTTTTGCGCTGGGGTCTCGGACAGCCGGGCTGCGGAAAAGACCGCTCCCTCCACTACCGGGAGTCCTCTGAGACTGTCTCAACTGACCGTTCGAATCCAAAGTATCTGGCAGGTCTGGTGTCTTCATCGCCTTATTGGTATCAATGTGCAGCGGTTCTCGATCCCTGCTTGGTCGGTGATTGATATACTCCTCGTCCACCCAATCAGCTGGCGTTGGCGGAATGCTACCCAGGCCAGTACCCATCAACGGCGGCGGGCGCGCGCGAGTCCGACTTGGGCCTTGGGTCGTTCTTGCAGAGGATGACTCCGATGAACCACTCACACTGACCGACCTTCCAGCAGGCGGCGGCCCGGGAGGCGGTGGTGGAAGAGGCATGCCAGGTTCCCAGCCATTCGCTGGTGACGGACCTCTTGATAGACTCGAGGGCCTTGACGAGCTTGCACTACTCACAACAGCTCCTGCAGATGCAGCTCGTCGGGATGCAGGAGGTCTCAGCGGCGCTTCGAATTGTCCTGTTGATGGTCCAGCTCCATTGCTTCGCAACGCTGGCGATTGAAGAGGCTGGTCATACAATGTTAATGGCATTCGAGACTGCGGACCTGTCGAAGCTGAGTTATATGGAGAACCTTGGTATCCATTCACGCGATTCTGAGAATTGGATCTGGAACCTGGATTCCCTTGGGGAGGTGGTGGAGGTGGTAATGACTGCCGGTGCAATTCTACATCATTGCCATATATCATGGACACAGGGCGAGGGCGAGGGGCAGAGCGTCGATGGTACTCTGCAGTGTTGTCATACTCTGATGTTCTGTATGATTGATGCGGCGGCGTAACATTAGGGGCCGCCGCAGCACTCGAGCTGGCCTGGCCGTAGGAGTCTCGTGGTATCGAGTTTTGATTATGTGGAGGTGAGTATGGCGGAGGCGGTGGTGATAGAGAAGCATCTATGGGTATTTCATTAATGTGTTACTTTTCTGCAGTTTACGGAAGTGTGGCCACCAACCTCCATGGAGTCGCTGCTGCGGCGCGGCATGATGAACAGTTGCTTGTTGAGAATATGCGGCGGCCTGGCTAGCATTCACACCCACAGGCCCCCAGTCCTGCGGGTTATAGGGGACATTGTATTGCCTCGATGCCATTGAGGAGGAGGACGATGCCGATCTACCGTTCGACGGCGACGAGACAGCGGGAGATTGGCCTTGGATGAATGGACTGGAAAGCGACGTGGAAGACAAAGGGGTCGACGCGTGATGGAAATGCGAAGCATTCAACGCGGTCGTTAACAAAGGTGGCTGCACTGCATGCTCTCGACGATTCGGCGACGGTTGATTGCTGGGGTTGACAGTCGACGACCAGCCGGAATACTGTGAGTTCAACGGCTGCTCGTCGGCTGCATGATTTGAAGACAACCAGCTAAAGAGAAAGTTCCATCAGTCTCTCATCTTTCAGAATTCCAGAGCTGACAGAGAAAGATCCAGAAAAGCATGGGGCTCAAGCGGAGTATCGTACCTATTCATACTGGCCCTGTGCGCTCGTCAGGACAAAGCACGGACCGAAGCCATGGTCTTCCTTGGTAGCCTCGAGTGATGCGATCGCGAACCCAGCACGATAAAAAAGGAATATCGATCCTTCAGGACGACAGCAGTGCAGAATAGAAACTCAACTCAACCCCTCGTCTCGTGTTGCGCGGAGAGCAGGGACAACAAGGAAATCATCCTTGCGACAAAGGGCCAATTACTGTAGACCCAGACGGCCGGCACGATATCCACCGCATGAGAGGAGGCAGAACTATATTTGGAACAACCAAAAGTCCTTCTAAAGAGACCATGACCGAGGGGGAAAATGACCAACCCAAGCGGGGAAAGGAATATGCAGCTTGAAGGTTCTCATCACACGCGGACCCGTGCTGGGCGCTTATCGCCGACGCTGAGAGGCCAAGGCCGCTATTTCCGCATCCACAGGCCGTACGATGAGCGAACCATCGTTGCGATCACCAATATCGGGCCTCGCACCTTCTAACAATGGACGCTGGCCCTGCAGGGATTGGATCTCTCGTATGGGCACATGGGAGCCTCCACTTGAGTGACAAATGAACGGTGAGGGACTCAAAGAGGGGATAGACTTTTTCAGGAATAGATTGTTGCATTTTTATTTCTTTGGCTGCTAACTACTGCACACTAAACTGAAGACTCGAAAGCTTCTGCATCTCAACAAGACTCGGCCGGATAAGCAGCCGAGGCTGGAAGAGACTGCCACTCTTGGAAGACGGAAGATGCGAGGTCCTAGTAACTGGTCGATGTTAGGGTGTGATGCTAACAAATCAAAGCGACCGGTAGAAAACATGTTTAAAGTGCAGAGGGGATCAGATTCAAAGCCCTGTCACAGGCGGTGGTCATCAATTGGAAATTCCTTATGTTGACCGTCGTGATAAAAATGTAGTAAATCATCATGTAGGTGGTGGAGGGGAGAACGCATTGACAAAAAAAAAAAAAAAAATGATACTTACAGTAGCAGTAGTGGCTTGCCAGCAGGTGCTGCTGGGTTAGTCGATGCTGGGCTGGAGAATTTTTCCTGTTCTTCAAGACCCATCAGCAACGAGGATCTGACTGAACAGGGTAAGAACCGAAGAGGCTCAAGTGACTTGATCAGTCATGACTGTTCTCGTCTTCGCCAGCAAAGCCAGCTTGGACATATGCTTGTCTTTTGTTTGTGTCGTTTCATCATGAAAGAATGAGGGGGGAAAGGATAATAAGAGGTGTGACATACACCCACGATCAGAGAAGGGCCGAAGCCATGGACAGCGAGGCCATCAAGGATTACTATTCGCAAAAAAATTAGCGAATGTTGTCAATTATTGACGATGCACAGGTTTCCAGAAGAGATGGGTTCAGAAAGGCATGAATGGTATTAAAAAAGATGTTGTCTGCATCGCAAACGCGGATAAGACTCGTCATCTAAGGAATCATCACGAAATATGGGGGCAAGTGAAGTAACGAAGTTGCAATGAGCTTACCTGTGAGGTGTTTCTACGGTTACTAGGGAGTCAAAGGGAGCGCCGTCACTGCTCGAGATGATTAGCGACTCGTTGCGGAAAGCATGAATGAGTCGACATGTATCATCAGGTGTGTCTCAGTGGGCGAGGTTTTCTAGGCCTGCCACAAAGAGGGCATATCCATCATGACCGGCCGTTTTTGTAACGACCGTCGGAGCCCAGTGCCATATCATCTTCGTGACGGGAAGGGAAGGTGGTGAAGTGAAGAAACGGGCCGCGGCTTACCATTCGGAGGCCGACATCAAGACATCTAGAATCTTTTTCAACAGTTAGCATATGGTCCAGAAGAACTAGTCCAGAGCAAACAGGCAGAGGTTGTGTGGTAGGAATCAGTCAAGCCATTAGTTATCGTCAGTGATCCGAAGACCTTGGACGGTAATTTCCAGCGTATATTATACGAAGATGATCATCATAAAAGGGTGTGAAGGTGGAGAGAAAAAAAAAATCGGAAACTCACCAATTGTGGGTCGAAATCCTTGAGGGTGTGCTCAAGTTAGTTCCTAACAGAAAGCAGGTTAGCTCTCAGTTCACTCTCGAAAAACTCGGCGTGATGAATCAAGACAAGCGAGAGGTGTTCAGCCTGACGTGCAATAACAGAAGTTTCATTCCCATTTTGGGTCAAAGACTCTAGTTTGAATTTGGTTATGTTTATCATCATTTGGGGGGATGGGATGTGTGTGATGAAAAAATCGAGCGAGTCAGAAACTTACCAAAAATTCTGCGGCTGCGAATTGAGAACAGTTAGTTCTGCAAAGCAGTGAAGCAAGCGAATGCAAGTCCTTCAGAGAGGAAGCGAGCTGGAATCATCCTGAGCCAAAACATTGCAAGCCAGGCAGGAGATGGCTGCTGCACTGAGGAAGAAAAAGGAAGAGCGAAAATAAAATTGAGCCTTTTCAAGCTCCGAAGCGACGGAATTTTGTTGTGCCGAGACTAGCCGGCCCCGGACTAGCGCCAAACTCTGCTTCCGAGCGGCTCACTGGTGATTATGTCATACATTTAATTAACTAAGTTAACTGAGTTGGAGAGCCCTCAATAACCAGGTTAGTTAGCCCTGAGCTGGAACTCTTCAAGGTACGTCAGGACATATTCTATTTAAAAATCGGCTATCTAATCATTTGAGAAAGAGTGTATCATTGCCTCCCTTATTGACATGGAGACGAAAAGAATACTTTAAATTGGTCTACATTATGAGATCAAATGACCACCGTTTACCAGAAAATATATTCATGACAGACTCGCTGAAAAAACACACACATTATTCGGACGAGATCCCAACCTTTAGCCAGGAATACAAGGGAGCGTTAGGGTATCAACAACACACACAGACATCCTAACTCAATTCCGAGCGATGAGTCGATTGAATTTCCGGCCAGGTCTGTTTTCCAGAGTCCAGCTCCTGAGGAGGAAGTCGAGCATACTGTCCTCGTGGGCCCAGTTGCATAGCACCTTGCTCATTCAACCTCTGCTGCAAAGATTGAATCTGACGTCGGGTATGCATGTAATACCAGATAAAACCGGCCGCTGCTAGCAGCAAAGGCACACCGAGCCCGACTCCCACCCCCACGCCTGTCTTCATGGTGGCATTATTGTCTGCCTCGGCTGAAGCCGTACAACTGGCTGTGAGTGTCGTAGTTTCCATTGTCTTGGACGATGTACCAGTGGCGGTTGCGGACGCGCTCAACGAACTGGAGACCCCCAACTGGGCTACCGTGACATTGCTGCGCACCCAGGTATAGTTGCCCAGCTGTTCGTCGCAGACGTGGGAGGCCCATCCAGCAGTTCCACAAGTGAAGACTTCATTATTATTGCTGGGACAAGGGTAGAGATTGGCCCATCCATTGGTGATCTCTATAATATGAGAATTGACGTCAGCGACCTAAATCAAACGACAAACTGACCAGGCATGGTATGTTGAGAACAAGAGAGAGCTCACCTTCATAGCAAACGCGAGGACATTCTGATATAGGCCACGACTTATCCGTACAAGCTCCACGATAGACAGTCATGTACGTCCCAGCAACACAAAGACCATTAGAAAGACAAGCCTCGGTCTCTGCGCAACAATGTTTGCTACCTGGACATTGCAGCCAATTATCACCCGCGACATTTCCACTCGGCCAATAACAAGTCGAAGCTGAGACGGTAGTGGAAAGAAACAGCAAAGATGATAGAAGTTTCAAACACCGCATATTATCGAGTTCCTCGCCTTGAGGTGCAATTGTGGGTTAAGGAAAATTCCATTTCAGAAATGTTGGAGGCGAAGGGGGAGGGGGGGGGGGGGGGGATTCTCATCCAGGCGAGTATTCGGCCCCCAAGTTTGACGGCGCGATCATCTCACTCCAATGAGGGTTCTGTACAACTGATTGCCAAGGAAATTGTCCACTTTGAGATGTTTGGGGGCTAAATTTGGTGATGATCCTGCCCAGAAGAATCCCTGCTGGCGGGTCTGACAAGGACGATTTAGCGCGCTAGGTCCCTTGTACTCCACTGGTAGGGAAGTTAATTGTTCTTGACGAACAGATCACTTCCCGTCGTGGTCGCAAGTAGAAATGATGGAGATTAGACCGGCAACTGCTTGTTTGATTTTTCCAGTAACGATTCTTGATTCAAGGCGCATTAAATTGGGGGCAAGCTGGCCGTGTATATGGGGGCCAGAGGATCTAATAGCATCTGTTTTAAAGACAATTGTCAGCAGAGACCAATTTAACGTGAACCCATTACTGTCGTCTCACCAATCAGTTCCAGTGCTTCGCAAATTAGGATGATCCATCTCGAAGGCTTGGCAGCGATGACAGCATTGCCTAGCTTTTTCAACCAATCGTGTATTTCTCATCTCAGTTGGCATAGGTGCTTGGAATGAGTATACCCATATAATCTGCGTCGCCGAAGGCCAGCACAGTGGTTCTTGTACATTGAATGTACCTGAGTCGCCGAGTGCCATGTGGGTTGCAAAAAACCCCTCGGCGCCAAGTGAATTGAGAGCAGACACATGGCAAGTTTAGCGCGCGAAAGTGACGCCGTCACTCATTTCTCCAAGTAGTTCTGGAGGCTCTTGGGCTCTTGGTCGTTTAGGGCTATAATGGCATAGGTGAACTTGTTCGAGTTTTCGCAAATTTGGGACGGGTTTGAAGGGAAGTGAGACATTAATGCATCATACGAATACTTGCAGTCTTTAATTGTTGGAGTGGGCATTCTATCGCCGATCGAATATCCGGAGTTGTGTTCTTAATAGCTGCGGTAACCATACATCTTCATGACTGGAAAGACGATCTCTCGATGCGCTGGCAACATAACTAGTAATTTTTTATTGAATTAGAAGCTGTAGATAATTCATACACAAGGAATATTCAGGTACTTTGGTCAGAGAGGGGAAATCTGAACCGTTGGGTCGATTATCGTCGTCCATCGCACCTGGATGTGATGAGATCATACACTTTTCCGGGAGGCGACCTTACCAAGTATATACAGTCGTATTCCCCAGTTTCCTCGAACGTCAATTTTGTTCAATATTTCAAGTACAGAAAAAAAGAACTACCTATTAATCTACAAGAAAGATGTCCAGTTTTCACAGCCATCCCCTCGGGATTGTTACTTTGGTCGCGCACTTTGTCCAGTGTGTAAGTGCCCTCATCGTGCTTGGTATCATGGCATGGGCAGTTCGGGGGACAAAGACGCTTACAGTTATTTATTCTCTTGTCGTCGTACGTATTGTCTAGTTGAAGGAGATACACACGGTGTACCGTCTCTAACCGTGATCTAGGCTGTCTTGACCCCCGTTGCGTTCGCCTTGTCTACTGGTTTTAGCTGCGTCAGCAGACACCATAGTTGGCACGTTGTGCCCTTATACTTGACCGACACCGTTCTCTCCTACCTGTGAGTAATATCTTCAAAACCGAATCTACTGTCCTGATCCCTTGCTAATCATGGTTCTTGTCTAGTTGGCTCACTTCCTTCATCTTCCTCGCCCAGAACTTCAACCAAACCAACTGCAGCTTTTCACGATGGAACGGAGAGGTAGTCTGTAGCCGGCAATATGCCGCCGAAGCATTTGCCTTCATTGCCTTGTTAGTATACTCCCGGTGGTAGCATGCTCATTTTGCTAACTAGTGGCAGCTTCGTCACTCTTGGCTCTCTCCTATTCCAATTCTTCTACGCTTATACTTATCGGCCTCAGTTTGCGCTGCCAGGGGAGGAGCAGAGGGCGAAAGAAAACCTGCACGGGAATTTGGAAACCGCTGGTGTTCTGTAATGTATGATGACAAGGAAGGCAGATCAGGTACAGATTATCTAAATATCTACGTTTTGAGATAGTCGTCCTGTTCAGGTCTTGTTTGTGGAACACACCGTTCAACCCTTCTTGTTCTTGGCATGTCTTGACCTACTATGCTGCCGTTATTGCCTCAATCGCAACTCAATCGCAACTGAACAATTCAATTGAATCAGATCGTTATTATGTTCTCATATTTAATTTTCACCCACATCGTCTTACGTATTACATTCTAGTTCCAAATCCTAGTTCCGAGCCCGCTTCCGCTCGCGAATCCAATAATGCCGAAGCACCGCGAGCATAACAAGCATACAAACGTCAAGGGCAATGGTCCAATTATAGCCGATGAGATACCTCGGCGCATCGACAGTCTTCCAGACACTATATTGAGGGAACGGTCAGCAATGTCACGTCACCAAGCGGACTCGGAAAGCTTACAAGAGAGGAATCCAGGCTCCAAAGGTATTACCAATCGTATTCATCGCACTGATGACCAGTGCGCGCTCCTCAGCGCTATGTGCACAAATCTCATTCGCCCAAGCATAGATGATAGCCGCGATTCCATCCGCCGTTCCAGAGAGGAAGAATGCGAAGAATTTGAGGCCAACGGGGACGTTCCAAATCGCCAACACTATACAAGCAAAGATATTCAGCACAGCGGTAATAGCAATCAAGCTCGCTTTCGCATCGTAAACGTCCGAAAGCACACCGCACACAATCGAGGCCACGATAGTCACAGCCGGGGACACTGTGGTGATAGTGTTGATGCTCTCGACTGAATAACCTTCCGCCTTGAGCCACAGCGAGAGACCGCTGTTCGAAGATACGCCGTCGGCCTGGGAGAAGAAAAACGCAAAGGAAACCAACACCCAAATTCTCCAACCCTTCAAGATCTCCAACATCCGGGGGAGAGTGAATGGCTGACGAGCTTGACGATTTTCTGAAGCCATCCGCTCTTGTGCCAAGCGAATCTCGTCGGCGCTCAAGAAGCGCGAGTTGCACTTGTCCGGAGTGCTTGGGAGCAGGCAGAGACCGAGGAAAGCGATCGGGATGGTGCACGCAAAGCAAATGATGTATAACCATCGCCACCCCTCGATTCCATAGCGTCCGTCCAGTCGAGCATAAGCGCCTGCTTGGATATAGCCGGAGCTCATGCTGCCAACTTGACTGGCAATGAAGAAGATGGCTCCTCGGCGAGAGAGCTCAGAGCGCTTGTACCAGCTGCCCAGGTACCATTGAACAGCAGGGAAGAAGAAGCCACCGAGGGCTCCGACGAAGAAACGTAGAGCGTAGAGCTGAGTGACGTTTGAAGCCTTGTATTGCGCCAACGTGAAGACTCCCCAGAAGAGGTCGGCAGCTGGCAGGAAATAGTTTACTGGGCAGCGAGTCATCTGTTCAACAAACTGGTCAGCACAATGGCTCTTTTCTCCTCCGTGTGACGTTGGAATTGACTAACCACCAGGGTCAAGGGAATCTGCATGGTAATGAAGCCAACCATGTAGACCGTATTGAGATAATTCAACTGGTTTCCATATAACTTGAGGTCCTCCTTCATTCCACTCACATACGCCGTGCTAGTCGCCGACGAATCCAGGACCTTAGCCCAGTAGGCCAAAAACACAAACACAATAATCAACCCATCCAGTTTGAGGATCAATCGTCGCTCAGCTGGTGTGTCAGTGGGTGCAAACCACTGGTACCATTTCTGGCGGGCAGGCTCAACGCCGTGGGTCTGGTCGCCCTCATAGTTCTCCTTCGACTTGGACTGTTCGAGTACCGGCGTTTCTGCCGCCTCTACGGTCTCTGTGGACTTTTCGTTATGAACAGACATTGTCGGAAGCAATGAATGAGCCCAATAGCTCGATGACCGTCGCGATGCCGAAGCAAAGTCGCTGAGGCAATTCTCATGGTTTTGTAGGTTCGTTGAACTAGCGGCAGTCCGTCAAGCACGCCATCGCGTGGGCTAATTTGCCGATCTAGACGCCAAATCGACCTCAGTTGATTCCAGTCAAGCGTTGCCAAGAAGATTGCTGATTCGTTCTATTCACGTGGAGTCTTTTGATATTTAAGGTCGACGTTAACCCTGTCAGGCAGGTGATGGGAGAACTGCCGAGCTGAGATGGAATGGGCTGAGAGAAAGAAGGGTGTTTGTTGACGGTTTGCTCATTCCAGACGCCTTGCTTCCCTCGCGACCTTTTCCAGCAGATTGACCTTTAGCCATTTTGATCATTGTTAGAGGCTCTTTAAAGACTCGATTAGCTCGCCGCAGCTGATGAAAATATTTGCTTCATATTTGTCTGTCCACGACAAGAGAAAGAGCTTCACACATACCCAAACGACCCCGTTCTCCACCCGATCTCACGTACCCACACTGCAAAAAAATCAACTCGAGCATTGACTCATAACGCCCGATAAGCACGAAAGGTTCGTTTATGATACTTTTGAAGCGACTTAGAGATTGATGTCTCTGGCACTTACGTATCCCATCTGAAGGGCATGGGCTTGCCCTCCACGAGCGAGAAGCATGTTAATCAGTTGTGGAACATGAGATGGGGGGGAAAAAAAAATTAAACTCCAGCGTGACTACTGTCCTGTGCATACAACGGTCGATCGGGGCGAGGCTTGTCTCATTCCTGGGATTAATCATCTGGCAGCTTGGAGTCATGAAGGTGACACACGGTGCGGATATGTGCAGATTCCTCAGGTCCGTTCTTGACTGGGCAGGTACGGCGAGTCTCCAGCAAAAGTAACCATGTTGGTATTAGTATCCTTGGAGGTAGGACCCAAATTGCTTTTGATTTGGTCTCAGATTCATTATCATCTTGGGATTTGTAGAGGATATTCTAACCTCCCAAATGGACCTCTGTAAAGGGCTACGCCTTCAAGATCACGGCCAGTTGGACTTGGTTCTTCCTGAACTTTGGTCTGTACTTGAGAAGAAGAAAATGATTGAATAGACTTGATTGCCCAGGTTTATTAATTATTTGAACTACAGTATAGGCCATATACTTTCCCCCTCCTCCCCCGCGGCGTTGTCCCCGGAGTGTGATCCGTAGAGGCAGTTCCCCGGCAAGTCTTCGGCAAAGCGCCCGTTAGGCTCTTATTGTACATAGCCAGGTACCGAATATCGGCCATTGATTATTGGTCTGGACAAATATCTCTCGTTCCGATTTCTCCCTTGCGAGATCTAAGCAGCTACAATCAAATATAGTCATTTGCGATCGCTATATCTGTACATCTGTACTCCGTAGATAGGCTCTAGCACGGTCGGTACAGTATTAACACTCAAACTGCGGAGCGCGGCGATGAAAAGGTCCGCCATTCGCATTACAGTATTCCGAACAGGTATTCTAATTTTTAATATTCAATGAATTATCAATTTTACAGTCTAGGCTTTTCAGAATTGCCTTGTTTTTGAGGTTTGTATTTCAAGCACCAGGCTGGCCCATATTGATAATATCATTCGACATGTTAATCTCTGAAGGTGCACATGACCGGTGGAGAGAACAAGAGGTTACCATTACTTAGTACTACTAGTGGAGGGATTTCTTTCTTCCGGGGACCCCTAAGTGACTTAAGTTTACTAATAATATTACCCTCAGAGCCCCTCCCATAGGCCTCTAGGGGCCTATTTCTTCGGGACACCAAGGGCCGAGACTTCGGCAGAGGCAGGGATCGGAGGGGTCGGGGCATGTCTTCGTCCTCGGGAAAGCGAGAGTAGTATATTGTAGTAAAGCAATTGGTAGAATCAAGATGGGAAGAGTATATGTGAATTGTTCTACTAATATAATAGTTAGTTGGATAATAGGGGGGGCTATGGCTATGACGAAGACTGAAGATTTAAACTATGATCGACCATTCCAGCCAGCATATCACGGAATCACCTGATAGTCCAAGTCTTCCAAGAGCCTGATAACGGACAATCCCGGCCATTCTTGTTATTTGTTAGGCATCTACTGTAACAAAAGGAAGAAAAGGAAAGGGGAAAAACCGGAGCGGAGACTGACTGCGGTCACGCGGGGAATAATGACGAAAACGCGGACCCGCTGAGATCAGATGAATCCAAAGGAACGCTTGTTAATGTTGGAAACTACAAAATCTCCCTCTTCTGCCCGGTTTACTTGCCTGACGTTGTTTCGGTCCACTCTCCATACTTGCCTTGGTTAAACCTGGTCCCTGTCTTGCCACACAATTCAATTCTTCTTGAATAATCCCTCCTCCTATTTAAATTATTCTTATCCTCTTTCTCTCTCTCTTCCTCCTTCTTTCGCAATTCAAAGCCGAGGCTACAATTGCTGCATACTTCCCGCTCCGATAACAACCGCGTCCACCCCCACTTACTTCAATCAACTTCACCCCTCAATCTCCAACAAAAAGCTTCCTAAGCTCCTACCAATTCCTATCATTCCTATTCCTATTCGTTCGCAAAATATATACAAAATGGCAGCCAACGGATCCGCCCCTCCTGTCGGCCAGGAGAACATCAACACCGACATCGTCACTCTCTCCCGCTTCTTCACGGAAGAGCAGACCAAATACCCCGAAGCCTCGGGAGACTTCACCCTCCTCTGCCACGCCCTCCAATTCTCCTTCAAGTCCATCGCCTACTACATCCGTCGCGCCTCCCTAATCAACCTCACCGGTCTCGCCGGCTCCTCCAACACCACCGGCGACGACCAGAAGAAGCTCGACGTGATCGGCAATGACATCTTCATCTCCGCCATGCGCGGCTCCGGCAAATGCCGCATCCTCGTCTCCGAGGAAGAAGAAGAAGTCATCACATTCGACGAGCACCCGAACGCCCGCTACGCTGTCGTCTGCGACCCCATCGACGGCTCCTCCAACCTGGACGCCGGTGTCTCCGTTGGCACCATCTTCGGCGTCTTCCAGCTCCCCGATGAAGTTCTCGGCGCGGGCAAGACCGTCGGCCCCGAACAACTCCTCCACCCGGGAACTTCGCTCGTCGCCTCCGGTTTCACCATGTACGGTGCCTCTGCGCAATTGGTCATCACCATGCGCGGCGGTGGCGTCAACGGCTTCACCCTCGAGAACTCGCTGGGCGAGTTCATCCTCACTCACCCCAACATGAAGCTCCCCGAGACCCGGGCCATCTACTCCGTCAACGAGGGTAACAGCATGTACTGGGATGATTGGTGCAATGCCTACTTCCACAGCCTCAAGTACCCCGGCGAGGGCCAGAAGCCGTACAGCGCTCGTTACATCGGTTCCATGGTTGCGGATGCTTACCGTACCCTGCTGTATGGTGGTATCTTCGCTTATCCTGCCGATAAGAAGAGTCCTAAGGGTAAGCTGCGTATCTTGTACGAGTGTGCGCCCATGGCTATGCTGTTCGAGAACGCTGGCGGTCTCGCGGTTAACTCGCGCATGGAGCGGTTGATGGAGGTTCGTCCTGAACACATCCATGACCGGAGTGGTGTCTTCCTTGGCTCCAAGGGTGAGGTCCAGAAGGTTATTGACATGTATAACAAGCACCACAACTAAGCGTTTGCGCTCTGTGCTGCTTTTGTTTTCTTGTCCTGTTTACGCCTTTTCGGATGCCTTGACCCTTGGACGTGATTTGATATCCTCACCTCGGTCTTGGGTGCCGTTCGGTTCAGTTCCCTCTTCTTTTGTCCGCGGGCCCTTTGAGCCCAGTTTATTTTTATGATTCCACGCTTCCTATATTTTTACCTCTTGATGTACTGAGCTGGAGTTGTTGTGTTGTGTGTGGATCAGTGATGACGTCGTCGTTCTGTGCAGCGCCTTCATACTCTTCTCATGGAATTCTCGGCTTGGTACCAAAATAGTCTTAAATGAATGAAAAAATTATTAAAATATATCTTCCATGCTTCTCCTAGAACATGATCTCCTTCATTGCCCCGATAGGTATGCTGTCTTCTCTCGTCCCTTTCTTACATCTACAGGCACATCTCCTACGCTCACCGCCCGAGTCACCGTCCACCAAGTAGCTAGGTAGCAGTCCTGTCTTTAATCCAAAGACTTACAGACCTACATGCCCCGAATTATGAGAACATATATATTCTAGACCTTCTTACAGTACATGACACAAGAGGAAACCCGAGGGAAGGACAATCCCACAGGGATGCTAGTGCGGGAGAGAAAAAAAAAGAACCCAAAAAATGCAAGACAAACCGCTCAAATCTAATCCACTGGATCCTCTTCCAGCAGAGTCTTGAAGCTGAACGGCAAAAAGGGAATACCCTCGCCCATGAAATGCTTGCTCATCGCCTCCACCCAGTGTAGACGAAGCGAGTGAAGCACTAAATTACTCGTTAGCTTGCAATCAAATAACAACTGCTGTTAGGGTCATAAGTGGGGATACTCACTGGCTGATACACCTTCCATGGTGACGAGCACCGCAACACTCAGAACAAGGAACATATAGGTGCAAATCACGATCATGATCACTCGGATGACGTGGCTCTCCTGCTCGAAGGCGGTACCGAGGGTCATATCCCAGAGAACGATGGAAAGTTGCTGATGGGCCAAGGACAAAGCCCAAAGACGGAGGTACGAAGCAGTGTGCGAGATACAGTTCAAGCAGAATTCGATAGTGTGAATGACCTGGTGGATCATGACATCGCTGAAGTCGAACTCTTCGTGCTCCTCGCCCTCATCGATGTTCTGGGCAATCATGGCGACACCTTCACCATCACTGGCCAGACTGTCGCGAGCGCCACCAAATCCGCCATCCATATCACCATCATCCTCCAAGGCACTGACACGGGATTGCTCGCCGAGACCCCGGTAACCCAGAGCGCGGGCACGATTGTGCTCATAGCGCAGCCAGAAGGGCTTGAGGAAGAGCATAATGGGGACCTGAATAACTGCGATAAGGAGGAGCAGGACCTGAACGGTGGCTTGACCAGAGTACAGCTTCTCCTGGACGTTGCCAGGGCTCAGGAACATGAAAATAAGCATGTTCAGCAAGCTGGGTGGGTCCTGACCGATGGCTGGCCAGTCCACGGACCACTTGTACAGAATCGTGAGGGCCAGATAACCGAAGATGGACTGGAAGAACAACATTCCGGGAACAAAGTTGCCAAAAATGTCAACCTTAGACTTGAAATGCCGAGCGTTGACATACTGGTGGACCAAGGCGTAAGTCATGTGGGACCAGCCAAGCAAAATACTCATCTTCATCTTCATACTGTTCGAGAAGAGCAAGGAGTTTTCCGCCTCGTGCCAGTTCCAATCCAAACCGATGGGGAAGCGGTAACCATCCTTCAAAGTAGCCTCAACAGACTGGCCAGCCTTGATGTCCTCGGGCCACTGCCACTGACTGGGGAAAATGCTGAAAGCCTTGGAGAAGATGTCGTTGTAGATGAAGCCAGTGTAAATGGAGAAAAGACCCATCATCAGCATAATATACCGACCGTAGAAAGCCATGTATGTCAGTTCGTCAAGCTTGGTGCGAAGCAACTTCTTCTCAAAGAAGATCATTGCAGAGGCGGTCGCAGCCATGATGAAACCGTGTCCCATGTCACCAAACATGACAGCGAACAAGAAGGGGAATGTGACAATTGTGTATAAGCCAGGGTTGACCTCGGAGTACTTCGGGATACCATAGGAGTTGATGATAGTCTGGAAAGCCTCCGTGAACTTGTTGGTCCGAACGTAAGTTGGCGGGGTTTTGTTGGTGCGGATTTGGTTGACGATAGTAGGGACAGAGAGACCGGCACGATCGTTGACGTCCTGCAAGGTCGACTTAATGAGAGCGAGGGAGTTTGTGGGGCACCACGCCTCGGCAATCAGCGTCTTGCGAGCTTGGTCGTAAGAAAATCTGTTCAACGTGTCGTATACAGCCTTCTCTTTTTTGACGATGATCATCCATGCCGCGAGAGATCGTGCGATCTGGGAGAGCTCCGCGTCCAAGGTGTTCTTAGTGTTGCGCAGTACATTGCCCACGTCACCCAATCGAGTGTTGACCTCGTGAATTTGATCACGACGCAGCTCACTGTTCTCGTCCACTCCGTACAACGAAGCACCCAGCGATTCGGAGATCTTGCGAATCTTGGCAAGAATGTTCTTACCATGAGCAAAGATCACGAACACGTTCTTGTGGATTTCTTCATTGTTGCTAGGGTCGATGATCACTTCAGGAATCTCCGATTGGTTCATGTAAAGGTTACCACGGAGAGTTCGCCAGAGGATGCGTTCAAAGGCTCCAATGCGGTCCCGAGGGATAACACCTGCAACGAAGCCAATGTTCATTTCCGAGAAGCTCTGTTGACCCTGAGTGTCTCCATTTGCGCCGCGCGGGGCGTGTTGTTCGACGTCGCGAAGAAGGGGCGCTTCGTCGTTATCGAAGGATTGGCGGATATCTTCGGTATGGGTGTGGGCCTAGTATCTCAACATCAGATTTGAATCTTCCACCGACAGTCTTGTAGTCAATACTAACCCGGTCGAAGAATCCACCAGCCTCTCGGAGAACCCAACGCCATTCACTGAGCTCGACTTCACGCTTCTTCAAGGTCTCGTAGCTGTCATTCAAGGAAGCAATCCGCTGCTCGAGGCTCTCACTCCGCTCAGCCAACTCGTCGATTTCCGAAGCCAGGGGAGCGGCCAGAGTGTCTGAAAAGTCGGTCGAGGGCCTCATGGGAATGGAAGCTTTCTCCATCTGCGAGTGGAAGTAGCCTAGTGCGGGAGAGAGTATAGATTAGCATTTAAAAATTCGAATAAAGATGTAGTCTGCCGAAAGTTGAATTATTGACATACGGAGCTGTCGTTCGACATTATCGAGGCGCCGAATCTCCTTGGTAAAGGTTCGTTGGAAAGCGTTGGTGTCAGGGTTGAGCTAGAAAACATGAGTTAGCGGGGGTCCCTATACCTGACAGCCACAGATCTGGGAAGCTTGAGTACTAGCATCATATCGAACATACATCTCTGAACTGGACCTGACCAATTTCACCCAGGGCACTAACGACCTCCCTTCCGATTTCATTGGCAATGTAGAGTTGGGTCAGGCTCATCTCCGACGAGCGGAAGAAGGTATCCTGCGGAGCCATGGTGGGCAGGAGGCTGTGAGGAGCCAAGGCCTTTCCACCAGGGGGTGAATGCAGTCAAAGAGAAAAATAGGTGGAAAAAGAGCCGGGGAGGGCGAAAGGAAGGACCTGGATGATGGCGTCGACGTTCGAGATGCCGCCGACGACAGCTCCTCAGGGCGAGCTGGCCGCAGTGCACGTGATGTCACGTGCTGATATATCCACATACTTCAGCTGCCTTTGACATCAACAAAACGATGATAATTATGACGAACTAGGTAGTTAGCTAGTTGGTTAACCAGGTCGATTGATAACTCATGGGAGATTGCTTTGATGGGCTACGATAAGAGAGAAAAGACAAAGTGTTCGATTCGAATTGTGTGTTGAAAGCGAAGAGTTCAGACCTTTCCACCATAGTAGCCATCCGAGGAACCGAACCTGATCACAGAGGTCTCTCCAATCCAAACAACGCCACCACATCCCCTTCCAAAGCAAACTCATCAAGAATCCGAAACCCATTCTTCTGCAATACCCGCAAACTCCCAATATTAGCCTTATTACAAGCAGCATACAACTTCTCCCTTTCACCTGAATCCTCAATATCTTTCCTCTCAAGTTTCCACCACGCGTCAATGACACCACCAACCGCCTCACTGATATACCCTTTACCCCAGAAGTCGGGGTGGATACTGTATCCAATTGACGGTGAGGGAACAAGGGAATTAATTCCTACTGCGCCGATGACCTTTTGAGCTGGGTCGTCTGCGAGGATGATCGCGAATTGGAAATTTCGTCCGATGGCGCCAGATGCATCGGGGGTTTGGAAAGTTTTGTTGGTGATTCCTGCTTCTGTCTCGGAGATGTCCTTGTGAGGAATCCTGGGCCATCTAGAGGCGAGGTAGTTCATAGATTAGTATGATGCGTAGAACTTTGGAGGAAGAGAGCCTTACAGCCAGTCTGCTACCTCCTGTTTTCGCCGAAACTCAAATATATCAGGAGCATCTTTAATATCCAGACTGCGTAGATATAGATTCTTAGTCCGTATAGGCTCTACTATAGCAGGTATGATCGCTTGAGTGACCTGCTCAGGATAGAGTGAGGCTTTAGTGGCTTGAGTGTCTGCTGTCATAGTGGCGGTTCTAGCACCCACGAAATGAGCGCCAAAGGGGACTCTTCACGACCTATATACGCCTGGGCAGAATGGATTGCGGCTTATCTCCGGCCCTCAAACCCTTTCTGGGGCACTAGGCAAGTCATTTCATTGGATCAAGGTGGTGATATAAGCCTCTATGGCGAGCCTTGTAGAGGGTCGCATTCATGCACTGGACTGACTCACCTCGGTTGGATGCCCCGCTTTATACGACAGTATGCAACCCTAACAAGTCAGGCTTACAGAATTAGGAGAAATATACAGGTCAGTTAGGTAGATAGAGAATATAGATTCCCATAGAAGTGTATCTCATTCAATCTCGTAACTTTCTGTCGTCTTTCAAGTTTGCTAATGTACACTCATCCCACATGGATGACCTCTCGAATCATAGTAGAGAAGAGAAGAAAAACGTAGCATCGCAATAGAACCAAGCGATCCTCTCCATCATTCATAAACAACCAAAACCCCCCATTTAAGCACCACCCTCCCTCTTCGCATACTCATCCTCCATCCGTTCCTCATACAACCGATCCGCCTCCTCCTTACTCAACGGCTGATTACCCCGATCATCCTGCGACGCATTGTTATCACGGGCGCCACTCTCAATATGCGGGGCACTGCCGTCCAGGGCAGCAAAGGAATTGAGATCGGCCTGGCCGGTGGAGCAAAAGGCGCCGGCGCTGTTGGGCTGGACTTGGTTTTCTTGGGACTGGAAGTCGGGGGTTGGGATGGGCATGGTGGATGTGAGTGATGAGGGGGGCTTTTTTTTTCGCACGACTCTGTGGTGGGAGTTTCCAAGTAGGTAGTGGGTAGTAGTGAAAGATCTGAGCAGTGAGAGAAGTTGGAAGTGCAGTTTAAGTAGTGTTGTGAGGAAGTTGGTGTGCTTGGAGCTGCTGCGTTGCCGCCACAGGTGTGGCGAGAGCTTGAAGGTAGACGTCATGGTTGAAGTTGGGGCAATTTAGGCCAGTGGGTCGCACTGCCACACACAACAGAGGACCACTGGAGTGTACAACATACTATTTGAGATCTGCTAAGAGCCAACAATTATATGAGAAATGATCATTAGACCCAGCTAGAGGCATCACTACCACAAAAAACCACTGTACTCGATATGCAAATATGGCGTATACTTTAGAGCCATGTCATGTCATGTCATGTCAATCCATCGCAATCCTCCCGCTAAAAGCCACTCATCAATTAAGGTTCTTAAGACAACAATCAGAGCAGAAAGAAAACAGCAAGGGAAACAGCGTGCCATTCATAACAGCTCCCCAGATCTAGAATTATTCTATGTACTCCCTACTCTGCGCTGAGAGCAAGGCATGCGTCCACGGCGAGACCGACTCTATCAAATCAAATTAGTAAATCAACTCCTGAAAGGTCACTACGAAAAAAACAGGCTAAAGGGACAACTAACCTCCCTTCCTTCTGCTTGACCACATCATCAATCACATCGCGGTCCAGATTCGGGAACATGTTCGAAAGCGTCTCGACAACATTGTTATGCTCGGCACGCTGAATACGCTGCGCCTCGGCTTCTTCAGCGCTAGCCTGGCGGGCAGCTGCGTCTTGAGCGTCGAGCACGCGACTAAGATTCTTCTGAGCCCCGCCGGTCTTCTCACGGGGCGGAGCTGGGCGCTCATCGCCAGAGCGGCGGCCTTCGCTGCTTGCGCGGGGAGGCTGGTAGACATTGGGTGTGAGGCGTGGGGGCGCAATACCTGGTTGAGGAGTTGTTGCAGGCTGGAGCGGACGGTCTTGAGCAGACGACGGGCTCGAGTCTGCGTCGTCGGAGAAGATCCGGCCGATGGTGGAAAGAGGTTTTTGGATGGTACGGAGGAGGCCTGCAACGGGGGCAGAGGTGTCGTCGTCAGATTGGGAGGCATCTCTTCGACTCGGTCCAGCTGCTGGTGGAGCTGGGCCGCTCGGGGCGGTAGGTTGAGTGGGAGACTTCTCCGACAGAGATTCGTGTTCACGGTTTTGTTCGGCAATGGCGGAGACGGCTGCCTCGACATTGCGCTCAAAGTCTTCATCACTGACGGTGAGACTCGTGCGGTCGAGGGTCTCGATGAATTGAATGGCTCCAGACTAGGTGAATGTTAACAGGCTGTGGGACTCTGTGACTGGGAATGAAACATACTAATGAGGAAAGATAGTAGCCTGCTTCTCCACCAAGCTTTTCTTGATTGCGGAAGCGCAGGATGTATTGGATGTTGGAGACAAGGTTTCCTGGGTTTGCATGCAATACCACATAGATCAGGAGTGGAACGAATGAGTCGGCAGAGGTATCGGCCTTTCTGCTGTTCCTCAAAAGACCAAAGATCACTTTGCAGCAGTTCAAAATGCAAATAACCTTATCTCGAGGGGCGCGGTAGCCGTTTATCTTCAATAATTCTAGATTTCAGATTAGCATTTGAGCAAACGCCAGCGACAGATAAAACACATACCTTGCTGTGCCAAGCTCAGGAACCTTCGCCCACTACCACTAACCGCGGCAATATCTAGATGCTCCTCTTTAACCCAACTATAAATGCGAATCTTCTGCGCCAATATGTCATCCCGCTCGATATCCTCTTGATGCTGGCCCCGTCGCCACGGTCCATGAAGTTTTTCAATCTCTCGCCTCCGACTCCGGCTTGTACTTCTAGGAATTGTCGGAGGAGCCGGGATCGCAGGCGAAAACGTCTGCGAATACAAACGATTCATAACCAACTTCTCCATTCCTTCCTTCGCATTATCAAACTCGGCATCCGACACGTCACGCCATATTTCGCATATGGCCATCTTATTCGTGATGAAAGCCAAGAAGTCACTGATAATCTTGACTTGTTCGTGGGCCATCCATTGCTTCTTTGCAAACTCCGTCAGGAACGAGCGCAGGAATTTAGCGACCGGATCAGCAGTCCGGTGACGCAGTTGCTCTAGGAATCGGTGGAAATCAAATGGTTGGTCTGGTTCAGGCTCGGGTGGGGGTGGGAGAGTCGAGGCTGATGATTGTCGGGTCAAAGTAAGGTCTTCAGGGCCGACGGAGTATCGGTGGTGAGCTGGCGCAGCCGGGCCACTATGTGATGCGGCGGGCCCTGAAGGACCAGATGAGGGGGAGTGTACAGGCTCGAGACTCGACCTGCGAGGCGGGAAGTGCTGCGATGTGCGGAACTGTTCGGCCAGCTCCAATCGAGGGGACATGATCTCCTCCTGGTCGGTAGTTCTTGCAGGGTCCTGGAACTGGCCCATAATATTCTGGATCTCTGGTTGGGAATCATTGTCATCTCGAGCTCCATTGCTTCGGACTGTCTGGCTGGTCTCGGGGTCGCTATCTCCGGGTACATCTGGGAGCTCCTTCTCAGAGCTTGGGCCGGAGTTGGGCGCGCTAGCTGGCTGAGGAGTAGCGACAGGGGCGGTTGGATTCGAGGTGAGGTAGGAGTCATCTTTCTCGGGCGGAGGAGGAGGGGGAGGAGTGTTTGCCGTCGAGGACATCCCGGACTCGGGTATCTTGACCGACAGTGACAGCGCTTCGACCTGTCCCGCAAGCCGGTCCGGTTGAGACGGTGCTGCTACTGAAGGTGGAGATACTTCTGCTGTGTCGGTCTGAACATCGACTAGCCCAGCAGGGATGCGCGGCTTCGTAGGCGGTTCTGTGCCCATCTCGGCTTGTTGTGAGCTTTCGATCGAGGGGCCATGCTCTGTTTCGGGGAGGTCGGTTGCGGGCGTTGGGCTCTCGAGCGCCTCGTGGGTGGGCTGCTCCCTCTTTTTCCCAGAGCCCAAAGGGGACAAGGGTTCGGTGGCCGACATGAGCTAAATCAACATGCAGGCCACGGAAATGTATTCAGGGGTATCACGATAATAGTTGTAGGGAGTGTCGAGGCTCTCATGTTGATGCGCGGATCATTGGTTCAGCCGAGGCCGCCGAAGCACGAGGCTCTTCTAGCTGATTTACTGCTAGTGCTACTGCTTGATCTTGGCTAAGAATTACAATCAATTTACAGGCTTGAGCATATAGGTCTGAGCTATATATCTCGAAATGTTTACATAAAATCTGCTGTAATGCAATCTAATCACTGCCTTGTACTTCTCATGATCGACGTACTTCACCCCGCGGCCGGAAATATACGGATGACTAATATTTTTAGCCTCAGGCCTTCAAATGGCATAAAAACATTCGAATTCGCATCTCAACCCTACTTACTACTACACAGGCCTCCGTTGCTCCCACACCACTCGATCATGTGCGGGATCTTCTTTTCCTTGTCCAAGAGACCAACTGTACCAAATTCAGAAACCAAGTCTTTACTGATCCAACGCGGCCCTGACAGCTGTCAGACGCACACAGCTCAACGGCAGGTCCAGGCACAAGATGGAGTGTCTGCGCCAATAACCCAGTATCACACATTCATCTCGACAGTGTTATCACTGCGAGGTGATCATGTCTACAAGCAGCCCCTTGTAGATTCAGAAACTCAATCTGTGCTCTGCTGGAATGGGGAAGCTTGGAAGATTGCAAACGAGCGGGTCTCGGGCAATGACACAGAGCTTGTATTTGGTCTATTCCTTGAGGCTATGAAAGGTGATGCTCGACAGGCTATTGAGAACTTTGCGACTGCTGTTGCGAGTATCTCGGGTCCGTTTGCGTTTGTCTTTTATGATGCTGTGCATGGAAGGCTGTTCTTTTCCAGGGATTGCCTCGGAAGGAGATCACTCCTGCGGGGCGTGGATGTGGATGGCAGTTTGAAGATTTGCAGCTTATGCGATGGTTCTTCCTCTACGCACTTTGAAGAAGTTGGCTTCGAGGGTGTCTATATGATTGATCTCGAAAATAATCAAGAGTCATTTACAGACCCTGCAGAGCCATATAAGATTGACATCCTGCCATGGAGTTCCGATACGTCTCCTCCTGCAGGTCATATAGTGAGTCTACAATACTCCCAAGCACCTCATTGACAATTCTAATATCTACCCAAGAAAAATCCCATTCCACCAATGAACATGTCTGTCCCAGAGGAACAACCTCCTGCACTAAGACTAGAGACACCCTTTGTCAAGGACCTCCAAACCAAACTACACCAATCTCTCACCTTAAGAATTGAAGATGTACCAGAACCGCCTGGTTACATTCAAAATCAAAGTGCCAAGATCGCAGTCCTCTTTTCCGGCGGCCTGGACTGCACACTCCTCGCCCGTCTAGCCCACGACATCCTCCCAATCAATGAACCTATCGACCTACTCAATGTGGCATTTGAAAATCCCCGCGTTGCCGCCGCAGCAGCAGCAACCTCAAAACAAAACACGTCTTCATCTTCATCACCTCTATCAGAACCCACTTCTTTCTACGAAACCTGTCCAGACCGAATCACAGGCCGCTCAGCACACGCCGAGCTCCAAGAAACCTGTCCCGGCCGAACATGGCGCTTCATCGCCATCGACATCCCCTACACTGAAACCCTCGCACACCGCGAGTCCGTCAAGCGACTCATGAGGCCGCATAACACCGAAATGGATCTATCCATCGCTTGCGCACTATACTTCGCCTCTCGCGGTCAAGGAACCATCTCTGAACCTGAATCTGGAACTATCCCATACACAACAACCGCCCGCGTCCTCCTCTCCGGCCTCGGTGCAGACGAGCTCTTCGCCGGCTATGGCCGTCACGGGGTATCATTCGCCCGAGGTGGCTTCCCAGGACTCATCTCCGAGATCCAGTTAGACGTAAGTCGACTCGGACAGCGCAATCTCGGCCGCGATGACCGCGTGCTCTCGCACTGGGGTCGGGAAACTCGGTTTCCGTACCTGGATGAGGAGTTTGTTGGGTGGGTTCTTCGAGCGCCGGTGTGGGAGAAGTGTGGGTTTGGCCTTGCGGAGCCGCAGGGCGAAGATGAAGAACAAACTCTTCGGGGCATTGATAAGGAGAAGATGGGGTTGCGACTTGTGGCGCTGAGATTGGGGTTGAGGTCTGTTGCGAGGGAGAAGAAGAGGGCTATTCAGTTTGGGGCGAGGACGGCGAAGATGGAGAAGGGGAGGACGAAGGGAACTGATGCGTTGAGTTGATGGTCCTTTCTCGTCTTGTTCTTTGATGATATCTTACTGTGCTAGTCATTGCGGGGTTTGTAAAACATACATTTCCTTGTTCCCCTTCTTTCCTCCTACACATCCATTCCCTTCATCAAACGGAGATATCTCCACAAGCACACTCTCCAAAATCCAGCAATGATGACAAAAACGTGGAATCAGATACTTCCGAAACCACACTCCCTCCGCCTACCTTCTACAGAAGTCCAGCCCAGTCTTCCTATTCTGCTACTCCCACCACCCATTCCCATCTCAGAGCAACCGCAGTCCCTAGACGGCGTGTAGTTCGGGAAGTTTGCATGGGTGTTGGATGTAGAGTAGGTAGGATGGAAGACTACGGCTGGAGGAGGGATGTGGTTCATGAGGGGTATAAAAGGCAAGTCTGAGCTGGATGTTGTGTGTGGAATGGTTGACTACTATTTGGTAGAATAGGGAATAGAAGTTGAAAGTATGGTAGGCAGGTCACTACGTCAGCTGGATAGATGGGACCATGAAGTAAAGAATAGGATATTGCAATGCACAGGGAAGGCAGTATTTGTAGTATACCCTATGTCAACGCACTGAGGATACAGGGTAGCATGCATTGCATTCTGGTGAATATCCATGGGATTGCTACGGAGACAGCACACGTTCTTGTAGACGTAAACGCAAATAAGATCAAACACACATACGTTAGGCAATACATACCTTAGGAAACGGTTGACAAACAAGTTACCAGAGATGTGTCTACAATTGTTACAGTGATTACAAGGACAAGATTGGAGTAGCAATGAATCTCAAATATTAGAACTAAGCCAAAAACAAAACGAGCCACGAGTCAATCACCATCTCAGAGGATGGGAGACAATCAGAACCGGCTGGAAAAGACAAACTAATAAAAACCCCAAAAAAAGAAATCGACAACGGAGGAAAAGGAAATTGACGATGTTCAAGAAATCTCAAATCATGTCACAACTTTTGGAGAAAGGCAGAGGGGCAGAATCTGCATTTCTCAATTATCGGTGAGTTGTCGAAGGTAATGGCTTGACCCATCACCCACGCCCACCAGGCCAGGAGCAGTAAAATCCACATAAAAAGAAAAGCAAGCAAAGGAACCCCGAAAACATTTTTTTAGACAGCTAGAAGACGAGCACAGTCCCCATTTAGGAGAACTGCTGCTGCGTCTTCAGCTGGGCTTGGAGGCTTGCGATCAACTCATCGCGCTCAGCGACCTGTCGTCGCAACTCTGCGATCTGGGCCTCAGCAGACATCTGGCGCTCGAGCTTCTTGGCTCGTGACTTGCGAGCGGCCTCGGTGTTTCGGGCACGCTTGGCAGCCACCGGGTCACTGGGATCAAAGGCAACGGGAGACAGCTCCTTGCGCGAGCGAGAGATCCCAGCGACGCTCGAGGGCTTGGCGCCGCCAGTGGCGGAGATTGGAGACGAGATTGACTTGGAGGCAGAGACACGCTTAGGGGCAGCAGGCACAGTGATAGTCGGCTCCGCAATGTCGTGCTTAGCGTCAGTCTCCTCCACAGCAGTGAGGCCAAAGGTTTGAAGAGTCTCAAGGGCCGTAGCGTCGTCAAACAGGGGAGCCCAGTCATGCTGGTTCAGGACATCCAGATCGGCGAACATTGGAGAAGTGTTGGAGCTGAAAGCGGCACCTGGAGACTCGAAAGATGGAGTGCTCATATCCGTGAAAGTGGTCGAGGGCGGGAAGGAGCTGCCATCGTTCATGATGTCCTTGGGTGAGACAGTCCCCTGAGGAGCAGGGGAGAAAGCGCCGTTATCAGAGTCCAGCGAGAGCTGGAAGGGCGAACCCATGTAGTTGGTGAGGCCAGCGGAGGGGAGCCCGAAGAGCTCCACGTCGTGGTCTGAAGGTAATGTGTAAGTAGGTGGAGGAATGGTAAGAGAAGTGCACAGCACGACAGTGGAAGAATTACCTGAGAAGTTGGGGGTAGACATATTGCGGCGAGTAGCCTGCGTGGCTTGATTCTTGTGTGTAGTGGAAAACTGCGGAACCGGAGGGTGGTGAGGGGGAACGGGAGGGCACTGAAGCGGCGTGAGGCTGCTGTGCGTGCGCGATGTTGTTGGGATAAGACCAGTGGGAAGGAGACCGGGCAAGCTTGGTCACTCTGGGGTCTGGAACAGGGGAGCCAGAGAACTGTTGCTGTAGGTGACGTTGCAACTGCAGACTGAAGGAGTGTCGTCGAGGATGGTTCTGAGCCAAGAAGGGCTGGAGAGCCGACGGTCTAAGGGTAGTACTCGAGGGAGCGAGCAAACGCGAGTCTCGTGGATGAGGCTGCGATTGTGGAGCTGGCGGGGCTGGATAGAGTACAAAGTCCTCTAGAGCACTGTTGTTGTTGCTGTTGCTGTTGTTCGAACTGGAAGCCAAGGGCTGTGTGGGCGGGGGCGTGGGAAGCCATGATTGCTGGGAGTGATCCGTGGTGAACGACGAAATGTCGATCGGAGAAATGGTTATTTGGGGAGAACTTGAGCTACGCGATGCGATGCTAAAGTTCAGAGATCCTGTAAAAGGAGGCTCTGAAGAAGGTTGTTGAGGGGAGAAAATAGACGGGGTTCCGTGAGGAGGAATGGTGTCGTTCTCAATGGAGAAAGACGAGATCTTTCGAGACGAGGAGCTTAGAAAGCACCCATTTTGGATCAGTGGAGGTTCAAAAGGCTGTTGTTCAGAGAGAGGCAGAATGGTGGATGGATGTGGGTGTCTGTTGTGAGGGTTCAAAAGAGAATGGGGAGAGAAGAAAAAAAGGAAGGCATCGACGGGGGGGGAATCAGGCACTTCTTAAGCGGCGACTTGATTTGGCTGTGTGGGAGGATCCACTAGACTGTTGGTTCTGGCCAATCATCGATCACAGCCGCACGGGGCTTAGTCGAGCCTGGAAGTCACGGGGTGTGAGTCACACCCTAATCGGCTGTGCTGATTGGCTGCTCAGCCCCGACAGCCAGTTTAGCGGAAGTCTATGGGTACTTCCGATGTACTTTCCAGTGGACTTGCGCTCTTTCGTCTTTACTTTCCATTTTCTATGACGTTGCCATACTTTGCGTCCCGACTCTCAGCCTCGTCGGCCAGGTACCCACCATGTACCTCTCCGTCAGCCATTCCCCGTTGCCTACCCGTTGACCAATCATGGTTCCTTTCTCCTGTCTCGTCCTGGCGGTCCAGGCATCCGCACTATCCGATTCAGTTACAGACGTTGTTTCGAAGCCCCCTTGTCCAGACCCCAGGCTGATCCAAACGAGATTCAGAGAAAGACTCTCCAAAAAGGATATTTACCATTTCACCAATTCTCACAGCCTAAAGACGAAAGACAACTCACTATTACAGGCCACGTCGCCAATTCCCATGACCCCTCGTATAAATGGAGTCTCCGGCAAGGTTTCTCACTAAAAAAATCCGGGAATGTGAAAATGAATTGGTAATCCACCATTCAACCATCATGCCTCGTGTTCCCAGGCTTCGCACGCGCGCCTTCTCGGAAACAACAGGCGTGCCCCTCCGAGGCAGGCAGACTGGCAGAAACCATGAAAGACCCACCGATCTTTTCCCAATTGCCTCCCCGCCGTGGGCTGTGCCGGTCATCGCCCTGGTCCGTGTGGTCCCTAGTGTCCCCCAAACTGGGGCCTGCTCTGCCTGTTTTGATGCTAGTCTTGCCGAAGGGCGTGAAATTGACTTTGCTTGCACCCATTGCGTCTGATCCATCCCGAAGACCGACACGGAAGATCAAGCAAATGTCTTGTTCTTGGATTGATTTCATATGCACAGTACCATTGCAGCATGGCATGGATGAAAACTGTCCAATATACTTCAGATACTACTGTACCTAGGTTATGACTATATGTATACCACTGTTGCAATCCCCGTTTCATTGGATAATGGCCTCTCCCAGACACGGATGACCTCCGTACCCAAATACACCCTCATCTCTCCCTTCTCTCTTTCATTCTCAACCCACCATAATGTACTCCGTACTCCGTACATACCAGCACCGGCTCAGCACACACCCGTTAACCAGTGGATAAGACCCGCACCACCATTCAAACCGAAACAAAAGACAACAGGCAAGAAAATATTAATGCAACCATTTAACTGGTTCGCTCGCCAACAGCAAAAACTAGAGAGTCTTGGCACTACCCTCAGTCCCCGAGATAAATCGGAGGCAGAGACTCTCGCTCCGAGAACGCCCAAAAACGAGTGCGAGCCCCGTGGTTCTGGCGCTCGATCTAATCCTCTTTCATCTGCCCGATAGTTTAACGAACTAAACTCAATACAGTGGCCGAAACTGACAGCGGGAGATACCAGAAAATAATAATAATGTTGAATTCCCTTTGCGTTTGCCTTTGTGCGAACCAGAATTAGACGAGTGGTCGATGCTTGAAATAGACCTAGACCTAGACCTATTTCATACTATGACGATGGCAATGTTTACAACCAACTACATGATTGATGTATCTTGGAAGCCTTGAGGGTCCAGGCAGTATTAATGAAGCCTGAACACCGCAGATGATCTGATCCAGTCGTCGGCGACCACCAGCCGAACGAGTCGGCATTAAATGCATTTGGCCGAGAGCGATCTCCAGGACTCCAACCACCAGGATATACCATGATCCATTACCTCAGGCAGCTAATAAATACATTCCATCATCTCATGCGCCTATAATGAAAGGATCTGGAACAAAATAGGACTCCGCTGCTAATCTTTCCTTCTATGAATATCCATGTCGGAGACATTGATGTCAAAATCACCCTGGCGTAATTCCATCCATGTCTCTGACAATACCAGCCGACGCCGAATCTTGTTGGCGCCCTACCCCCGTTGAGAGCCGCACTCGGCGACCAATGCATCTCGATGGGGGCGCTAATGGCTTGCATAATGGTGTGCAGATGCATCATGGGGTGGTGGTTCCGCCAAGTTGCCAACGCATACAAGACCCATTTCTAAGAAACAGCTTACCAAAGCTATTATGGAGAGTGTCGATCCCTTCAAAACTAGAGTAGTCTGGATTAAACCATCTCCAACGAAGGAGTACTTGCTACAATACGGGGAAACAATGTTTACAAGGATTCCTACAAAGACACAATACCAAAGTTAAAGCAAAACTGAGAAGATTCTATTAAGTATTACCTATCGCAGCACGTGCCACATCCACGGAGCATCAGAGTAAGGAAAACCGCGTGAGACGGGAACAACGGTAGACAACGGTAAGAGGGGGGGCCTCAAAAACACGCACGAAAGAGCAGGAAACGAGGCGGCAATCTGAATTGCAGAGACCAAAAAGAAGACAACAAGACAGTCCACATTTCCCACCTTCCCATAAGTAAATGATAAGTAACCCCTTCCTCCCCAGAGGGTATCGAAGCGAGAAAGCCAAAGCGCACGAAAGCAGAGTGGTATCAATCTAGTAAGGCGACACACCACGTAACGCATAAGCACGTCGCGAATCGAATCTCGGTTGCGGGACGCAAGGTCGTAATAATGAATGAACGGCCGCCAGCATATAATCCGGGGGCGCCGAGAATAATTATTGGGGGCTTGGTATTTTTTTGGAGAGCGGGAGTGACGAGAGAAGAGGGAAATCCAAACAAAAAGCAGCGACGGCGGGTATCTCATTGGCACCCAATTCGAATCACACAAAGTCCAGGCAAGACAGACAGTGAATGACCGAAAGAGCGACAGTGGCGAGGCAAAAGCACACAAAGCAACAAAGCAAAAACTGCGAGCGAAATGGTATCAATTCCGTATTTGCATCCGTCAGGCACTCAAGCTGTCCCCACCAGAGGACCGGCCGAGGCCATCGGGGATATTGTGGGTGGACGATGGATAGGATGCATCCCACCACCGTTCAAACTCCACGCGTCGCGGAGACGCAGTTCAAGCAGCAGCCTGGACAGGGGCGGTGGTGGTGAGGTTGACGTTCTTGGCCTCCTCGGTGGTGGCCTCAACGGGAGCGACCTCCTCGACAACGGGGGCGGGGGTCTCCTCAGCGGGAGCGGCGGCCTCGGTAGCGGCCTCCTTGGTCTCCCCAGCCTTGGCCTCGGTCTCGGCAGCGGGAGTCTCCTCCTTGTCGAGCTTCACAGCCTTGCTGGGCTTGCGGAACAGACCACCAAGCTTGGAGGACTTGGCCTTGGCCTCCTTGGTCTCGCCATCGGTGACCTCGTTGTCAGAGGTCTCGGCCTTCTTCTCCTTCTTGCCGAAGTTGCCGAAGAAAGAGGAGCGGCGCTTGTCCTTGGGGTAGTGGCCTCAGCGGCGGCCTCCTTGGGCTCCTCGGTAGCCTTGGCGACCTCAGCATCGGCAGCGGCGGTAACAGTCTCGGGCTCGATGGGCTTAACGGCGGCCTCCTCGACGGGGTTCTCGAGCTGAGGAGCAGTGCTGGCAACGGTGGTCTCCTCGACGGGGGCGGTGGCCTCCTTCTCGGACTTCTCGTGAACGGGGCTGGTGACCTTCTGGAAGAGGCTGCCGAAGATGGAGGCGCGCTTGGCCTTCTTCTCCTCCTTCTTCTCCTCCTTGGGCTCCTCAACAGCCTTGTCCTCGGTGGTCTCAGCAGGGGCAGCGGCTTGAGTAAATGTTAGCAAATCATCCTTATATATGCGATTGCGTAATGATTGAACGTACCCTCAGTGGCAGCGGCAACGGGCTCAGCAGCGGTCTCGGCGACGGGCTCAGCAGCGGGGACAGCGGCCTCAGCGGGCTGGGCCTCCTCGACGGTCTCCTCCTTCTTCACCTCAGCCTTCTTCTCCTCAGACTCCTCCTTCTTGCCGAGCAGAGAGCCGAAGATGCTGGAGCGCTTGCGGGACTGGGAGCGAGACTTGGCGGTCTCCTTCTTCTCCTCCTTAGGGGCGGCCTCCTCGGCCTCCTTGGGAGCAGCGGTCTCCTCCTCCTTCTTCTCCTCGGGCTTCTTGGCGGCGACAGCGGCAACGGCAACGGGCTTGGTCAGCTTCTCGAGCTCAGCCTTGTAACCCTCACTGGTGGTGATGGTCTCCTTCTCAGCCTTGGCCTCGGTGGCCTTGGCCTCAATGGCGACAACCCAGCTGTCGCGCTCAGCGGCGCTGGAGGCCTGGAAGGTGTGCTTCTGGCCAGCAATCTTGAACTGGAACTCGCTGGAACCCTCCTTGGTCACATCAGAGACATCGGCCTGGAGTGAATTGTTAGCTTACATTTGTGTTCTTTCTTCATTGCATGTTTTGCGCAACTTACCAAGTTGATGATGTGGCTGGGGTGAGCCTTGTCCTCGGCGCGCTTGGTGATGAAGAGCAGACCCTTGCCGGTCTGGCTGGCCCAGGCGGCGATGGGGTTGGCAACGGCGGGCTTCTCGTTCTGGTGGAAGCTGGACAGCTGCTTGGCCTCAACAGCCTCGTCGTTGAAGTAGAAGAAACGCTTAGCGAAGCGCAGGCTCCTGCACAAAACAAAAGTACATTGTCAGTTCCAAGCTCCAAAGCTGTCGCAAACTCGCGTCGCATTTTCCACTTACTTGACCAGACCGGGGGCCTTGTAGCCGAGGGTGCCCTCAGAAGCGGGCTTGACCTCCTCCTTGGCAGCCTCAGTAGCCTCAACAACCTCGGGAGTGGCAGTGGTCTCCTCAGCAGGAGTCTCCTTGGCCGCCTCCTTGGGGGCCTCAACAGCGGCCTCAGTGGCAGCAGGAGCCTCAACAACAGGCTCAGCAGCGGGAACGACCGCGGGGGTCTCCTCAACGGGCTTCTGGACGTCAGACATGATTAAAAGTTATTAGACCGAAAAGTGTCGGAGGGTTTGTGGGTATCAATTAAGAAGCAGAGCTTCGAAGAGAAAAAGCGGTTTTGGGGTATCAGGGTATCTTGGAAAGCAAAGAAATAAGAGCTCTTGAAAAGAGCTTTGGGTATCACGAACGAAGTAGGAAAGGGGGTATTGAGCTTTGGAGAGGAAGGAGGGGAAAGAAGGAAAGGAGAAAAAGGGAGGGAAGGGCGAAAAAAAAGAGCAGCGGGCAATGGGGGGTGGTGACCAGCGCTTGTTGATGGCGCTCTCAGCCACTTTTGGAAAGGAGCTGCAGGGAGCCCAGACGCTGGGTGGGACTGTGTCGATTAGGTAAGTCTGGTCCTTCAGAGGTTCAGGGGGTCAACCCGCGCTAACACAGTTTAAGGATGAGGTATACACTTTTTTTATTGACCTTAACCACCCTAGCTAAGAAACTTCGAAAAAAAAATCTGATCACTACTGAAGAATAACTCCTGGCTGAAACAAAGCCAGATGAATGGAAAGGAAGGAATTAATAAAGCCTGTAATAACAGAACGTTATGGATGGGCAGCGCCACCAGTTCTTTCACTGGCGTCAAATTGAAACAACAAGCAAAGGTCCATAAACCAGACTAGCAAAAACTAATACTGTAGAATTTTAGAGAAATTAGTAGGAATTTGTGGACAATCAAATACCACGATTGATCATGATCACACCACTCGCGACCCCCATGCAACTCCGTACTGATACTTTCGACTCTGTTCTATGGGCTGATGACTCAATGGCCCAATAACCTACCCAAGTTCACTAGCTCCTCCTAAGATCGTCCATGCAGCTGGACAACGGCCGCCCCCTAAAGTAGCCCCTAATTGACCCGCGCAGCTTGGACCCGCCTCCTGGAAGAGCCAATCTCGACTAATTTACCTGGATAGCACCCTAATGCAGACGAAATTTGCAGGGCTCATGAATGAGCTGTATCTTCCACCCACGCGACCAATCTACCGTTTTTGTCTGGCCAGTAGTTTACATGACCACAAAGCGAATACATATGTAATTAATCTCCCTGTTTATTGCCATAGATTGTCTGCAAGACCACTTCAATTTCCTCAGCCTATTCAGCAATGATTGAAGTGTGGGCCACCCGTTGGTGCCCGTTACACCTTTCGAGGGGGTAGCCAAGTCTATACATCACGCGTATCCGCTCGGGGACCACCAACCAGCTCATTCCAAACCCCAACTGTCTCGAGTCAAGTGATGATTCCAGGAGTCTGCTTTTGTATGACTCCGCAAGGTTCGCTATCTTCAGCAAAGCACGAGCGAGAGGGGTGAGCAAAACAAAAAAAGGGTACAACTACTACAAAGAGGCTGGCCCGTCCACCCAACGATCTCTAACCAACCAGACCAGCGACTCAGCCCTAGCTCGGCACGAAACCATGAAACTCCTCCATCCTCATTGCTGCATGGTGCTGATCCAGGGTTGAAGGCCTGTCGGATTCGCTCGCATGGCGTCGATCGCAACTCGGCACCATACGGTAAGTAAGTCACTAAGGGTAGAAACTAACATTCCTAGTGGCCCATATTTTGCATCGCGGACGGTTGCAAATCCCATGACCGACACGACGAGAGGAGTGGCGTGCGAATTCTCGTGGCCAACCAGCACCCGTTGCACAACCCCTCCTCTCTCTTGTCGTCATTTCTGGTTATTCGCGGGCAGTCGTACCCTATCACGGGCGTATCATCTTGCAGGACCGTTACGACTGGCGACGGCTGGCGCTGATAATCACGAAATCGCGATAGCAGATGGACCCCATGATCCCGACTCCAAAAAGTCAAATCGTCCATATCCAGTTAACCAGACACTCGGTTCTCGTTCGTTCATTGGTAGAAGAAACTCTCCTTTGTTTTACACTCCTAAGATGTGATACTTGTATCACCTTGCGTTCTCTTTCTATCCTATCAAAGCCAAGGACAGGAAGTACAGATACCGAAGTAGATGGACTTTGTATTTGTAGACTGGTTGGTACAAGAAAAGCCTTCCTTAGCACACACGCTATCATCGTGACTCCACCTTCCATCCATAGAAATGGCCCCTAATTAACCTCCCTAAGTTCTCCTTTTGATCTTCCTATTGATTTCTCAAATTCTGCTTCCGAAATTTCTTCTCCATTATCGTGGTCCAGTCCCGAGACTAACCACTGCGAAAACGAACTAAACCGACCGGCTAACGACTCCCAGCGACGCGCCCCACTTGGTGGTCCCGTGTCTTAAGCCATCGAGTGTGGTGGCTGGCAGCCCTACCCCCCTATCTGTTCCCATAAGCCAACAGCTCCCGACAGTGTCTGCATCATCGCGACCAGGGTTCTCATAGTTTTACAAAAAGGCGATACTTGTTATTTCCCGGTACTTGAGACGGTAAGTTCTGGCTGTCCTTCTACTCGGAACCATCTTTGAAACACCCGAATTAAAAACAGCCCTGACGCTCGCCGTCTATCAATGATGATCAGGAGAGTCCCGGTCCTGCCAGAATGCGACCATCGGAACATTTTCAGTAATGATAGCCCACACGGCCGATCCACTTGCAGAGCTCTCGGACCAATAGCACGGTCCAGCCACCCCTTTTCCACTTTGAATCAACTTTTTCCTACCCGTCGGGGCCAAGCCTCCCATCTGCGCATCCCGCCCATCTTCCGCCCAGGAGGTTTGGCGAGCCGTTTTCTGGCGGTTGCTGGGCTGCAGCTGCCATGCGCGGGACGGCTTATGATGTATGTACAGTATGTCCTCTCATTCATTGAATAGGGAGATTGGTATAGACTCAATACTGAGTACGTATACAAGGGTCTACATACGCTGGATGGATCAAAAAATAAACAACAAAGATCTCAAAAAATCGCCAAGCCCAACCAAATCCAGTAAAACTACCAATACTACCGACGACTACTAACAAGGCCCAGTCCAGCAACGTTGCTCAACGATGCGGTGAGCACGAACCCGGCGACCAGACACCACAAGCTCCTGGTGAAACTCTCCTAGGAGCCCTGTCCATCTAAGCTCTGCGCCGAAAGAGGCCCGGTCGATTCTAGCGTCCACTAGCCCGACCATCGAGCCTCCATTAACCATGGCACCTTTTGATGAGGATGCGCGCTCGTTCGCTACGTGTGACTGGCAGTGGATTCGTCTGGTCCAGACAATCTACTTTGTTTGGGAAAAAGTGCAAAGTGCAAAGTTTGCAAGGGAAACAACGAGAACTAGGAAAACTGGACGAGATGTTCTCCGTACTATGCTTGTCCTGGTACTCTGTCCGACGGATCTAGTCCGAGGGTTCTACCGTTCTACCAATGCTTTTGGAAAATTATAGATTGCAGGAAATATATTGGAACTTTTGGCACGCACACAAAGCAAAAAGAAGGATTGGATTCTATTCATGCACTGACCTCGACCACAACAAAAGGGCAAAACCTATTCCGTACATTTTTTGTATGGCGGACGGCCCTAAGCGCGCCAGGACCACTGGACAGAGTAGCAGCCCAGTGGACAGTGGGCACTGCGAATCAGTGGGAATAGGGGAGGGATCCACACAAGCTCGTACCTGGAGACATCCACTTTTTTTTTTTTTTTTTTTTCTGTTGCAACTTGCATCCTGGTAAACAAGGAGCAGTCCAATTATTGGGAAATTCCATGGGAATCATTGGACGGAATTCTTTTTCCCACGAGGCCAGGACAGTGATCGTCAGTATTATAGATTCCAGAATGCAAGGAACAGGAGGTAGAAATGACAAGCTCAGGCCAGCCCCCTGAAGGTCTGAAGAGCCTGTCCTTCAGGGTGCTTCCTTTCGTGCCTGATATCTCAGGTTCCAACAAAGCAGCAGATGAGTCATATGCATCATCACGTGCATTTTCTTTGGCGGATGCTCACGTGATTCTTGTTTGCGACCCACCACGTGATGGAGCTAGCAGCTAAGCGAGCACTAGCGTGTATTCCGGTTTTCTTTAAATACCTCCTCCCCCCACCCAAATTTCCTACACTTTTTTTTTTTCTTCTTCATACTTACCTTGTTTGGGTGGCCGCGATCATGAAGGCGGCCCACCACAGATTGGTCCCTGCATTGCACAGCGCGGCGGAACAGTCTGTTCAACGGCTTTCGGGTCATTGACAGGCGTATTCTTTGGCACCTTCCACCCTGTGGATATTCTTTTCATCAACTCTTGGGTCAGTGACCCGGGCTTGGAGAAGAGAACTGTAATCGTATATCGTAAACTTATACATGACTGGTGTCAGGCACACTTGTAGTACTGGCGCTCTCCAGCGACGTCTCTACCAGATACGCCATTGAACATAAAGTCGGCCATGTTACGTCACCACTGAATGTTGACATGGTGGAACCGTTGCCACGATCTCTGTACTTGACGCCAGGCCCTCACGCCGTTGTTGTATGTTGACACTTGACTGGCGATGTAGAGCCCTTACTTAACTGGTCTTTGTTTTACTTGATTCTACTGCGCTATAGCTGAGTATTCGTAATCTGATACCTGAGTGAAGATCTGAAGCGCACCAAGCTGGGATACACATTCGTGATGATTTACTTCAAGCTTACACTGGCGCCAAGGACAGACCAAGCCTCACTCACCCCTGTTAGCCCGCCAATAGGATCAGTCTTAGAGGCAAGATGATAGACTGCATCATTCTAGTAAGGATTGCATATCCATCTTCAAGTCTAGTCTCGCAGCAACACAAGGTTTGCTGCGTTGGCGATTTCATGTAGTATGCGCGCCATGTCCCAGCTATTACTTCCACGGGTGTCCAGTATATATTTCACGGCAAGGTATGTAGCTCTACTCGAAATGTCTATGCTTGCTCCTCCCAGATTCGCGATGCTTCCTTTCTTGATGTATTCCTGATACCCACGGGCCGCCTCTCTGGCCGTAAACGGGCACGATATATCTTGCTTAAGGTACAGCCTGTAGTAGAGGACCCATACAAGGTCCATACACAAGTCCCATTAGCGAGAGCCTTGTGTGAGAGTAAGTCTATCCCCGCTTCCTGGATTTTATGCCTCGACTATGCCATTCCTACACAGAGCCCTATCTCCAGATGTGATCTAAAGATAGCAGAGTCTGGACCGCAGGGTTCAACCGTAGCCTCAACTATGAGAGACACGGACCGTAGCCGTTTAAGCTCATCCGTGCACGTGAGCGGCTCCCACCCGACACCCCGACCTTTCACAGGTTATCACTTGATCTCTTTCCACGGCTATTGGTGAGATAGCCAATCATGATACAAAGTGGCGTGGATTGTCTGGATCTGCCGGGCGTGAATCATTCCAGAAATGGCAACCTTATCCAATGCCCCAGATACTTCGTGGGCCCGAGCTTGAAGGGACTGGCCACATCCCTGGTTGGAGATCCTTTGGTATGTTGCTTCAAAGACATACATGAGATCTTTCCTTTTGAAAACGGGCAAATACAACAGATTTTGAACAACTGACAAGGTATAGAAAGCTCCATAAAATAAAGGCTTCTGCAGAACTATCGCCATACCTCATCCGGGCACCAGGACCGTATCCGTTGCCGGTATACTCGACCACCGTCCGAGCCGATGCGGGGCCTGGATTGGCTTCCCTCCAAGGACTCTAATCCAATATCATCATGATACACAATCTGCGGGGGCAAAAAACCCCTCCTGCGGGGGAGCTCCCAATCGTCCAGCTTCTTGCCGACCAGACCTACATAAAGCGAGAACACCCGCAGCTCCGTGTAGCGAGTCAATTCGCACTCAACCTACACGATGTCACACTCACAGCGTGTCGTTATCATCGGTGCCGGAATTGTCGGCACCAATCTCGCAGATGAGCTGGTCTCCCGTGGATGGACGGATATCACCGTCGTCGAGCAGGGCCCGTTGTACATGCCCGGCGGATCCACATCACACGCCCCCGGCCTCGTGTTCCAGACTACCTCCTCCAAGACGATGACGAATTTTGCACGATATACCGTTGAGAAGCTCCAATCCATTGAGAAGGATGGCCAGAATTGCTTTAATCAAGTTGGTGGTCTTGAGGTGGCGACAACGCCGGCACGGTTGGAAGACCTCAAGCGAAAGCATGGTTATACTTCCTCTTGGGGTATTGAGGCTCGCCTCGTCAGTGCGGAGGAGTGTCTCAAGCTATATCCTCATTTGAACAAGGACGTGGTGCTTGGAGGTCTACACATTCCCAGCGATGGCCTGGCACTTGCTGCTCGTGCGACCCAGCTGCTCATTGAACGAACCCGCGATGCCGGTGTCAAATATCTCGAATCAACACCCGTGACAGGCATCGAACGAGCAAATGGACGAGTGACCGGAGTGACGATACCCAATGGCAGCATTGCGGCTGATATCGTCGTCTCCTGTGCCGGCTTCTGGGGCGTGGAACTCGGCGCCATGGTCGGCTTGTCCATTCCTCTACTGCCGCTCGCTCATCAATACGCCAAAACAACACCCGTGCCATCCCTCGTGGGCAGGGATCTCAACAAGAAAATCAATGGGAAGAATGCCGAACTCCCAATTCTTCGACACCAAGACCAGGACCTATACTACCGCGAGCACGGCGACCAATATGGTATCGGATACTATGGCCACCGACCGATGCCCGTCAAGGCCTCGTCATTAGGCCTCACTTCGAAGAATGTCGATGAGAAGAATATGCCGTCTCGGCTGGAGTTCACTGCAGAGGACTTTGACCCTGCTTGGAGGGAAACACAACGGCTCTTGCCCATGCTACGAGACACTGAAATCGCGGACGGGTTCAATGGTATCTTTTCGTTTACCCCCGATGGAGGACCTATCGTTGGACAAGCACCCAACCTGGACGGATTCTGGGTCGCCGAGGCTGTGTGGGTTACACACTCTGCAGGTGTTGCTCGTGCGGTCGCCGAAGTCCTCACCACCGGCCGCTCGCAGATTGACATCACCGAGTGCGAACTGTCTCGGTTTGAAGAAGTCCAGTTGAGCCAAGAGTACATCGAAGAAACATCATCCCAGAACTTCGTCGAGATCTACGATATCCTGCATCCATCTCAACCCAAAGAATCCCCCCGCCAGCTGCGAACCAGCCCATTCTATGCCCGGGAGAAAGAGTTGGGTGCTTACTTCCTCGAGCTTGGTGGCTGGGAGCGTCCCTTCTGGTACGAGTCAAACAAGGAACTACTCAACTACCTGCCCCCGAAATGGAAGCCCGTCGAGCGCGACGCCTGGTCAGCACAGTTCTACTCCCCCATCGTCGCAGCCGAAGCATGGAAGACACGCAACGCCGTGGCCATGTTCGACATGACCTCCTTCCACAGATTCGAGGTATCCGGGCCTGGCGCCCTAGACCTCCTCCAGCGCCTCAGCACAGCCGACGTCAACACCAAACCCGGCACAATCACCTACGCCCTCATGCTAAACGACCAAGGCGGTATCCGCAGCGACATCTTCATCTCCAGACTGGAAGAGAACCTCTTCCAAATCGGCGCCAACACAGCCACCGACCTGGCTTATCTCTCCCGCGAAGCCCGCCACCACAGCCAGAAGGGGAACTTCGTCCAAGTCCGTGAAATCACCGGCAGCACCTGCTGCATCGGACTCTGGGGCCCGCGCGCCCGAGACGTCATCAACGAGATCACCACGGACGACTTCTCCAACAAGGGTCTCCCGTATTTCGGCGTGAAACAGGCTACTATCAACGGTATCCCCGTGACTGCATTCCGCAAGTCCTATGTCGGCGAACTGGGCTGGGAAATCCAGACAACAGCCGAGTACGGCCAACGTCTCTGGGATATAATCTTCCAAGCAGGCAAGATCCACGGTCTTATAGCCGCGGGTCGAGGCGCTTTCAATGCCCTGCGACTGGAGAAGGGATACCGCACCTACGGCACGGACATGAACACGGAGCATAACCCGTACGAAGCCGGCGTGGCGGGCGCGGTTAGGGCAAGCAAGTGGGAGGATTACGTGGGAAAGGCTGCCCTCGAGCGCATCCCTTCGAAGCAGAAACCCTCCCGGCGTCTGCGCTGTCTCACCGTCAACGATGGCCGGTCTATGGTTCTTGGCAAGGAGCCTGTGTTTTACAATGGCAAGGCTGTTGGGTATGTGACCAGCTCGGCGTTTGGGTTTACCGTTCGCAAGCCCATCGCGTATGCCTGGCTGCCTGGTAACTTGGATGAAGGTGCGGGTGTTGAGATTGAGTACTTTGGTCGACGGATTAAGGCTACTGTTGTGGCTGAGCCGCTGTATGATCCTGATAACAAGCGTCTTCTTGCTGATGGATTGTCGGATGACTCGGAGCTGAAGACGCCTGTAAAGTCCCGTCTGTGAGGGCTGTTTTTGGGAAATAATGAGGATTTTTTATGAGAGACGGCATTGTTCTTTGTTATATGTTGAGTTGATGATTTCATGAGTGGCAATGAGGTTGCGAGTGATAGAATTTCGATTGTTTTTTGTTGTCTCTTATTGAGGCTTAGCGTTGTGAATTAAATTTCGATTGTGGTCTTCAACTTACGTGCTTCTTACTTCCACCGTATCATGAAATTGACGATTGTAGATTGATCAGCTTCGCATGAAGCAGTTATGTACGTATTTCACATGCAAACATGAAACCCAAAAAATGGACAAGCAAAGGTATAAGTCTCGCTCAGATCACCACCGAGGATAAATGCCAAACCAAAAATGCACAAAATATACAAGAAGATCAAATCAAGCAGCCATAGTCAGCACGTATCTGCAAAAGAAGTTAGTTAATTCCTTCCCAAAGAGAAACCAATCAAAACTCACGAAGTAATACAATCCATCCTCTCCGTCGTCAACTTCAAACTAACAGTAAGCAACTCCCTCGCAATCCTCGGTTCATCCTCCTGCAACGCCCTCCACCGCTCATCACTCAAACACCACGCCACACAATCATGCTCCGCCTTAACAGTCGCCGTACGCCTCGTATCACTAAAGAACGGCAATTCACCGCACGGCCGGCCCGCAACAACAAGCTCAAAGTACCGGCCCTGCGGGAGATCGTATTCTGCGCGTAACATGCCGGATTCGAGGAGGTAGAAGGCGCGTGGGACGTCACCTTCGTGGTACAGGACTGTTCCGGCCGGGTAGGACTCGCGGGAGAAGTATGCGCAGGCGGGGAACCAGAAGTCTTCGTTTTGGGTTGACAGACCTTGGAAGGTTTGGAGGAGGAGGGGAAGGGGTTGGCGCATGGAGGACCAGGCGGGTGCGGCCATTAGGGCAGCGTTTACTTGTTCGTGTTCGCGGAGGGTGGTTGTTGCGACGCGTTGAAGGTATTGGCCGCGGGGGGAGCTGACCATGTTGTCCGAGAGACTGGCGTTGCGGACTTGTGGGACAGGTAGTGGGACTTGGAGGGTATCACTGGGAGTGGCTGTAGGGGTGGATGCTTCGAGTGGTGTGCGGGAGAGGGCTTCCTGGCGACTGTAGAAGACCTTGAGGTAGTCATTCTCGCAGAATTCTAGGGCCGAGTTGAGATCTTCGAAGATCGGTACGCCGGACTCCGGTTCGAAGAGGCCGACATTTTGAAGGGACTTGCCCACTTCGCCTTCGATGTTCAGACCGGATATGGTGGTTTGTACATTGCGTTTGCGAAGTACGCGGTTGATACGGGTGAATGCCTCGGCGGCTGAGAAATCAAGTCCGTAGACCCGAGAGAAGTCTAGGATCAGGAATCGAATTGGTTGTCGATTGAATGCTTCCTCTTCGATTAGTCCTCGCATGGTATTCTCAACATTGACGATGGTTCCGAAGAACAGGTAACCACCCAGCTTCATGATGAGAGTTTGCTGCCCAGCTTCATGCAGGAATTGTTGCTGGATGGGTGGACGGCGAACGGTAGACCCTGCAATCTCTCCAGAGAAGGTTGCACGGATGGCAGACTTGCGAGATGTTTGAACGACAAAGTTCACGCAGGCCAGAATAATTCCGACGAGGATTCCCATGACAAAGTCTACGGCACCCATAGTCACCACGATGATGACGACCTGTAATAGTTAGAATCTACTTAGCGATGAAAGGTGGGCTGGCGATTTCACATACCGTCAGATATTCAAGTCTCGTAAGCTTGCCCCACGTATCCACCAGCGCTTCCTGCAAAAGTTCAATACCCAACAGGAAGATCAATGCACCGACAACCATCACCGGAATGTACCCGATGATGACCGGCCCAATGACCATGATGCCAGCTGTAGCTGCTGCAAGCATCAGACCAGCCAACCGGGACGATCCACCGCTCGCAATGAAGAGAAGACTGTTGGTGTACACCAGGTAGTTCTGAATACTACCCGCAAAGCCCGACAAGGCATTGGTTACACCATGGGCCATGAGCTCTCTGTCCACGTTCAAGTTATCCTCTCCGGTCGAGATGCCCAAAGCTGGGACATTGATGGGTACGTGAAGTACACCGAAGAAAGTCAACGCGAACATCGCGGGGATAGTATCAGCAAAGGCTGTCCAATTGACGGCAGAAAGATCTGATGAACAACATTAGCTTGACAAATCCAGACTGCCAAGGTGGGTGACTTACCATAGAGGGTATAAAAGTGATACCACGGATTGTTCGAAGACGGAGCATCAAACACCCACCCCTTCTGATGCAATGTATCCATCGAAACCCGAGCACTGAGAATAACAACATAGAACATGACACCCACACCAATAAAGTAAGCGCCGACAAGGAAATTCGACCGAATGAAACGCTTCAAAATGAGAAGAGCGATCGCAAGGGAAAGGGGTATCATCCAAAGAGGGAAAGTGTCGAGCTGGAAGAGTTTCTGCAGAGTGCCGATGTTGTATTCGAGAGTTCCTGGGAGTCGGGCAGAAACCTCGACTCCAGTTTGGAGAAGGAAGTAGCCTACACCACCGATGCAGCCGATGAGAATGTGACGAGGGAAGAACCCGATCAACGAGCCCAAACCACAGACACCCATCAGGAAGAATACCAGCCCGGTGAGGACAGAGCTGACTGAGAAGGCGAGGATGGTGGTGGCAATAACTGATTGCGGGTTCTCTTTACCCACTCGGTTCATGATTGTGAATGCCATCTGGTGGAAAAAGGGGACTACTTCAATCATTTCACTGCCAATGCCACCCTTGAAGATGGAACCTCCACAGGAGAAAACCACTTGGGAGATGATTGTACTGACGTAGAACATTGAAATACCGTCTGCGCCAAGGTGAGAGAAAAGAGGTTCTCCCAGAGGAAACAGAATCATTCCGTAGGACAGAGCATCGAGAATGTTGAGCAGAAGACCCAGAACTACAGCAGGGATGAGGCTGACTGGGTATACTACTCCTTCCTTCCAGATGGCACGCCTATCCCATGATTTAGGGTTCGAAGCTATACGAGACCACTTGCCCACTGCTGAAACACTTTTGGTGAAGGCATTCGATGCTCGCCGGGCGGCACCTCCTTGACCCTCAATATCTTCGATTGAGCCATAATGATGCGGTGACTTGGACCTCGTCTTTGATAGCAAAGAGGTCCGTTCCGTATCCCGGGGCTCAGATTCATCGTCAATAGTTGACAGCGGCGAAAAGGATGTGTCCTCGATCGGCTTGGCATTCTCGTCAGCCAGGCCGACACCAGGCTGGCGGATCATCTCTGTCAAGGCCGACGAAGCGGAGGCAGAAGCTGGATCAATGAGCACAGAATGCGAATCTAACGAGTCCTCCCCCACCGTGGGATGGGAGCTCGCGATCCCATCATGCGACGCTGATGGGGAATGTTGAAGTTGACTGCGGAAAATATCCAGACCAGGAGGTAAACTGGTCCTCCCGCGTAAGGGCTTTTTATTGAGCGACAAACCATAAGTCGCTAGTTCGGCCGTTTGTTCGCGGAGGCCATCCAATGCATAGTGGGCTGGGTCTGTGGAGCACGACGAATGGTCAGTAAATCGCTCTGCCGTCGAGGGAATATTTTTTTTTTGCTTTTTTGGCATTTCTTTTTCCCGTTATGCATGAGGCGCTTTAGCTTTAAAGCTCTCGCCAAAAGTACCTACCAGTAGGTGTATTGAAAGAACGGTGGTAAAAGGATCGACTGGGGGTCCTCAAACTGGAGCCATTATAGCTCGAGGCCTCCATGCCGGCTCCCGGCGAGCTGCCCAGGTTGGCATTGGCGTGTTCCACCAGCGAGTCCGGCGCAATGGCAACATCGAGATCACGGTCGAACCCCAAATTCCGACGGGACAGAATCGAGGCGCGCGAGTCGCGACGACCACGAGGTTGTAGTACGCCCATCAGAGGTCGGGCTTGGGTGTGGTCGCGCAAAGAGCTAAAATGGACGAGTCGCAAGAAATTCGTAGGATTCGTGACCCACTAGCGCATGCAGCGGCGTTGGGGAAAACGGCGGATGACGCAACGGGGCGAATAAGGCATCGAGGAGAAAGAGGGAGAAAGAGAGGGAGAGAGGGGAGAGTGAAGAGAGGGGATGTTGCAAGAATATTAGTCGATGATACGAGAAAAAGACGATATCAAGAAAGAGAAAGTCTGATGTCGTGAGTGTTTGAGTCTAGTGGTCCAGTTGGTCCAGGCTTATCTTGGGGGAATTAGCAACCGGAATTGGATTTTGGTTGACTAACTTAACCCACTTTTTTCTCTCTCTCTTATCTTTCCATGTTTATCAGTGCTGATAGTAAACTTACCAGAGTAAAACTAAATGACAAGTAGTAACTAGAGTAACTTGTAAAAAGGTTGTCATTAAGTGAGTACCCTCGGCAAACCAAGTCCATCCAGCACGACATGACACAAGGTAATTGGATGATCTACAACCACCTGCATCGCTACTCCTACTTACAAGCTACTAAATTACTCGAGCATAATGCGCAATGCATCTCAGCCACCAAATCTAACCTCCCCCCCTCATAAGTACCGAGATATGGTACCTATGAGCTCCGACGACGGACGCACGATCGACGCTAGCTGCAAGCCAATTCCTGTTCCCAAAGTCTGGCCCCATGCACGCCATCCCCGGCCGTCATCATAGCTGCCTTAGCGGCTTCAAACCATATTCTTACACAACCGCTTTACAAAATAGCATCATGGTCAGTGATCTATGTCGTATGTTATAGGATATAGATTAGATCATGGGTCTAGGCCACTAGTAGCCTTAGTCTGCGTGCTCGACTCGTAGCGAGGACTACCTTTGCAGACGGTGGATAGATGCATTAACCATTTAGTGCTGACAGTACGATCGCTAGAGGAGAATTCACTGCAATTAGTACAGCATGCCACCTCTTACTCAATTTTTGCAGCTGTACCTGTACTCGCCCCGCGACTACAGTCGTGTCTGCAATTACTGGGCTCCGAAATGAACAATATTTCCCATAAGTCTTGTATTCTTAGAAACTTGGTCAACTCCTTCAAGTTCAACACAATAAAAGATTCGACCTTCACATGAGCCATCTAATCCATGGCGGGGTATCAAAAATAAATGCAAAACTCCTCACAATGTCACACGAGCTATCGCCGGATCCCAGCACCAGCCCATAGCCATGCTCCCTCAGCTCAACCGTTCCAGGAAGCCCTGCGCAATTAGTCGTTCGACATCTCCTTGTCGAACGTAGAGCTGACTGTTCTTGGTCAGATTGATCACACTGCCCATTATGAAAAAAAGTTAGCTTCCCTGCTTGCTGTTCACTAGGATCAAAAGCACACGGCCAAGGCCAAGTCCAACTCACCCATACTCCGTCTGAATCTCCCCCGCATCCTTCACAACCCTCACATCAATAAACAAATCCCTCGGCGGCTCCAAAGTCCCCGTCAAATCAATATCCGTCCACTGCCCCTTATAAGCCGCCAACATATCCCCATACTGCCGAAAATACTCCTCCTCCTCCGGACTCAACGAGCTATGACCACCACTCCCAGCCTGCGCAACGCCCCGGTCCTCGCCCACCTCGCTGGGCTGTTGTTGCTCCAGCACGTCCACGCCCGTCCAGCAGAGTTCCTCTAGTTTCTCTGTCCGCACGCGGTGGTACGCCATCAGGCAGCGCTTGTTGCGGCGCATGCAGAGGTGGTCGACCAGCAGGGCGCAGGCGGTGGCTGGGTCGGCGGAGGGATTGAAGGAGCCCTCGAACGGGTCGAGAAGGCGGGCTACATCGCGGTCGAGATCGCGGACTTCGCGGGTTACCGCGCGGACGATCTCGGTTTGGTAGGGTGGGAGATGGGCGAGGGCTTGGGTGCGCTTCGCATGTTGGACCTGGGTGGGTTTGGGTGTTAGTTAGTGTGCATTGATAGAAGGATAGGATACAATCGTGTCGCAAATGTATAGAAATATGCCGAGAGGTTGTTACTTACCAGTTTATTGCCGAGTTCGCCGTACATGGTGGCCACGCGATCGGGGTCGATGTGCGACAGAGGGACGCGACTCGACGGGTTCTCCATGGCGCGCCAAGAAACGGTCTTAGTCAGGTGGAGTGGGGTGGATCGACAAAGTATGAGGGTATGAAGGTTGGGATATTGAGCCTTGGAGATGGGCAAGGGAGGCGAAGGTGGTTATGTAGATGATGAATGCTTGATTCAGAAGTTTGAGGACCAGAGTAAATTTGGAGGGGGTCTTAACTGGTTGATATTCAAATTGGACGATTTTGGGAAACTGAGCCTCAGGCAATTTTCAATAGATACAATCGAGATCTTAGATGAGCCCACACAGTATATCCTACACTGTCTGACAACATCCTAATTCAACCGAGAGCTACACTACCTCTCAGTATTGCATAGAAGCCCGCATCTGATTATACCCTGCCTGTGTGATCGGCTCATACTTGGCTGGCTCGTCAGGACCTGTGCAAGCCGGGATACACTCAATCACCGAGTCGGGGTCAGGAGCCAAAAAGTACGGAATAGAAAACCGTCTACGGGTAATGCGATCTTCGCCTTCAATTCGATCGGCCAGAGGAGGGAGTGTGACCCGATGACTAGTTGATATCAACTGGTCTATGCTCATTGATTAGCAGAGTAACGCGGGAACAGATGGCATCGTACTTACCATTACTCCATCTCTGCAAGAGATCACCCACATTCATCACGATGGCATTCTTGATGGGGGTTGCCGGAATAAAGTGGCCAGGATTGTTGACATCCTCCACCTCCAGGCCCCCGCAATCATCCTGGAAGAGCAAGGTAATGGAGCTCCAATCCGTGTGCGCGGGACAACGAGCTGCGCGACGCTGTTCCAACGCATCAGCCGGTACCGGTGGATAATGCAGAAGCCGGAGCTGGTTATTATGTCCTGAATGCTTTTGCAGGAGATGATTCTCATCTTCGAGACCGAGGCCGACCGCTAGAGCCTGCAAAATTTCACCTCCCACGCGGAATCCCTCCCAGTAGAACCGATTCATGAAAGCACGGAACCCGGGGAGGGTATCTTCGGGAATCCATTGATTTGGTTGTGTTGGATTCTCCTCGCTGCCGATATCATAACTTTCCTGTTGAATATTAGAAGCGTTTATCACCAAGTCTTGAGACGCCGAAGGAAGACACGACGATGCCATTAAAATTGAAGAGGAACCGTCAGGGGACTTGACTTACCTTGATATCAGGAATCTCTCTCAACTCCCTAGTCCGCTCTTCATCATTATATGCGCTCGCAGCCTGCGAGACCTTCTCCAGCCCCGGCCACGAATAACCTCGGTGAACAGCCCAGCCGTCAGGATGCGGGGCTCGCAACTTTTCTGCCGTGGGCAGCTCGAAGAAAAGCCGAGACCAGTGGAATGCCTCGTCGAGGAGGGTATCTGGGAGAGAGTGGTTGACGATATACACGAACCCCACTTTCTTGCAAGCAGCGACGATCTCTTGTGCCACACGCTGGCGACTGGGGCCGCCTGAGGTCCACCCCGCGAAGTCCACCACGGGGATCTGGTTTTGTGAGGTAGAGGGGTCCATAATGTAGGGAGTGAACTAAGATGGTATGTTCCCGGAGTATTTCGCTTGAACTCTTTGAAGTTCGGGGCTGATTGTTATTCCGTGTTGATTAAGTCGGCATGTTGGGCGCCTGACACCCAGTTTGATCTACAGCTGCAACCCCTGTTGGCGGAGTATATTTCAAACCACTTCCTTTTCTTCTTTTCTTTACTTCTCTTCTCCTCTTACTTCTCTTGCTTCTCTCACAACCCTCTATAGCTCTACAAAGCAGCAAGGCGAGCAGGATCAGCCTATAGAGTGAGAAAAGCGGAGAGCTCTTCTAGCAATCAAGCACATCGTGCTGGTCATACTTAACCAATCCAATATTATCCGACTATCATACACCATTAAGTCTATATTCTCATGTGTCATTAGTCTGGCACATTTGCTCGTCATCCTCGCTTCCGGTACGTAGTGTTTAACATGTACATGCGGTATAAGGCACTTCGCCCAGCAGGCTTTTGCGTATCTCGGCAAAACGGGCCGCCTCCGACGTTGGATGAATTGCGCGCCTCGTTCCTCCAGGGCCCTGATGAGCCGGAAGCAGCAAGGGTCGTGTCGTCAATCTTACCGTACGCTAAGACCACGAATGGCACACGCCCGTTCTGGGGCAGTAAGCGCTCCGAGCTGAACGCCATGGTCAACCAGCTTGGGTCTGCCCGTCTTTTCTGTTCAATAGACCCTCTGATCGATCGTCCCCCAGACTGCGCTACCTAGCACGGCTACTACGATGACTACAAACTGGAGGTGCGTGCCTATCAGTTAATTTGAACCCTCTAAAATATTTTGACTAACTCTTATCACAGATCTAAGGCCGAAATCAACCTTGACCCTGCTCGTTATCTTCATCCATGGACGTTTTTAATGGCTGCTCTGCGAAATCCTGAAATCCGAGCAGGATATTTCAAACAAGCTCTTCAAGAACCAGAACTTCGGACGTACTTTCTGCGACTACTACCTACCCCGAGAAAGAGGGAAACCCCGCCGCGTGCCGCATGGTGACAACTTTTGGGGATACAGCCGCGTTTCTTTCTGACTATGCCATACCCAGAAGCCAAAGCTCCAGGCGCTAAAATGACCGCTCCCTCATTCGAATTCACACCGCAACAACGTCAGACCTTCATTTCAGCCCTGATTGAATATTGCTATGCTGAGCAATCCCTTCGAAGACAAGGGTTTAGAGAGAAGTCAGATAATGAAGACGCCTCTTGGGCAAATGCTACTAAGAAGGACGGCACTCTACTGAGTTGCCGCCTTGAAATATGTGCTGGTCCACGTTTTTCAGGTCTTGAATGCATGGCTTCATATACTCGCGCACGCCTGATGTGATTTCCAAGGACAACAACGAGCAAAGCTTGAAGGAAAAGGTCGTTGGGGAGCTTAAGGTACCCTGGATTCAAAACATCGCTAAGACTAACTGAGAAGGTTGCTCCCGCGCCCAACCTATGAGACATATGCTGGACCTGGTCCGCATGTACGTCTTCCTCAGTAACTACGACGAGACAATTTTCCTAGACAGCTCATCGAGAACAACGTCGTATGGAGGGTTGAGTGTTCTCTGGGGATTCTATCATCCCCGATCTCTCACCCTGTTGTTTCTGTGAGAGCAGACAACCAGTCTAGCCTGACCATTGCTGGTATCACTCGGATTGTGTCTCACTGCTTTAGCCCAAGAGGTTCTTCAACAATTCGGTCTTCAAGTAGACCTCGAGCTGATCAAGATTTACGGGGTTCAACTATTACTCCATTCAATCACTGCGAACCAAGTCCAGAAAACACATGCCTTCGATACCGTGCTGTGCTTCTTTTAAGACGATTCAACGCTGGACACGCTGCACTGAAGAAGGAACAAGATGTGACACCCTATCGACAGCCAATACAACAATGGTGGGAGACCGGGCCCGTCTACCAGAGGCAAGATAAGGATACACCTGCCGACTATCTCGACCTGGATGGTGTTCCACCTCTCTATCCACGGATACTGGGATAATGTCGGCAATGTTTCTTTTTCGTGGTTCGTGAGGAGTTGTAATGAGGGCCGTCAACAACATGTCAACAGGTTGGATTATGAAGACTTTGGCGTTCTGGGGTTCTGGAACTCTCGTCAGTATTCGAAAGGCGTGGATGGGAGAGTCGACGTGAACCTTCTTAAAGTCTCTTTGTGAACGTCCTTACAAACGTCTCTATGATCTCTATAAACCTTTCTGTTGCGTCCGCTGAGATCAGCCAGCGATAAGGCCTTCTATTTTAGGTAGAAAATATGTCAACTGGAAGACCATCAGATTTAATAAAGATGTAGCCTTCTATTCGCGTCTAGCGGCCTCCATGCATGCCGGATGGCCATGAATCTCGAGGCGTAGGCTGCCAAGATGACAGTGGGAGCGGGAGGTTGGGCATCGTGCGACTGGTTGCTGTGGCAGGGATTCCCGGTGGAGATGCTAGTGGACCCCGTTTCGACTTTCGTTCAACTAAACTACATCATCCCCAGCACTCCCAAAACCCTGATCGCTTCTGCCCGATTCTGGAAGGCTGTGAAATTTTAATTGCGTGGTATGTCTTCACAGCTATTCTCTCCAGATTGCTGAGCTTGTCCATGGTCTCGGTTTCCCGTACTACACACCTCTGCTGACGCTAATCTTACTGCTTTGAGTAGTGTGTTGACATCCGCCGCAGCCCTCGATAAGCACCCTCGAGACACCCAACGATGAGAGATTGAATTCAATTGATACTAGCAAAATCAATCTGTTCAGACTACCAGAGAGGAATTACTCGGTCGCATCCAATAATACCCCGCTGCCCCGGCTACAAGAATGCGGGCTTCGTGGTGGATCGGAGTCTGGGCCTCATTCCTCCCATCTGTACTCTCGATCGAGACGGCGCCCTTTTCAGCACCGCAAACTATCGAGTCCAATAAACGAGCCTTCGAAGTCCTCCAGGTTCTCAGGCGAGCCGACAACAACTGCCCGACAGGATACAATCCGTGTACCAGTCTGGGCAACTCGAGCGCCTGTTGCAGACAAGGAACAACCTGTTCGCGCGATGCCGCCAACAACATCGCCTGCTGTCCGACCGGTGCCAGCTGTACAGGCAGTTTGACCGGAGCATCGACAGCCACAAACACCGGTACTAGCTTCATCTTCCCCCAGGGTGCGACTGCGGCGACGACGACAACGACCGCCGCCTCGGGCGGTGCCTCGATCACCGGCTCCACGATCTCCGGGGCATACCCGTTTATTAATGTCCCAACAACCTTTGCTAATGCCGCCACCTGCTCATCATACTACTCGCTCTGCCAGTCGGAATACTCTCAATGTACTGCGCAGCTCATGGGACGCTATGGAGTGACGATCGGAGGAGCGGGCGGGGCAGGCGTAACGGTGGAAGCCGTGACTGCAACCGCCCAGGCGACTTCGATCTGCTCTAGTCTGAGCCAGCAGGCCTGCCATGGACTTCAATTGAACTACTGCGCAACTGCGGCGACGGGCACAGCAAATGCTGCTAGCGGGAATGGAGCGCTGCCTGTGCGGACGACGAGTCTCCATGACTTAATGCTGGGCCTGATGGTAGGCATTGCAGGAGTGTTTATTTGATGTGATATGAAATTATGTTTCGGACTAGGACTTTTTTTTTTGCTGGTCCTTGCTATGATGCTTGTATATTCTTTTTTTCTCATGTTTATGTTGTTATTTGATGATGCCCCTCTTGATGGACTTTGGATTAGCCTTTACATAGTTGGTATGAATGACTCAATTTGTGTACACCGCATTTTTCTCGGAGTCATCCATCTGTCTTTTTCCCTTGCAGTAGTGTCCTGTAATAATCCACCGATTCCACAGTTCTGCATGTCTCGGACCTTCAGCGCTGCGGATTGGGCTGTTGGTTGTTGGGCTGCTAGTGGTGGCACCAGCATTAGAGACACTGGGTTAGACCCATCGTGGCCGACGAGATGAGTATAAGGTAACACATCAATTAGATTGTGAACTTTTTCACATCTACAGAGTATATCTTTGATTTTCATTGTAATAGACAACAAACTCAATTTTCTCAATTTCGACTACAATGACTGGCTCGGGGATCCGACCGCATGTTGATTGCTGCCACGCGGGGCGGGGAAGTTGGCCGGTGACATGGCGCAAGGTACTCCGTACATCCAGTACAGAGTACATATGCACTGGCCAGTGGACCATTTAGGCACAAAAGATCAATTCAAATCAAGGTTAAAAATTGGACACCTTTAATCTGAAACCCAGCCCCCCAAAAATCTCGACGTGGCCAAGTTAGAAGCGGATTTGTAGATCATTGGCCGTAGGAAATCGGGTGGTTGGGTATACTGCTGGAGGAGGCTGGGGATGTACTCAACTTGCCCAGCAACGCCTTTTTGCCCACTTCTTTGTCCTCTCCTTCTCCATTCCTCTCTCCTCTTCTGTCCCTCGCTACTTCATACATTCCATCGCTTTTCTTGAACCTTCTTTTCGACATTCTTAGTGCTCTGTCACCTCAAGGTGGTGATCGGCTTCATTGTAGATCGCCGTCAGAATATACATCCAACCCCACCACAACAACCCAGCATTGGAAGAATAAGCATTCCCGACAAGCAACGTGCGGTCCAACTCTACGAACGTCACAAACATTCCTCGATAGAAGAGCCTTTGCTCCACGTCCTAAGCGTTGCGACGCTCCAACTGCAGCCATGCGGCCCTCCTCCGGCCCTCCGTTGCTATCGGCCCTGGTGCTTCTCCTCTACCTGAACCCGATCGCAATTGCCTCACCATTCGCCTTTGACGGGAACCCTCTCGAGAAGCGATGCTCAAACCCTTGCGGTTGGAACGATCAAATCTGCTGTAGTGCCAACCAAGCCTGCTCCACCAACGCGGCCAACCAAGCAGTCTGCATCGACGGCTCGAGCGGTACATGGCAATACTACACCACGACCATCATTGTCACTGAGGTGGACAAGTCAACCATTACCTCTGTCTGGAGCAGTCATATCCAAACGGCTGCTGCTGCCACGGCCACGGGAGCCTGTCGGCTCGATCTGGGCGAGTCAACATGTGGAAGTACCTGCTGCGGTGCCGCACAGGAGTGTCAGGATGGTGTCTGTGTCGCTGAGAGTTCCTCTGTCGCGGTTACCGGTGCCGAAGCTACCCCCGGAGTCCGAGGAACAAGCAGCGGCGCCAGCACTGTGACGCAGACCTCTGCCCCGACTACCACCGAAGGCTTTATCGCCCCCGTTGGTACTGACGGTGCCGCGCTAATCGGCGTGAAAGCTTCCGGCGGAGGTGGACTGAGTGGAGGTGCAATTGCCGGAATTGTCATTGGTGTGATTGCCGGTGTGATGTGTCTTCTTCTGCTTTGTGCCTGTCTATGCTTCAAGGGAGCACTCGAAGGCCTTCTTGCGGCTTTGGGCATTCGCAAGCGCCGCAGACAAGAAACCACCGTTATCGAGGAACGCTATTCCCACCATTCGCACGGCAGTCGGCCGCCACCTCCCAGACGTACCTGGTTCGGGTCTAAACCAGCAGCCGCAGGAACGGACAGTGAAGTCAGCGAGAAAAAGTCCAAGTTCAGCTGGGCGAAGATGGCAATTATTCTGGGTGCGCTGGCGTTGTGCCTGGGATTGAAGAGACGCAGAGATCAGGAACATGACGATGATGATAAGACGAGTTATACGTACCCGAGTTCTTATTATTACTACTCGGACTACACACGGAGTAAGTTGAGCTCTTGACAGAATGGTTTGAAGATAGTAATACTGACAATCTCAATAGGTAGCCAAAGCTCCGGTGGACGAACACGAGACACACGACGATCCCGTCGATCTCGCAGAAGCTCACGACGTTGATGAGAGCGCAGGTAGAGAAAAGATCCCCAAACCAAAGCCCAAACCGAAGGCTTGGTGAAGGTCTTATCTACTTCTCCTTCGATGACTTCCCGAAACTTGAATGATTTATGCATGAAAAAGGCGCTGGCTTGCAACGTTAATATGATTTATGTACCATTATGACCGACCCATGTTTTTTGTTTCTTGGGTATGATGATATTTGTTTTGCCTTTTACTTCCCGATGTTGATATGATGGATTACTGTGGATTTGGATCTGGATATGGATTTTGGGGTCATGTTCGCCTGGCATATTCGTGCCTGGGCACAATACGATGTAAATATGGATTTGAGGACTTGAGGAATTGACAAATGATATCAAGACAATTGAATGCTTCACCGTGAACTGCCTTTTATTCTTATTCGCTAGATGACATAGGTAGAGCTTGTCTCAACCAACCTTATATCAGACCATTCGCTTAGAAACTGCCACCACCGCCTGTAAATCATCAAGGGATTTCCTCTCAATGAGCCGCAAGCCCTATAGCAGAAGCTAACATGATAGCCACGGGCTATCGCACTAAATACAAAACTGTAATCAAGGCCGGCTTTGCAGTTACATTAGGCTCTTTTCGCAAGGGTGTCCCCCCGGTACTATCTGCATGAGCGATGCAGATGGGGGTTGATTCCCGAACCGGGTTCTAGCTCAGAGCAGCTAGCCGTATAACATAAACTTCAATGGTTCAGAAAAACATCATTGCCGTGATGTTCCCTAATTGGTCGACCAAAGGGTGGGTGTAGATGTGAGGATTGAGAGTGTTGAGAGTGTGACGGGGGGCGCGGCACGCACACACACAAAGGCTTAGTGGGCACCAGTGACTGGCCCGGCCTTTTCTCCCCGCCTTCCCGACCCGAACTTCTCTCTTCCTCAATCTCTCCCTCACTCTCTCCCTCTCTTCAGGCAACGCTCACTTCTTCCACTCGGGTCTCCAGCGCCAATTCATTAATGACCCTCGCCTTGAGTCGAGTCTGCTGACCTCTTTTCTATCGACCTCACTCCTACCTGGAGTTTTTCTCGCACCGCCCCGTTCACCCACCAACCCTCGACCCTTTCGGAGTATTACGAGATCCCGAACCAGACTCACCATCGCTCGCCATGCTACAAGCGCAGAGCCAGCACGTCTTCTCTCACCAGCATCAGTACCCTCAGGCTGATCCCTCGTGGTTGCAGCATCAGCAGCAGCAACAGCAGCAACAACAACAGCAGCAGCAGCAGCAGCAGCACCACCAGGCTCAGCCGCACCCTCAGCACCAGCAGCAGCATGCCTCCCTGGTCGCCCAGCAGCACGCTCAGGTCCAAGCTGCCGCCGCCGCGGCGCAGCAGCAACACTACGGTCGCCTTGCCATGAATAGCAACGGCGCCGCGAACCCTGCGCAGGGTGCTGGAGCCGTCGGCGGAATGGGTGGAGAGGGCCTTGCAAATGCGGTCTCCGTCATGGATGGCGGTATCAGTGAGGAGAATCGCAAGGTGTTTATCTGGGTGGCAGAACTCTTGGATCCGGCTCGCCGAGAGGCAGCGTTGATGGAGCTTAGCAAGAAGCGGGAGCAGGTTCCCGAACTGGCTCTCGTCATCTGGCATTCGTTCGGTATGATCCCCGTCGCATCGTGGGGGCGACCCTTGCCCGACCGTGACTAACCCGTCGGCAACGCGCAGGTGTCATGACTGCTCTTCTCCAGGAAATCATCTCTGTCTATCCTCTTCTGAACCCTTCTCAGTTGACTGCCGCGGCGTCAAATCGAGTCTGCAATGCGCTGGCGCTCCTGCAGTGCGTCGCATCCCACAATGAGACTCGCACTCTCTTTCTGAATGGTAAGCCGCCAACCACCTACCTCAGCCAGGCGCGGAAGAACTACCAGACTAATTTCCATTCTCCTGGTCTCCCACAGCTCATATCCCCTTGTTCCTCTATCCCTTTCTGAACACGACCTCCAAATCCCGCCCGTTCGAGTACCTCCGTCTCACATCCCTGGGCGTCATCGGAGCACTGGTGAAGAATGACTCGTCGGACGTTATCAACTTCCTCCTTACCACCGAGATCATCCCCCTCTGTCTCCGCATCATGGAGACCGGCTCGGAACTTAGCAAGACCGTTGCCATTTTCATTGTGCAGAAGATTCTTCTTGATGACATCGGCTTGGCGTACATTTGTGCGACATACGAGCGATTCTATGCTGTTGGCACTGTCCTCAGCAACATGGTCACTCAACTGGTCGAGCAGCAGACCGTCCGACTGCTCAAGCACGTCGTGCGCTGCTTCCTTCGGTATGTCTCGCCCCCCTCCGTCTCTCGGGTCGACCTCCAACTTGAATTCCGACCCTTCCTCTAACAACCAGCTATAGTCTCAGCGACAACAGCCGGGCCCGCGAGGCTTTGCGGCAATGTCTCCCCGAACCCCTCCGTGATGCGACCTTCTCATCGGTCCTCCGCGACGATGCAGCCACCAAGCGCTGTCTGGCCCAGCTCCTAATCAACCTGTCGGACAATGTCTCCGACGGAGCCTCGGCGGCCATGTAACATACGAAAACGCATTCTCTTTCTTCGCGGGATATCCTTTTTATTTACACCTCACGATATGCATGGGACAGGTTCTGGCGAGTATCGGTTACAAAGGCGCAAAAGTTGAGAGTCAGCACCTGACAGACCCGACACGATCACTTGTCGCCATACCCTTTGGACGACAACCGGGCTCTGTCAGCTGCTTTCTCTTCGTTTCTAGTTTCTCTGCACTATTCTTTATGCGACTCTTTCCGGGCTTCGGTGATTTTCATGTCGATGGGAGGGGACTCATGTATTCCTATGTCCTTATTGCCTTTTTCTTCTTGCATCTTGCCCTTTGTTTCCTCCCTTTTTCCAGACATGCTTTCTCATTTTCTGCCTTCATCTTGTCCTCTTTTTTCGTGGCGTTTGCAGTCGGGGTGGCGTGGGGTTTCTGGTCGGCGCTGTCGTTTGCATTGTTCTTGTCCTTGACGGTCCCGCTATTGCTCTATGAGATAGACCTTTGAGCCCGAGATACCACGGTCCAGTCGTTGATTTGATGCTTTCTTATTCTTATTTTGCATTTGGGTTTTATTTCCATGTACATGTGTGCAAAAAAATGTACTTTGACTTTTTGACAATAGGTGGTTGGTGATGCTCGTTTGTAGGCAAGGCTTCATTGCGCAATTGAAAAGGCACCTACCTGTCCATTAATACTAGGCAACAAATGTGAACAATTCAAGGCAACTCATGATTTCACACCCAAAAACATTTCGATCCTTCCGTGCTTCTTTATCCCATTAAGCTCTCCCCCACTCTTGCCTATCTAGCTGCCCGTCGCAAACGCGATCCTCACGTGACGCACCCGTCTCGACGCGCCTCTCGCAGTGCCCATCTCCGTCGCCTCTCGACACGAAGAAAAAAAGACAACCCATTTTCCCCTCCTTCTTCCAACTCAATATCCTCCTTGTTTCTGTTTCTCACAGACTCACCTTGTGTGCCTGTGATCCTCCTGTGCATTGCCCGCCCCCTTCCTACTGAACAACACCTTCTGCCACACTCGGCCTTCACGGCCTCGTCCCGCCGCCGCGATGGGACCGCGAAAGCGCAACCACTCCGAGGTGATCGATGCCCCCGAGGCTCCGATCACCGAGGAACCTGGACTGCTCCAGCGCATTCGAAGCACCTGGGAATTTGCAAATATCATGCAGTACATTCACATCTTTGGAAAGATTATGAAGATCGACGAGGACTTTGGAATCGAGGTATGTTGAGTGGTTGTGCTCTTACTATAGTAGCATGCGGGGCCTTCTGGGTGTCGCGTACCTATCGCACTGATGCCATGATGAAGTCGATGGAATCCCATGGACTACCACCATACCTTGTTCTTTCTCATGCTGACCTTGATTTATCTTACCCAGGACCTGGAAGACGAATGCCTCAAGCCTGAACCCTCATACAAGTTGCTTGAGATTGGACTGTGCCTCCTGAAGTGGATCTCTTCGCATCGAGGATTGACGTACGTTGAGTGATACGAGTCTCTTGGTAGCGCAAGGGCGATTGAGCTGACGGCGCAATGCAGGTCCGAGAACTTTGACGAATACACCCGACGCCAGTACAATGCGAAAGCACCTCATATCACCAACCCGTTCGGCTACGAGGAGACTCCTCTCCGGTTCCTCGATTTCGATGTCTTCACGAAACTCACCGTCCTCCACCAGCTGTCTGTGTGGACGTTCTGGAACCCGGATCGACTCCGCGAGAAGATGCCTGAGAAGAAGGACTCGGAGCAGCTGGAGTGGGTATGTTACACTTTTACCTTCCGTCGTCTAAATATGACTATGGATTCTGACTTTACTAGCGTATCGAAGAGTTCGGATACGACCACGATGGTCGATCGTACTACGTCCTTGACGACAACCGTCTCTACCGCCGTACCGACCCTCCCATCCCCGCACCTCCACGACCCAAGAAGAAAGCAAAGAGCAGGACCTCTCGAGGTTCTCGGGCGTCGAGACGAGTCTCCGCTATTGTCGCGGAAGAAGTGTCTGATGAAGAGAACAAGGCCGAGGATGAAACCAATGCCTTTCCCAACTTCAAGTGGGAGTGTGTCGCTGTGACCCTCCCAGAGTACAACGAGTTCCTGGACACCATTCGCAAGAGCAAGGATGCGGATGACAAATACCTACGCAGTCAGATTGAAGAGCATATCCTGCCTCTGCTGGAGAAGGCCGAAGAAGCGCAGCAGCGCAAGCGGATCAAGCGGGAGAAGGAGCTTGTCCAGATGCAGATGCTTGCTGGTGCTAAGCGATCTAGTCGACTGGCTGCCAAGGAAGAAAAGGAGCGGGCTGATCGCGAAGCCGCCGAGGCCGCTCGCAAACGGGAGGCTGATCTGGCTGAAGCTCGCAAGGAGCAGGCTCGCCAAAAGCAGATGGAGAATGAGCGCATTTCCCGTATGATGACCCGCGAGCAGCGCATCAAGGATCGTGAGCACAAGCGCATTCTGCACGAAGCCGAGGTTGAGCGCCTTGCGGCTGATCAGGAGAAGTTGGAGCGAGGCGAGGGCAGGGTCTCTGCGCGCCACCTGAAGGCCGAGATGGAGAAATCGCAGAAGAACTTGGCAGAGCTTGCCGAAGAGGACCAATGGATCTTCGACTGCTCTGGTTGTGGCGTACATGGCGAGAACCTGGTGAGTACTCGACGCTTCTGAGAGCATTCGAAGCGGGCTTGAGTCTAACAATCTATTAGGATGATGGAAGTCACAGCGTTGCATGTGAGAAGTGCAATGTGTGGCAGCATAGCAGCTGCCTGGGCATCAAGAAAGAAGATGCCGAGAAGGACGACTTCCACTTCGTTTGCACAGACTGCAAGCGAAAGGAGGAAGAAGCAAATCGTCCTAAACTCCCGCCGCTGAAGTTCCGAGTCAGCGCGACACCATCACCCTCTGCGGCCAGGGTAAAGCCCAAGGTTGAAGAGCATGGGCGTGTTCCACCCTCTCCTGTGAAGCACACACACGACGCTCTGTCCAACGTGCAGAATGGGCCTTCCCGGCAGCAAGGTTCTCAGCCTACGCTTCCTTCACTTACTGCTCAAACTCGGCAGATCGCTCAAGGACAGCACCAATTCTACGTCCCGCTTTCGCCTCAGCGTCTTCCCCGCCCGGCCAATAATCCTTCTCTTCCTTCCTCAAGTCCTCCTCGCCCGCCATTCTCGCCTTCAAAGGGTTCAAATGGCCCTTTGCACCCCCTCGCCAATCAACAACCCCGATTTGGACCCGGGCCTGGCCAGCATATCCTGCCTCCAATGCAGCCAGGACCCCACCTCCCTCCTATCGGATCCTTCTCGTCCGCACGACCTTCCTCCTCTCATTCTGGGTATGGTCCAACCCAGAATCATCCATCTATGTCACCTACTCAGGGCAACCACGACGTAGGACCTCTGGCAGGAGTTCCGTCCGGGGTTCCAACGAATGGATCCAGTGCGTGGTCTTCATTCGATAGCTACGCTACGCCGCGACCACAATCTGGCCACGGAGGTACTCCTGCTATATCCAGCACCTACCCATCCTTCTCTTCTGCTGCGACCCCCAATGGCAACCATTCCTCGCCTCCACATAGCTCTCACGGAATCGGCATGTCTGGAATTAGCCCTACGAAGCAGTCTCCGCGACCCTTCACCGCAGGCGGCATGGCAGGGGCCCCGGTCCTTCCTCCCATTCGCAGACTGGAGCCCAGCCCTAAGCTCATGGGCCGAAGCTCCCCCGACGCCCCGATTCCTGCACCTATGAAGTGCATGACTCCGGAGCAAGAAGAGCGTCGGCAGCGGGAAAATGCGTCTCTGCTACACAATGGTCAGTCCTTTTCCGCCAATGGTCAGGCTCATATCATGTCATCTCCATCGATGAGCCGCATTCCTCCACTAGGCCCAGCTGCTCATGCCCAGCACCCTGAGCCAATCCCATCACCTCAGAATGGTGGACACGCGCCCCGACAATAGGTCTGGTAGTGCATAAAAAGTGATTTTTTGTCAATTGAAAATTGCAAGTCTCATAGAATGGTCCAAATCTATCTCAGCGACGTCTCAATTGACGTTGAATTTGGCTTTGGGGCTAGCGGTTGTCAACCTGACGTTGACGCGAATTGGATGTTACTGGAGTCATTATCCCCAGATGGCCCCCGATCCCCCTCGATCGGGTCCCGATCAGGATCGAGATTCGATCGAGAAGGATTTTGGTGAGGACATCAACAATGCACAATAGCTCCTACCTTGTTCCAATTCTATCTTTTGGATAGAAACCGCTTTCATTTCATGTTGTGAATGTTGTCGCCGTTTTTTCTGGGCCTGCTGATGGTACCCCTGTACCAACATTTTTTTTTTTTTCGAACTGTTGTTGAGGGTGGAAACCCGCCATGGCTACAGTGTCTTTCTTGGCGTTGTCTTTCTTGTTTTTCTTTTACTTCCCTTGAATGTGCATTCAGATGGTGGGATACTTGGGCGTTTTTTAAGATGGCCATGGGGGCGGTGTTTCTTGTTGCCAGGACGGTTGGCTGGGATTTGTACCGTAATAGAAGATTTCTTTATTCTGATGGCAATGAATCTTCTTAAAAGTGTCTTTCTTCAGAATTAGCTATGATTAATCATGATGCTGGGGTAGAAGTGTGGTTGTTGAAGGTTCTCCACGATTAAATTCGATGCCCGGCCTAAGGCGACAAGGTGATAACATCCTCTGCAGCTTCAGCCGTATACTTCCTACCTGATTGCAATCGTTAGCATTTAAGCAAACATAAGGTGCGCAATTGATAACTTGACATGTCCTTGCATCGATCTACTATACATGGTCCTTTTGTTCAGGCCAGCATCCAGAGCCCTGCATTAGTATATCCTGTTCCCCGGACAAGACTATTGTACGCAGTCCATACTCCAATCGATGAATCACTACGCACATCTAGCTCAATTTACAATGCATACCGGGATCTCAATGCTGCTGCAATGACAACCTACCATGCAATCGCATCTTACCTTCCCGTCACAGGATAGCCGGGCCCATCGCGCGACAACAAAAGTACACGGCACAAGACTATTAATAAATACCCCAACTAAGAACAGGGGAAGAGTTGGGGGGCACTACTGTAGTAATGCGTGATAATCGGCATATCGAGGCCAATGGTAAGACCGTGTGGAGATTATAAAAACAAACAATTATAAGAAAGTAATTTACTTCGGTTCTCTTCCTCGCTGTGATATTAGTTGATGAATAGGGGTCCACTGAGTAAGTAGTAACTAGAACCAGGCCGCAGTGCATCCTGCCCATCACACGCTAAAAGGTCATTAAAGCAGCTAACAGAGATGGGGAGGTTGGCCCCGACTAACTCATCTTACTAAGCGATGGCACTTAAATTAACTTACAGACGCGCGCGATCTACTTTACATGTCATCTCGCACTTGGTCCGAGCTGTGTTCCCTTGATAGATTGAATCTTACAGTAGGAACAGTACACACTCTGGACTCCTTCGTGTCCATACATTTGCTGGCCGGAAATAATATCCTAATCTCCATATTTTCCTAATCTCCGTAGTTTTATGTAAGTACTGCCTGTCTGTCACTTCCAGACTTTATTTCTTTTTCTTCCCTCGAGACAGGTATATCCTTACCATCACGGATGCATGGGCCGTTCAATGACAGTTGATCTATCGCAGACATCTCTGTTCATCCTTCTGCTCTTCCAAAAAAACCAAACTTTGAGGGCCATCGGGGAAAATAAGATTTTGTACCGTGGATGATCGTCGACGATCGTGCGCACTGCACAAAGTGGCAATATGTCGGCCACGGGGCCAACCGATTTCCCTGAACCATCATTATACTACACGTAATGGGCTCTTTTCTCTATTCTTTATTGCGGCTTTAAGCCCGGAGACCGAAATCTAAAGTTCCTTCCACCGTGCGCAAGGTGTAGCTTTAGTTGATCGTCCAGCTTATAGTCTAAAATGACATATAAGGAGTACAAAGTCTAAAGGCAGGAAACTCAACTTTGATCCTCCATCTTCCATCTTTCATCTTTCCTGTATAGAAGGACAGAACCTACTAACTACTACAATAGGACGAAGATAACCATGGGATGCTGCGCAACATCGCTCCTCTAACCCCCTAGATCGTGAATCGTGAGACTAAGTGGCCTAGTTTCGACTATCGTAGTTTAACCCGAACTGCCAAGATTCGATCCCGTACAGATAAGAACGGCCCTTCTTGTCATTTGTTCACCTGTGCTCGATCACCCGCAAATTCCGCCTTCCCCGGAGCCTCTCAGCTTCGAGGTAGCCTTTACCAAAAGCAGACAAGATAGACTTGCCGCAAATATATTATTATCTGGTCCACGCCTGTGAGAGAGTTTCGGCCGGTCGATTACATACGTCGCGGCGAGCCATGGATCTCAGCCCGATCCCGTTGTGGGGGGAAGGAGAATTGTGAAGTAGATGGCGGCTACTATACCAATAATTCCTGAAATTGAGGGGTAGCTCTAGAGGAAGAGATGGAAGTTGGGACTACCATATTATTGTTGGAGTCTGGGCCATGACCGAACGGGGGTTCTTGAGTTGTGTTAGTTTGTGCTGCCTCGACGGACATGCCCCTCTGAGTATGGAGGGCGGCAAACTAGTCAGTTAGATTGGGCCGGGATTTGAAGAGGAATGCGTAATGAATCTAATGATGGGAGAAACATTTCCTGTGTTGGTCACGTTTAGTTTCGAGCCAGTGTTGTATCTGTTGCCTTGTTAGGCCTCGAGGAAACCTAAACAGCTAACAGCTAGAATAACTAGCTTCTTGACAGGTCCTCACGTAAAGAAACTCAACTCCATCAATCGGTTCAGCCGCTCCACGAAACCTACTTTCTCGCCATTCCTACCTGATCCTCTGGTTCATCTTGCGATTGCGCTTCATCTTGTTTCTTTTTTTGCTTCTTCGTCGACCGGTGACCCCCTCTCTTGAAGCTTCCCCTTTTTTACTCCACCCAGCACGTCCCGTATTCGAATCAGAGCAACATGGAGTTTGAAAAACCGTTTAATACGACGATCCCGATCATAGCTCATTCCTAAAATCTCCACCTGGCCCATCTTGTGTGTAGGCTCCACCTATGCAACTCATTTCAACTTTCAACTTTCAAAAGAGAGAGAGAGAGAGAGAGAGAGAGAGAGAGAGAGAGAGAGAGAGAGAGACTGAGAGAGCTAGACCTGCTCGGAGCTGTCCCGTCCACTGGTGGAATGTTGCTGGGCTGCGATCCACGGGAAGACCCTCACGTTTGACGCTCGAGCGCCGCATTTGGCAGGAGTCTCGGTTCGGGGAGAGCGATAGAATGGAAATTATCACTCTCCCTTTGCTTTTACACGAATAAGAGCTTTGAAACTGCTTGAGCTATAAAGGAATATCATACTGTAGCTTTTCAAGATTCTCTCTTCTTTCGTGAAGACTTGCAAGGAATATACACATGCTATATGGAGTCATATGGCGGGGAAACAGCTGAGAGCCACTCAATTTCGGGATTCGTAGTAAGTGTCACTCCTCTGCGTCCTACTAACTATTGGCTAGGTGAGCTTAGTGCTTTATTTTCTTGTCCTTTTCTCTATCTTTTTTCTCTTAATTTGTGATTAGCTCCTTAGTACTAAAAGGGAGACAATTGCATTCAGGGCTTGGTCGCACGACTCTTTTGGGGTGGTTGCAGCTAAATTAGAGTGTTTACATGGCCGTAACTGCTACTCCATTCGGAACAAGAATCTTGTACATTAAAATATTGAAATATCGCCATATTAATGAACTTCGCTACGCATAGTTTCTAACAGCTTCTTACAAGTTATACAGCTTATTATAAGTCATATAGTAAATATTGCAATAAGGCCGACTTGGGATATTTCGAGGAAGTATAGAACGACTCCAACATGTGTGATGAGTGTCTCGGACCGTCTAGACCTTCTCGCACGAGGTAGTCCAGTCCGGTACAGCTGGCGCGTAAAAGTACCCATCTGCCAGGGCACACCAGGAAAAGATGGATCCAGCGGCAGATGGACCACATTGATCCACTAGCACCTCTTGTGCCGCTCGGGTGAGCTCGGACAGCGGGAGAGCGACGCGAATAGCGTAGCAAACCGAGAGGCTCCATAGTAGGGCGAGCCGAGAAGGATCAACATCGTCATAACGTCGCAATCCACGGCTTCATAAGATCATTTAGTGTTATTTGTCATTTTCTCCATTTTGGAGAGGTCAGTGCTGCTGTGTCGCATATAGCTCACAATCCCCGCAAATGCCGAACCAAGTCCGCTTAAAAGTCAAAAAACGAGGTTTCTGGTCCAGAGCTCCAATTGAAATTGTGCCGTATGGAGGAACAATTGATATTTCGGAGTAATTAATTATCTAGCGGCTCAGTGACTTTTGGGCTACGGACGACATTTTAGTTGATCGGGGACCCCGACGAACACATGACTGAACGGTGATGCGCCCTGAGATCAATGGCTCCACTCACGAGGTGATAGGGGGCCGATTGCGGGGGGGCTAGATTGACTAGCATGGCTAGAGTGACAAGGATTAGGCTCATGGTCTCTTCGGGATCGCGTATCGACTTATAGAGAGTCAAGGTGTATCACCTGGTATACCGGGGCTGTATCATGACGAAGGCACCTTCCACTGTCTACCTAGTTCATTTCAGTCTGGCCTAAAACGACTGTTTAAGCCTTGCTCAGACCTCGAGACTATCGTGATGCTGTTAATCCAAGACAGGAATAGATAGACGGAGCTCGAGGGGATCTCCCCGGGGAGCTTGCGCGCCACGAGGATGGCAATCTTCATTTCAATGCTCCGGCGACCTAATTGAGATCGTCGTGCACTGTGCTAGTGAATGCACATCACCGGCTAGTCAATTTTACGTGTATAAATTTTTAGAGTGGGCGCACCTTCTTCTAGTATCTAAGCGGGAGACATAGTTTAGCATACAATTATGCCCCAAAAAAAGCTAG